CAGGATGGCTCTCCTATGATTCTATCCTGGAAAGGTAGAGGTGGGTTCCACAAAGCAAGATGACTACCAAGACTAGCTATGTAAGCAAAATCTGGGCTTCACAGAGAGACCCTGCCTCAAATGAATAAGATATATGAGTGAGGGGAAAAATAAGATTTCTGATATCATCTTTGGGTGGCCACATGCAGGCCGGAGTACACATGCTCACACATATCACATGTGCAACCACATACATGCAAGCATGTGTGCACGCGCACGCACGCGCGCGTGCGCACACACACACACACAGAGAGAGAGAGAGAGAGAGAGAGAGAGAGAGAGAGAGACCAGTAAAGAATAGGAAAAATCTGCATCATTTTACTCTCATAACTCTACAAACAAACTAATCATGATTACTCCCCTTTTATACTCGAACGTTAAAGAATCTTTGTATAAAGGTGATTAGAAGCAGAACTGAGGAAGGACCCCGAGAGGTGAGCGCTGCTTCTTTACTTGGTACTTGAGTACTTTTTCCACACCCCCTAGATTATAGTCCTTCAAGGCCAAGACACAAAACCCTCTAGAGTGATAGTTAAGGCAATGAAAATCTTAGAGACCCACCCCAAACACTCACAGTCCCTGACTTTGTTTCTTAAACACACAGCTACTGGCAGCATCAAGACAAAACCACTAGCCATTGACTAGGCCTTTCTCCAAGTACTATTTCTTTCTATCCTCTATAAACCAGAAGAAGGTATCCTGCACAGGTCTCCTTAATCTTCCTGAAGGTCCAGATTCTACAAGGTAGCTTCAAAAATTTGGGGGCACTGTCATCACCCTGCCATAAAAAATGTTATCATCTGGGCAGAGGAAGTTGTGGGGATTCGTGGGGGGTATGCATTTTTCCCTACTTGGAAGTCCTTAAACCTGGAGCACACTCCTTGTCTCCTTAATCCCTGCCCCCTTGACTGGCAGCTTGATTTCAGCTGCTTGTTCTTCCAGTAGTTTCTGCCAGTATGAGAGGGACCCTTGCTATTTGCCCTCCATGCATATACACATCACATAGAAAGACATGCACATACACATGTACACAACATACATGCAGACACAGCATGTCTCCATTTCATATCTCACCCTCATTTTTCAGCCTCTGTGAAGAAGAGAAAATACAAGGTCAAGAAGGCAACTGTGGATATCTAAATAACTTAAGAGGGCAGGAGCCAGGAAATTTACGAAACTAAAGGATCCCATAGGCTCAAGCAATTCTCCCACGAAGGAAACACACTCACCTTGTTGCCGTCTTGTCCTGTTCTCTGCCGGGCCTGTCCCTCTTTGGTTCGTGTGGAGCTCTGGGCAAAGGTGAGGAGGTTAATGGAGCCTCCTCCTGCCACAGTTGATTTACTGCCCTATAAAACTGAGAGCAATTGGAGGACAGGAATGGTAGTCTCTCCATCTGTGCTTGCCACGCTCTGTTGTGCTGGCTTGTCTACTCATCTTAACACCCAGAGTGCAAAAGAAGGGAATTTCTGATCAGCTTTCCCATGGTCGTTTCCAGAGCTCGACGTCCATAACATGCACACAGTTTGTTAACAGCTAGCCACTTGCTGACTGAGGGAAAGTAGAATAAGTGGCTTACATTGTGTCGGACCCTTTCTGCCTTCATTTTTGTGTCCCAATGTTTGCCTGCATTCGGATTTTCAAATATGCTTCCCCCATAACTGAGTTTTTACAGATCATATGATTTTTATCTTATGTGTGTGAATGTTTCGTCAGCATGCATGTATGCGCATTGAGTGTGTGCTAGGTTTCCCACGGAGGCCAGAAGAGGTTGTCAGCTGCCTAGAGTGACTTATGGGTAGATGCTTGTGGGTGCTGAGAAGCAAGCCTGCATCCTCCACAAGAGCAGCCAGTTCTCTTAACAACTGAGCCACCTCTCTGGCTTTCTTCCTACCTCCTACTCATTCTAAATAAGGGAACACTATTAAAGAGGTGGTAAAACCCCTCTCGTGGATAATTCTCCTGCCTTCAGCGGTTCGGCTCCTTTAAAAAATTGGTTTTTATGCTCCAAGAATTTCTCACCTTAAGATTCTGCCTCCTCAATAAAGAAAGCATATTTACCATATCTTTGTTTCAGTATAAGTTAATCTTTGTTAGAGGGAATATATACCTACATCTCATTTCAAATTGGAAAGATACATTTGCCAAAGTTCAAGAAAAGAGATAAAGAGATTTATTGTTACATGAGTTCCTCCTTTTTTTTTCCAATGATAGTTCCTTCTTAACTCCCACATTTCATGTCTTGTGACATTATTCAAGATGTAATGGTGACACACAATCCACATTAGTCTATAATATGTTTACTAGTTGCCAATTAACTAAATTCACCTTTCAGTTTGATGATTAACAGGTAGATGATATGTTGACTTCATGAAAAACTATTAGAAATATTTTTTGTGGGGGGGGACAAGCATGTGACCTGGTACCTCCCAATTGTCTGCTGGCAAGCAGAAGTAAAGTTACCATTTGGCACATATCAAGCAGCTGTAGAAGCAAGTACACACACACACACACACACACACACACACACACACACACACACACACGATATTACAACTCTAGTACCCTCCTATTGTTCCCAGTGCCTCACTGGAAAAATATACATAAATATAGCTCAGTGAATAAAATTACTTGACGTTCTTAATAACTTTAGGAGTGTAATACCTAAGTCTAAACTGTGAATTCAGACACATAAATATACAGAGACATAGGAAAAGATATATAGTTATATGCCATGATAGTTTGGATGAATACTTGGTACCCAGTAAGAATTGTTTCAGAAGGATTAGGAGGTGTGGCCTTGTTGGAGGAGGTGCATCCCTGAGGCTGGGCTTTGAGGTTTCAAAAGCCCAAGCCTTTCCCAGTTAGCGTTCTCTCTCTCTCTCTCTCTCTCTCTCTCTCTCTCTCTCTCTCTCTCTCTCTTTCTTTCTCTCTCTCTCTCTCCTCTCTCTGGCTCTCTCTCTGGGCCAGATGTGAGCTGTTATCTGCTGCTCCAGTCCTATGCCTGCCTGCTTGCTGCCTTATTCCCTGCTATGATGGTCATTGACTCACCCTCTAAAACAGGTCCTAGTAAATACTTTCTTCTATAAGTTGCCTTGGTCATGGTGTGTTGTCATAGCAATAGAAAAATAACTAAGATAAATACTATGGATGGATATATAGATATGATTATGCATAATATATAGCACACATATATGCATAATACATATATACACATATATATGTATGTATGTCTGAATATATATATATATATATATATATATATATATATATATATATATTCTTTCTTGAAATTAGTAGGGAATGCAAAACACTGTGAATCTATCTTTCTATCTTAACCTTACCCTAAAGAACAAGAAGAAGTTTTGTACAACTTCATAGGTATCACCACCATTTTGAAAATGAAATTTGTCTCAGAAAGACAAAGTGCTTTAAGTAAGTGTCCCGAGACCATATTGAGATCTTTCCTCATAAATGAAAGAAGTACAAAATGCACTGACTTGTGACTCCAATCCCTGTATTGGGAGGGCTGGGTACAGGCTTGCACTCAGAGATCAGCAATCAGCAGCTCTGCCCTACACAGAAACCAAGTAAATCACATATCTAGCTTCTCCCCTGACATTTTCCAGAGTGGCTGAGAACATCTCTAATTTGAGAGGGAAACTTCACACATCCTTGTAGGGGGAGTACCAAGGAGCCAAAAATACATTTTTATATTTAAACATTTGTTGTCATCACAAAGAATGATAAAGATGTAACACTGAAAAATTTGGCCAGCTCTACCTGGTTACCCCATATTGCATTTAAATGTCAAAGTATTATGTTGTATCCAACAAGTCTATACGGTATTCGAAGAGCCAAAAGTGAATTCAAGAGACAGGAATACTCTGCACATTTTTATGTAGCATTTCCTTTGTTGGGGTTGACATTTTACTCTATGCATTTTAAGACATTCTTCTAGAGTTTGAAAATCGTAGGAAGCGTCCCGTAGACCATCAGTGGAGCCTATGCATTGTCCAGCCAGGAAAGTACTCAACTATGGACAAGAGTCAACATATGTCCATGTGTACCTGTTGGCGTCACAGGGTGTTTCTAACATACTAAGTAAGCCATTCCCTTGTAAACTCCTTGCATTAATCAGGGTTTTTCGTCGTTGGTTTTGCTTTTTGCCTTTTAAAACAAATGATTCTTATGGTTGCTTGCCTACATTTCACTAGTTATTTCAGCCCCTCACGCACGATGCCTCATTTAATAGAATATTAAGTCAACTGAATGACAGTCGGGTGTAATGTAGCAGGCGTAGATAGCTCGGCATGCACACAGCAAGCAAAATGGCTTCCCAGTGCAAAAGGGAAGATGTGAGGAAGTATGCATGCCCAATTGTGGCATTGCATTTAAACAAATACTAAAACCAAACATCCTCATTGAGCATTTCTACATAATTTCTCTTTACTTTAATTTTTCATTATTATTTATTATTTTGTAGGGGATCATGTTTGCCATGACATACATTTGGAGGTCAGAGGACAACCTTGTGGAGTCTGTTTACTCCTCCCACTTTTATGGTTTCTGAAGACTGAATTCATATTATCAGGCTTGTGTGGCAAGAGTGTTCACCTACTTAGTCATCTTGAAAGCCTAGCTTCTTATTCCCTTATACATATTTTATCTAGTGTTTTAATCAATATAGTTGTAACTCTTGTTCTTTTTTTTTTGTCAGAGTTGATATTGTACAAGATACAAGGGCTATAATTCTTAAACAATATCTGAAGCTTGTGAGAGAGTCATTACAGAGATGTCGGGGAAGGTGAATGATCAGGAACCATATTCCTGTACTGGACCGCAGGCACTCTGATGCCTCCAGGGACAAAAGAGACAAGCTCACAGGGCTCTTCTGAACCCCGGAAGCCTGACCCCTCTGTGAGGTCCCCACAAACAAACATCACAACATCAGAACTCTCTTGTAAATTCACATGCTTTATTTTTCTGTGGCATATACATCATGTATGCTTGCACGAACCATTGTTGTGTACATGAGATATGGTCAAGAAATAAGAGTTATACATTTCAAAGCTCACTTCTATGGAAACAACTCATTTTGTGCATCCGATTCCTGCCTTTAGCTCTACCCACTTAAATGTCCTTCACATCACCTTCATGTGTGTTGAGCATTTCCCCAAGATCTTCTTCTTTTTCAAACGAGTTGACTCTCCCTTCCTCCTCCCCACAAGGCTATTCCTTAGAACGACTCTGACTGTCGCTGTTGCCAACCACTGTCTCTTACCTCCCCTTATTCTTTACTGTGTGTGTGTGGTTATTTTTCTCCATCCTCTATCACACTCTGGGCCCACTGTTCTCTGCCCCCTATGCCAACCTACACAAGTTCCTTCTGCATAATTCTTACGGTTTTGCTTAGCAGCAGACAGAGGCTGCCATAGCAAGATTCCTATTTTATCTTTAGGAAAACATTGGAATCCCTTACACACACACACACACACACACACACACACACACACACACACACGCGCGCACCACAGCCTGGATCTATACATTAATGTGACCCAGAGATATTATCCTTGGGAGCCATATACATACATAAATACTTCCACAAATTATTCTAGCCATATTGGGAATGAAACAATTGGTGATACATAGTAATTATACAATTATGTAGCATAAGAAGTTTAAATCTGTTTGTAGTATCCTACTCTAAAAATTCATGAAGAGTTCCATGTCATGGACACAAAAGTATGCAGGCCGATTGATTTTTTGGTCACATCAACTCTTAATATCTGTTGGAACAAACAACAAGAAACATATTGAGAATTTGTTGTCTAGAATTTCCTGTACACAAATGAACAGGTGTACATGGCCTCGATGCCAACTACTGTTTTACTTTCATGTGTGGAAGGTGTTTCCCAACACTTAGAGTAGAGTGATTATTCTATGGCAGGAATGGGCTTTCAACGATTCAGCTTACAACCATGAAGAACAAGTATACAGGCAAACTGAAACTCCATCTTCTCCTGTCTCCTCATAACACCCACCTATTTCCTGGTCAGTCTAGTGCTATCTCCTCATATCACTCATCATCCATCGCCTGGGAAATCTAATATTCCTGCTTCTTATGGGCAAATGCTTTTGAGGGCTTCATCAGTAACCAAGCTTTAACTGTATATAAATCAGTTCACAAAAGAACAGGGAGACTTCCTTTTAAGGTAGTTGACAAGAAACACAGTACAAGGGGAATTTTAAAATTGCGAAACTGAAGAAAAACTTTTTCCCCAGGCCTAGAAATCAGAAAGTGTTCATATTTAGTATACACACACACACACACACACACACACACACACACACAGAGAGAGAGAGAGAGAGAGAGAGAGAGAGAGTCCCCATTTACAAAAGTGTGGCAGATGTTGGTACTGAAATGTTATGTGAATCCTGAGGCGCTGATCTTAACTTTGACAGGATGAGAGCATGCTTGTAATAACAATTCTAAAATTACTTCAAGTTGGGCACATATCATAGCATGACTGCTGTTGGGTACACACCCGGGAACATCATTGATAACACCGTATTGTGAATATACAGACTACAAACCATCCAAAGAGTGTTTCAGAAAGGAAAGAGTCATAAGACCAAGCATAAACTGGGTTAAAAACTTGTCTAATACGTGTTTTGTGACTTGAGGCAAATGCGCAAGAATGGTTTTCATTCTTGAGATCTGTTTATTTCACCCTATGCAGAGCATAACTAAAAGGAAAATATTCTAAGACAAGCATTTTATCATATCTAGGAGGGTTAGGTTCTAGCATTTGGTTTCATAATTTATTTTATTTGTAACATCAGGAGGAGGCAGCTTGGTACAGCCTGTGAGTAGCATTTTGTGTGTGGTCACATGCCGGTATTGAGACTCAGTCCACACACTGCCTGCACAGCATCCGCAAAGCCCTGGATTTGATCCCAAGAATATTTAAGTAATGTTGAATCAGAGCATCCTTGGTGGGGAAGAAGAACTGTCTTAACTGACCTACATATTACATATCTATTGTAAATAACAATATATTAAGACACAAAATAATAAAAATATCCCAGTATAAATAGATAAGCATAAAAATAAACATTACATGTTACTTAAGGTATTATATGTATTTTTGGACCCTAAAAGCTATGCTTGTGGTACCTCCTCTGAAGAGGATGTGATCCATCCTACAATGTTCCTATAAGGATCTAGTAAGTACAAGTACTAAGTACTCAAACATGTCCTAGGTTGTCAGTGATGCTACTTGTATTTTTTCTCAATCATGTAACAGGTACCACAGTTGTGTTTTACACATGCTTAATCTTTATCCTGTTTATTATGATCAGTCATATGCAATTCATAAGAATCAGGCCTTAAACTCAGGTCTCAGGTACATCAAACTTCAAGGCATTTAAATAGTTTCATGCTCGTGTTCTTTAGTAAGTGTTCTAATGTTTTATGTTATGCTTTTCTGTGTCTCAGTGCAGAGAAGAAAGGGCGGGCATGAAGTCCCATGTCTGGCTGGGGAGCTGTTGGCATTTGGTTGCTACAGGGAGAGGAGAAGTCAGGATTTTGTTTGTTTTTTTTTTTTTGATTGTTTGTTTTTGGTTTTGGGTACATTGTCCATACTCCAGGTCAGACTGGATGCCCAGAAATAGTTGGCCAACACAAACTGGACTCAATGGGTTAAAAAAAAAGAGTGGAAAGGAGAACATGAAGTTGGATGTTTGAGGAGATATAGTAGGATGTGGGAGGAATTTGGGCAATGGATGAGCATGATCATTAATAAAACGTTAAGGTCACCATGCTCCAATGGAAGGCCGCATGTGTAAGAAAATATAGGATGCACACATTGAGATAGGTAGATAGATAAGACACATACATACAAACATACATACATACATACATACATACATACATACATTTATACATACATACATAGCACCCAAAAATTGGGTGGGTGGTGAAAGTTGGGTAGATCTTGGAGAAGTTGGGGAAACAGGCTAATGGCATGAAATTTCCAAATAACCAATTAAAAAGTGATACTTATGAGGTTAAAGAATTTCAAATACATATGTGAATTCAAAATTTACTTTGATGCAGAGTAATTGTGTATCTCTTACCCAACATTTTCCTCTGTAACATCACTTAAAATACTAAAGTATTGAGACAAAACTCTATGGATATGGAAATTTCCAGGAGCTTCTTATACATGTAAAGGGGAAAAAAATGAATGAAAAAAAGGTTTCATCTTTATCATTCCTTCTCTATGGCACGTTAAGCAGTAGACCAACTCTTTACGGTAGTTGATAGTGCCTGACATTTGACAAAATACGGTAGTTCAAGCTGCTTGAGAATTTGGTTTCTAAGGCAGATTGAGAGACGGGTGTCACTTTGGCTTTCAGACAAGAGAGTAGATCTAGAAAGTAAGCAGCCAGATTTTCAACTCCAAATGATAAGCCATGGGTTTTCCTGTTCTCCCCACACTGCCCACACCTGACACTGAACAGAGTGGCTGCCCTGCGAGAGGGTGGCGGGGGATTGCACAAAGCATCTCAGGGTTGGAAAATAGCATTGGGCTTTCTGGTAGTCACAAACCTGGGTTTCAGTGTTGTAGTCAAAGGGGATTATTTCATTCTTGTTGTTCCAAGAGATCGTCACACTGTTAATGGGAACAGTTTTCAATCCCCAGATTTCAATGTAGCCTAGGTTCAAAGCAGCAGTACCACTGACATAATTGTTAAAAACGTTATGTCTCCGCAGCGTGTTCTGTCAAATTGAAAATAAAACAGAAAGAAACAAATATCAACATTAGTTCAATTTTGTTCTCAACTTTGTCTTAGGCATAAATGTAAATTACAAAAACGAGATAGCCCGAGTCAATATCTTACATTCTCAGATAGTAAAAACCGTGACCTCAACACCCTGCTGCCCTGTTCCATGGACTTTGCCCGGGCCACCACCAGCCAGGTCTCTAGGATGGCCGTGAGCACTGTAAGTTACAAGTCTCAAGTATCAAGAAACGTATATTCTACACATGCAAAGGTCACAACCTGTGCAGAGCAGTAAAGAAAGGAGGGCTAGATCACACAGAAAGATTCTCCACTATGAGATGGCGCACTGGAAACACTTACTGATGAGACACATAGAGAGGTTCAATCAAAAACATTTCCTGGGGACACAGGAAATTCCTCCACGGTCAGGAGGAAAAGGAAGATGAGCAATGAAGAAATTCCAGGAAGCACAAATGTGGAAACTTTACAAGAACTGAGGTCCTGCCAAGACAGCAGAGACCCATTCTCCCTTTACCGTGTCGGCCACACTTACCTCGCTGACAGAAAACATGGCCAAGTAGTATTTGTTTGTGATATCTGCAAACAGACAGAGGGGCAGATGTGAGCTGGGCCTGTGCAATAAACTTCTAATTGCTGATTTGCCTGAGCTGAGACTTGGGGTTATTTGTGTTCCATTTTTCTCCATTACAATGAGTTCAATTTTGCAGTGGAAGTTTCTCTCTATGGAAATTATTCAGGCTTTGCACCATCCCCAGATGGATATGGAAATGAACATGAACATAGCTACCTCATATAAAACCCGCCTAACCCGACCTTAACCCACTTTTTCTCAGCGTCTACTGGTCCCGACATCTCCCCAGTCACCTCAGAATTCCAGATTCTTTTCTATTAGAAGCACACACCCACACATGGAAATACACTGACTGCCGCCTTGTTTTATCTTGAGTGGTAATGGGTGGTTTTAATGTGATCTCCAGAAAACTTAGAGAAAGAGAGAGAGAGAGAGAGAGAGAGAGAGAGAGAGAGAGAGGCAGAGAGAGAGTGGAAGGAAGGAAGGAAGGAACTTCTGGAAAAGCACAGTGTTTGGCAGTGTGACTGGCGTGTGTGGGGGAGAGGCAGCTTGCTGGTGATCAACTCCTCTCGGAGCTTCCTCTGCCTTTCTGGTGCTGGCTTCTTCCTCATTTAGTCCCCACTCCTCCTGGAACCACTGGCTTCTTCTAGAACTGTGCTACCCACCGCAGAAGACACCAAAAAAAGTCAGCTATGTAAATTTAAATGAATGTAAATTAAATAAATTAAACTTCAGTCCCTCGGATCCCTTGTGACATGTTGAGTGTTCGTTGGAACGTGTGCCTGTAGTTGTGTTGAGCAGCAGAAGCTCTTTAAGGCTACAGGTTCTACTGTGTGGTAAAGACTGCCTGCGTCGTCCCCCTCCTAAGAGGTTACCAGCTCCCATAAACTAGTGATGGAAAGTCCCTCACATAAGCATCACACGTAGCCTTGTCTTGCTGGGACAACTAATCAGGTAGTTGGGAAATAACAAATGTACCTCAGCCAAAAGGCAGGAATTTACAATAATAAAAAACTTCACCCAAGGTGTGACCAGGAATCCCAGCCAGTCCCTACTCACTGATGCTTTTCCCATCATCCCAGAAGAGCCAGCCCTCAGCAAGTCCCTCATCGTCCAAGGCAACCTTGAGGTTCATCGGTTTCTCACGGCTGTGGTGGGGAGGGAGAGAGGCATTAGCTAAAAACACAGTCACAATCACAAACCAGCAGGTTTCACAGAACAAAGGAGCAAAATAAATTGCTTCCTGGGGTTTAGAGTCAGTTGTCATTACTGGAAAACCCTGACTACCAGCTCTGTATGTATCCAGAAAAAGCTGGACTGCTGCACGCCCTAAGAGAATGACTTCAAAGCAACAAGGAGAATTTTCCAGTAAGCCTCTTAAATTCAAAGCACACAACTGGCTTCCTTCTTTCCTCTTTCCTAAGACTAAACCCTTTCATAACCCATTGCCTAAACACACGCAGAGTACAAATAGGAGATGTTTTGAGGCATTGTATCAGGCCCACATGGATTCCCATCCTCTTCCTGGGCCTGTACTCAGTCAGTCAAATAACTCAATAAAGCCTCCACTTCCTCCTCTGTGGAATGAAGACGGTGGTGAAACTCAACTCAAGCAATTTTGTTTCTCTTTGATAAAGAAATACAGAAAATCAGGCAACAGAGTTCTTAATACTGTCACAGTCCTAGACAGCAACAAGCATTTGCTTGATGTTAGTGACTGATGATTGACATATTCACTTAGGTCAAGAACGTTTAAATATCTTCAAGGTAAAGCAACCTTAGGTATCAGATGCCAAGTAATTTAAATTTTTCCAGCAGTGGTTCCAAAGATGGAAGTATCCAAAAATATGAATTATGACTACCCCCATTTTAACTTCTACTATGAATGTCACTTCTTATACAATCTAAAACAACTGATGAAAACAATTTCAGAGTTCATAGTGTTTAAAAGGTTCAAATAAAACATACAAAAAGAAAAAACCAGAGAATGTGTTCTTCAGACTTCAGAGTACTTCTGTGGGGATGAGGAGCCTTTCCACACTTGATTAAGCTCATTACTATGCAAGGCAGAATCCCAGTTCCCCACTCACCTCAAATGGGTGTTCATGGCAGGGTCCTGACATGGCAGGATGTAACCCCCACGGACATGAAGGTTAATGTGCTCAAGAGGGGCCGGCAAGGTCTTCCATTGTCCCCTTGCATTAATATCTACACCCTGTGTAGAACCAAGAGAAGATGATGGCAGAGGTGCACACATCCCTGAGCGGTACACACAGCAGACATCCCAGCCCCATCCTGGACGGACTTGTCTCCTGGTCCCCACTATTCACACATCACCTATCCATGCTGCCTGTTGCATAGAAAACATCCAAAGGGCTTATTTACGCGCCTTTATCTTTGAAATCTTTCTTGTTTGACACCTTTGTCTTGCCTCGTTAGGCATCTTTAACTTCTTCATGTGGTTAATTCTTATCTCACCACGTGTGAAAGTTGAATCTGGCTTCATATGTGAGAGCTGTATTCTAACTTGATGGTTTGGGTCAAATAATTATTTGTTGTGAGGATGTGCTTTGTTTTTGCCCTAGTTGGGCTGGTTCACCCCTTTTAGGCAAGCTGATGATCCTCTGCTCCAAGAAGGTCACACTGGTAGCAAATTTTATGGGGGACACTCAGTTAGTATAGCACTTAACAGCCCAGAATCCTCCTGCCACAACCTACCTAGAAGCTAGGAATGCTGGCTTGGGCCACGGTACTCAGAAGTCTGGTGCTGTCCTTTTCTGACATTAAGCAGCCTTGTTTCTGCCCACTGGAGAACAGTAGCACCCTATCCCCAGACTCCACAGTGTGTATTCCCATCAAAGTTTTGAAAGGCAAATCTTAGCTCATCACTGCATTGCTAACCCCAAATGGAAAAGCACCCAGCATCCCAATATCTAGAACCCAGCAGAGAAGTTTTACACCAGGGCAAGGTCAGGGCGCCAACCAAGATACCTAGGGTGCAGACTCTCAAGTCCAACCAAAGGCAGGACGATCCTTCCAGTGAGGGCCCTCCTTAAGCTTTGTACCCTGCATGTCTCCCTGCTTAGCTCTAGTGTGAGCCCTGGCAGAGTCAAAGGGACTGTTAAAGTACTGGACAATCAACATGCAAACTCTAGACCATGTGGGGGTCACGTGAGGGAAGCAGGCGCTCTCTCCATTCAGGGCCCCGGCGCATGACAGAAATCACACTGCTGAATGTTAGTGCATTTCCAGCCTTAAGAGAAACCAGCCTGCAGCCAAGAAGAGAGCAATGGCTCAGTGCTCCTGGGGCAGAGTATCTCCTTAGTTCTTGTACTGTTATCACCCAGACCCAGTGCAACATCCTTGGATGAGAGGGGCCAGGGCACGGCTCTGCTTCTGGCCTTGAAAGTCCAAAGAGGTAGACTACTTAATTCTTCTCCAAGAATTAAGCTCTTTGTCATATGCGTCCTTCTTCAACACATCACCTTTAAAGTGTCTTCTCAAGACTTTTCTCTCCCAGCTTGTCTTCTATGACCACTATGGCCCCCCCATGATTGGCTTTATAAGTGAACATGTGCTGTTTGGAAACGTATTTGAGGGCTCGTTTATTAGGTAATTATTGGGAGGATCTGCTTTTGAGTATCTGTACCAGCAGTTCACAATCAGTGGGTCACGAGCCCTTTGGGGAAGTCAATCAACTCTTTTACTTGGGTCACCTAAGACCATGAGAAAATGCAGATATTTACATTATGATTCATAGCAGTTGCAAAATTACCATTATGTAGCAACAAAAAATAATTTTGTGATTGGACTTCACCACAACATGAGGAGCTGTATTAAGGGACTGAGGCATTAGGAAGGTTGAGAACCACAGATCTATACTATAGAAGGAGATAGTTAATAAATAGACAGAAGCAAGGTTTCTATGCTAGAGGCTGAAAACTAGTTCATGTCACAATTACAAGCGGTGACTAGACACTGGTGTATACAGTATAGATATATAGAAAGATATAAATAATATGTAAAATACATGCAGTGAGCCAGACACTGATTGAGAGGCTGGCCACCTCATCTCTCTGATCTTGCTGTCACCCCACTGAAAGATGAGAAAACAGATTCCACAAGAAACAAATGGCTTGTGAGGGAGAGGCACACATGGCTTCTGGGGCTGTTGGTGTGAAACCTGTCAGATAAAAAGACTTTAGATCCTACTGTTTGTCGGGCTGTCCAAACATTTAGAACACTTACTGTGTAGTAGTCATACCAGCGGGCTCTGGGAAAATATGCCTCCACCGTTCTGGCCTTCTGAAATTAAACACAAATAAGGCGTCTGTAATGGAACCCTTGTCTAGGAGAGAGGAGCCAATGCATGCATGCGCAACAGCAGTGATACCCTTCAGTCTTGCTACCCCGAGGTCAGCTATAACAGGGGAGCCACTTCCTCATACTCTCTTTAACTGGAAAATTTCCCAATCAATTGCCCCCATAATGCCCCTTGGGATGGGCAACTTGAATTACTCTTTCCTTACTTAAAAAAAAACAAAAACAAAAAACTCACCCTCCAGTTAATTTCTAGACATACAAACATCCCTGCTTGGCTAAAGAAAAATTTCTAGGTATAGTAATATATGAGTAATATGGAATAGCTGGTCTTTAATCAGAAACCCAATCATTCTCAAAGGGAGTTTAAAAATGAAGGACTTTAGCTGTTTACCGGACCCTTTCATAAGGATGCAAAGAGCTATCCAGTAGCAGTGAGCTGGCCACACTGCTGCAAAACAGTTGGCTGGACAAACGTTGTTCTAAAGGCAAGAGGAGTGACTGATTGCATGGATTTGTTTTGCTACACCCCCCTACCGGACCACGAGGCCCTTATACTGCTAAATAAGGGAAAGACTACAACCTCAAACACGACACAACGTTATTTATCTTCCTCCCTGTCCTATGGAGCAGAACCGTTAGGATAACTTTAGAGAGACAAAATCGGCGGGCAGCCACCTAAGTGGTTAATTTTTCTGAGAAAGTTAGGAGAACTTAGGGCGGGTTCTTCACAGTTCCAGGGAAAATGGGTACAACAGGGGTGGGTGAGGGTGAATGTGTTGGTAACAGTTTTGTTCATAACTGGGAGGAGAGGATTTCTATCTCCACCTTGACCACAGGTGTGAGGAAACGTGCTCACCTGAGGATTTAGCTTTGAGTCTGTGTCAACAGAGCCAAGAGGTAGAGCTTTCTACGCTAAGAGGATATGGTGCTGTGGCCCCAGGGTATCATGGGTAGCCTGGCTTCACCTCGATTGCCAGTAGCATTTGTAATGTATCTTGGCCCAATTACAAGAAGGGAATTTTAAAAAGAAAAAAAGAAGTGGGATGAGAGACACCTAAGAATCCCCAACCCGCAGGCATCTCCTGCCCATGTTCACCCAGCTAACAGCTGGGGTCCTCCATACTCACGGGCTCCAGCACCGGGCTGACCAGGAAGGCGGGACCCAGCAGGAATTGTTTGTCTATATCCCACGTCTCCCGGTCTGACACAAACCTAAAAAGGGAAATTGAGGTGTCGCAATCAGAGCACAGCGAGGACCCAGCACAAGACCCCGAAGAAATCCTCAGTTCTGAACCCAAGCAACAAATGCAGCTGAATCCTGCAACATGTTTGTTCTCTCTAGTTTGATCAGGTCATAGAGACCACACTTCCTACAAGTCACCTCCCGCAAACTCCAGAAGGTGTTCAGGCACATGGGTTGTGTACCATTTCTCCATTTGCTTTTACCATAGCACATTTTAAATATGAATATGGCCCCCATCCCTCAAGTTCCCCCCCTTGGGACGCCCACTTCAGCGATATTAATGCATTTAGGTCAGTGTCTACATGAACTACAGAGGATAAGATAGTTTCTGCATGGCCAAATAAAGAAGAAATCATGATATTTTATGTTGTATCACTTTAGAACTTCCTTTGTTAAAAAATGAATGAATAAACCCTTCCATGAAGACCCTGGGTGTATGAAAAAATTTAATTGTAAGGGTTGTGGGGGAGAAAGTATGCTCTCTATGTAGAGAGCTCAGAACATATAGGACTGATACATTCAATGACAAAAACTGTATCAACTTCCACTCTGCAGGGTGAAGGAGGTACCCAAGGGTCAACAGTATTCCGGCTGGACACTCACTCATGGAGAAGAGGCCGCACAACTGTGCTGCCCTCTGTGTGGGCCTTGTACATCAAGGTGTAGAGATACGGCAACAGGGTGTATCTGGTCTCTAGCACACTCCTGGAGATGTCCTCAAAGGCTGTATCCCAGGAGACAGGGTCTTGTCTCTAAAGCAGCAGAAGAAAAGGGTTCAGATCCACCAGAGACAACAAAGAAATTCAAGAAGGTCATTAAAGGCCCATTGGAACTGCATATCACACTGCTAACATCCAATCAACTTTGCAAAATAATGGATATGATCATTGGACTGCTAGAACATTCTTAATGGACTGGTAAATATCAACAAAACTCTACCAGAAAAAAGAAAAGTCATAAGGCATTCTTCACAAGATATAGTGGAAAAGAGCCCCTAAGCAAAAAGTCATAAAAGTAATATCGGAGACTTGGACAAGGATTAACGGCTTTGCTGTTGTCCCAGGGACACAGGCAGCAGGACTGCTCTCAGAAACTGAGGTAGCATTCCCAGTGACACAATGCATAAGAGGAAGCTGGCATCCTACCCTGGTCCCGATGGTGTTGTGGTTCCGGGAGAAGGGGTAAAAGGCGCCCAGCTGCATCCAGCGAACACACATCTCATACTCAGCATCTTGAAAGAAGCCGCAGATGTCTGACCCGGTCTGAAACAGCAAGGAACAGAGTGAGCTCTTGGTGCTTGCTCAGAGATGCTGCCACCCTCCCAGGGGGAGGAGCATGCCAGAGCACTTACATAGGAGATGCCAAAGAGACTGAACTCCATCATGCCTGCAAGGAGAGATTCATCAGGGTCAGGGCAGGTACTCATTCTCTGCCTCCTCCTCCTCTTCCTCCTCCCCCCCTCTCCACCCTCCGCCAGCAGAGGCCCTGGGCACAACCCACACACCAATGATGGATTTCCCCAGCTGGTCCCAGGCAGCTGTGTTGTCTCCCAGCCAGTGTCCTGCCCAGCGTCCAGAAGAGGGGAATGTGGAGCGTGTGATGACGATCCCTCTCTCGCCTGTCACCTCCTGGAACAGCTCTGGTTGGGGAAACAAGAACATATTAAAGAAAGGCAGAGAAAGGAAGGCAGTACAGTTTCTCCTCCAAACCCTTTTACGGTGGCAAAAGTTTGCTACATCTGGAGGGAATCTGCAGATCTCATTTGTGAGGATTCTGCTGGCTGACTGATGGGGATAATGGCAGGGACAGTTTTCATGCCTTTCCATAGCTTAAAAAGTTATCATGTGATCAACCCACAGGTCGTCACCAAAAGGTCTGCCAGCAATAAAGGTTCTTAGTTATTTGCCCAGTGTTTGTTTTCTGTATCTGGGGAAGAAAAATAAAAATTCTTTTCTAAAGTTTCTCATAAGAACATTAGATCTACACATGGGCATACAATATGATGTTATTTGATAAAAGAACCATGGACTATCTTATGAAGTGGACATAATAACTAAAAACAAATGATAGACTAACAGACGTCTAAAAATATTTTCTCATTCTGAAATTAAGTAGGGAAGTTTCAGTCGTCTGTTTCCTGTTTGTCTCTACCTAAAGTGACTTCTAACGACAGCACTTGCTACATTGTGTAATGAGCCTGTGTCCCCAGATGAGTGGGTCCTCGCCAGCACTATTCCCCCTGATGTAATGGTACCGTGTTTAAATCTTTCTTCCAACTGTATTCACAGTGTGTAGTCACATGCTCATAGAGTGATTGCTTAATACACACAACTGTCTACAAAGGTATAGTCAGATGACTTTTCAGCCCTTAGTATAGAAAATGATTGACAAGTGAGAACATAAACCCACCACAGACTGTCCCCACAGGTGCCACCAATAAGAGACAGGAGAGGATCACTCACTCGTAGGTGGGTCTGGTCTGGGACCACCCATACAGGCTGTGCACATCGTAGTGCCGCAGCCGAGAACCATCTGGAAGGATCTGCTCACTCTCCATGCACAGGGTCTTACTGCTCAGGCCCCTGTCCCTGGCTGCCAAATCTGAAGGAAAGAATGCAAAGCCTTGACTCTTAATTCTTGACAACTTTTTAGAAGAAGTCTTCCTGAGTCCCCCTCTACATCCCAGATGTATAAGAACAAAAGTCTTCTCTGAGTAGTAAGGTGACTGGAGGCATCGTCAGCATCCAATTCACTAAAGAAAATGTAGTGGGAGGAGGGATACAGTTTGCCAAGTATTTACTATGGGGTTGGTACAAGCATCAGCTTCCTTAAAAGATTTCTCTCTCTCTCTCTCTCTCTCTCTCTCTCTCTCTCTCTCTCTCTCTGTCTGTCTGTGTGAGAGAGAGAGGGAGAGAGAGAGGAGGGGGCCTACTTACAGCCACCATAAGGAGATATCTAATACTTTGCACCTGGAGTTCTCTGACACAAGTCCTCTATTAGGACATCATTTTCACTCTTAACTGTTGAGCCATCCTTACAGTCCCATAAGCATTTAATACACCAGTTATTTCATATCTCTTAATCATATTTCTGTGAGGGGATAGTGTTGCCTTCCTGTTGCACTTTGGGAAATTTAGATTTGATAATGTCTCTGGAAGGTCACACGAGTAGGAAAGGCACAGTGTATGGAGCTAAGATCTAGAAGTACAACACTCCAAAATCTACCAGCTCCAGAAAAAGGGGAAGACACTTCATTTTACATATTGTTTCAAAGTAAAATTCTGTAAGTTATCACAAAACAGACATTATCACAGTTATGAACAAATTCAAGAAATTTTCTAATGTCTCTAGTTGGATAATGTGATGTGGTTTTGACTTAGGCCATATGAAACCAAATTAATGGTGTAGAGGTCCCTTGGTGGTCAGGGTAACCCTGGATGCAAAGCTCATCTTTCTTCCAGACACTGAGCAACAAGAGAAGAACCCAAGGCCCTTACGTGGCATGTAGGGAGGACGGTTCAGAGTAGCATCGCTGCAGCCTGGAGGAACTGCCCCATTCACAAAGCTGGAAGGTTCATTCATATCCTACAAATAATGAGATTATGGCTTATTTTTTAGGATACGTAAGTTCTGTCAAATCAGAAACAAAGAAATAGTTTCACATTCAATATCTAGCACCTCTTTCAATGCTTCCCAGAAAGGATGATGAACTACAGGGGAAGCACAGGCTAGAAAGAAGACATACCCTCAACATGACAGCTAGACGTCTTCACTATTACCCCTAAGACAATCAACACTAAGGATTTCCAACTAACTATTGTGGGAGTTTTAAAGCAGGAACTTCAGGCTGGTTCCCACATATTAAGCAGAGACAATTCTAAGTTTGACTGGATGACCCCCACTTTACAATGTCTGAATTCTTTTTCTGAAATTATCACCTTGCCCAGTGTCATGGATCCACAAGCTCAAAACAACACATGCACAAACACACATACACTCATGTGTATACAGATATGTCCATGCTCACTTACAATCCACAGGCCATCAAACTTTAAGCTCTTTGTTGAGTTCTGTGGGTTCGTGTGCAGTTCTTGAATCTCTTTCTTCCACCATTTGGAAGTGGAATCACGGAAAAAGTCTGGGAAGGCCACATAAGCTCGGTATTGCTGCCAAGTGACAATAGAATCCATTTACGGTGAATGATTATATCCTACAGGAAGCTTAAAGAATTCTTCTATTTTAATAGGTCTACAAAGTGATAGTCTGAATAGAGCCAATACAATATTACATTCTTGATTTATTAGAAAAATATTTAGAATAAAGATAGAAAAGAATAAATATTATGCATTGCCAGCATTTGGAAGCTATTACAATGTATGACTTGGAATGGTCTGGGGATCTTGGGCTTTGTGTGGTTAAAACCTAAATTTAAAACTTCTATGCTGTTTCCAGAATGATGGTTTACCTGACTAATGGTTGAATCTAACAGACTTCTAAATCTCAGCTGTACCATGTGAACCATGACTAATACAGCTTCATCATCAACTAAACCATCACACCTGTCTGGTACACTAGGCCTACCTTTTACTTCCCTACCACACATACCCACACAATTCCAGTCCCTCAATTATGATCATCGTTAAGGAAGATTTAAAGATCTGACCCAGACCTTTAAATGAACAGGCTGTCTCATTGCTTCAGATAAACATCTTAGCAAGAGGAGGGCCTGATGCTTCTATTGACAGTTGTGTCAACAAATTTATTCACCCAAACAACAAACGTAGATGAAGATGAGAAAAAGTTGGGCTGAAACATAGATTGCTTGGTTCCATTAAAATGAAAAGCCTATTCATAGAAGAAAGAAAGTTAATAATATCAGACTACAAATAAAAGTAAAAGCAAAGTCTAGAGGCCCAGTGAAGGATGGTAAGTTGGCTCCAGATTAATGTGAGAATATGGAAGAGCCTAAATATGAACATAAATATGCACAGAGAAAAAAGATGCTACAACTGAGGACAAACATTGGAAACTGTTTTATAGAAAGAAATGATAGCACTCTTGGAGCCAGAATCTAGTTGAGTTCATAGACCTTAGGGATTGACCACTTTAGATTTGAAATTGCCTTTGTGACATGGAAAACTATGACAGGAAACTTGAGCACACCGAGTCTTAAGCCCCATGTCCAATAATACCAACATCACACCTTGAAGGAAAACACTGTTACTCATAAAATAAAGAATCTCAGACTGACAGGAGAAACAATCCTCCTAAGTGATTCTCACATGTGTTTATCATAAAAGTAGACACATCTAGTTCCCTAGACATGACTATCTCTTCCTGGCAACCCTGACTACAACCAACATCCACAAGGGCCTTTACCTCTACTTGACTGTCCCAGTCTAGAGAAGAGTTCACCACAATACCAGGGTAATCAGGCCAGACCTATGGAGAGAAAAGGTTTATCAACAATATACTGAACAAATTTTCATACAAAAAGTTTCCTTGAAAACGAAAAGCAAAGGATCTAGGACTAATAGTTGCCAGGTAGGATTGACCTACAGAGAATAGATCTCAGAAAGCCCTTAAGCATATCAGCAGATGTTAAATGAAAACAAAAGCAAAAGAAAACCACAGCTCTAGAAGGCAAACATAACATAACAGGCACAAACTCAATATTCCCAAAGGGCACTGACAGTGGCTCTGGCCCAGGGTGAGGATTCCTGGATCAATGCCCAGATCATACCTTTCCCCAGACAATGTCTCCATTATTGGGAAATCTGATGAAGACGTCATCCTGTACACCTCGGGTGAAGGCAGGGTAGGGCTCTGTCTCGTTGCCAGAAATAGCTGGGTCCTGAAACCAGAGCAGAAGGCACATGGAAGATTAAGACCAAAGATGGGGTAGAAAAAGTAAAGTCCCCAATTGCAACTGGTACTACAGTGACTCTGTGAATCCCAAGAAATGCAGCTCTACTGATCACACGTTCATTTCTCTCTGGATACCAGAAAGGACAGACATCCTGAGGCAATCCCCACACAGGCCCACCCATTGTCTAAAGTACTGCCTACACTTTCACACAAGGACTAACCAGAATGAGGATGACCCGCATCCCATCACGCTTCATGCGATCGATCAGGGCTGGAAACCCAGAGAACTTGGGGCTGAGGGTGAAGTCCAGCTGCCTCTCCATGTAGTCGATGTCTGAGTACTGCACGTCCTGGGATGATATAAGAAAGTATGGCAGCTGCCTGGAAACCTCAGACTCAGCAATTCCCACACCTTGAATCCAGAATTTAAACTTCTATTTATGACATATTGTAGCTGTGGATATTGAACTGATTTTTTAAAATTTCACTCAGAAACAGAAAAAAAAACCATTTCAACATCAACAAAATGTGTAAGATGAGTATCTTAAAAGTTGCTGTAAAAAAATAGAAGATAAAAAATAATATAAAAACAAGCTCCAGGAAAAAGTGCTTTGGCTCTCTCTATGAGTGTGTCCTGAAATCGATGATGTTTGTTCATAAAAAATAATGTCAAGCATTCAGTCCTAATATGACAGGGATCATAGGTCTCCTATAAAGAATTAAAACCAAACCAGCCCTCACTATAGGGGACCCACTGTGGGAGGTGATCAAACACAGAAATTTCAGTGAGATGCTCTGTTACAACAGTGGTTCCCAACCTCCCTAATGCTGGGACCCTTAGTACAGTTCTCATGGTGCAGTGACGCCCAACCAGGGATGTTTACCTTGATAATTCATAACTGGGATTTTGCAATGAAACAGATTATAATCTAAATACCCGTGTTTCCCAATGATCTGGGGCTACCCTGTGAAAGTGTTGTTTGACTCCCTCCCAAAAATAGTCTCAAATTGAGAACCACTGTTACACAGAAAGTGCTTTGCATTAATGCAACACAGAACAATAAGTAAAAGACAAACACAAATATTAACAACCTGGTTTCTGATTATTGGACCTCTGGCTTGTAGTGAAGGTCGCTTTTTCTGTATTGGATTCCACTACTAACTCAATACAGGATTCCAGCATGGAGGCATTGAGAGGCTCAAAGCTCAGGGAGCATTGTGCCTGCCAGCCTCAAGAAAGCTGTCCTCATAGGGAATGATTTTGCTGAGTTTAGGTAACGTTAGCTCTAAGCAAAACTAACGTGGAGTGGTATTTTATTAACATGTCAGTAAGGACAGTATAGACAAATATCTTGAAGTCAGTCAAGAAGCAGAGGAAAGCCTGGCACAGGAGACAGCACCCGCGAACCAGGCTTAGCTCCTCTGTGTTAGTCTAAGCCATCACCGTTATGAGGGCAACGGTCTCCCCTGGATCACTATGGATGCTCTAGGCTCAGTGTGACATGACATGAGAAAGCACAGTGTATCCTTTCAAATCCACACTTAAATCTGACAAACAAATCCTCAACAGATGTACGTACATAGGGGATCCTTTTAGTCACCATGTCATCATACAAGCTGGCGATCTCACCATCATTCTCATATCCATAGCGACACAGCTGGAATCCCAGGGACCAGTAAGGCACCATCACTGGCCGACCAATCAGCTAGAAAAGAGACAGAAGGTGTTAGTACTTTTAAGGAGAACCCAGACTGTAGATAAATAAGGAGAATATTTGACCACCCCTCGTTAGACAACACATTGAACTCTAGAAAGAAATTAGGGGGGCACAGGCCCCTTTCCCCCAATGATACCTTGAGAAAATCTTTCTGGCAGTCTAGAGCTTATTTTCAAGGAATTCTGAAAATTCTTGCTGTGCCCTAACTTTAATTGAAGTCTATTGCACTGGTTATGAGCATAAACCCCTTAGGTAAAATCCCTACAGTCCCTAAGTAAGAAATGCAGCTTCAGTCCTAGCAGCTCTGTTAGCACAGGGGAAGGTAAGTAACTGGTTTCCTCTTGTAAACATGGATAAAAGTAGTTTCTGTCTCACAGTGTTTTTATGATAACATCTGTGACATAATCTGTCACAGCCAACTGGTGGTGTTAACATTTCCATTTCCACCCAATACTGTCACTACTAGGCATATAATCATCATTGTTCCCTGACCATCAGGACCCTAACCAATATCAGCATCACCAGTATTAATGATAGTATCCCTTCCAGCATCATCAGATGCATCACCACTGCTCTCACAGTCATCGATACAACTATCACCTCATCAATACAGCCATCACATCATCGATACAGTCATCACCTCATCAATACAGCCATCACCTCATCAATACAGCCATCACCTCATCAATACAGTCATCACCTCATCAATACAGCCATCACCTCATCAATACAGCCATCACCTCATCAATACAGCCATCACCTCATCAATACATTCATCACCTCATCAATACAGCCATCACCTCATAAATACAGCCATCACCTCATCAATACAGCCATCACCTCATCAATACATTCATCACCTCATCAATACAGCCATCACCTCATAAATACAGCCATCACCTCATCAATACAGCCATCGCCTCATCAATACAGCCATCACCTCATCAATACAGCCATCACCTCATCAATACAGCCATCACCTCACCGATACAGCCATCACCTCATCATCAATACAGCCACTGCCTCCCCACTATTACCACTTTAAAAATGGTTCCCTCCAACACTACTAACTCAGCCACCAGCATTCTCATCCCATCACTATTACCGTGCACCCCCAGCACCACTAAACTCACCCCCCCACCACAAATATCCCTGCAATGCCATAACAATGAGAGAAGCTCCAACGTCATGGTGGGAACGCACTGTTCCCGTGTCTATGATATACCCACTTCCCACGAAGCCAGCTCTTCTAATTACCGTGAATGGATTACACTAATAGACACACGATTAGAAGCAGAGGGCACGCTAATACCAATGCATTTCAGCGAAATGAACTTCCTACCTCCGTGTACTGCTGGGTGACAAGTTCAGGAGTCGGCCCCAAAAATACATAAAAGTCCAAAACTCCCCCTGTGGTGCGGTACGTGAGAGCAGGCGTGGGCTGGAAGGTCACGTCTGAAAATACAAGAAAAAAAAATCAACAAAAGATGAAAGCCTTCAGGTTAACCAGTTAGATTTCAAAGTTTTATTTCTCTTACTTCCACTTTAGAATATTAATGGCAGACATTTTATACTAAATCAACATAGAATTAATGAACAGAACCCCACAGGGTTCTATTCCTTTAATGGGCCTTATTATTTGAGAGTCTGAAAATTTTAATTATCATAACTTCTATTTCATAGTAGCATAGAACTCATAAGAAATATCAGAGTGTCACTGAGAATCTCAGTGTCTGCCTCCAATGGCTTCTGGCAATGAAACATTGCTGCCAAACTAGCAAAATTCCATTGATGGGAAACTACCAACTCCATTATAAATGATACTTGTTTCTCCACCAGCTAGAGTACGCATTTCCTGAAGTTGATTTTATGCCCCTTTCTTATGTGGCATAAAAAACAAACAGACAAACAAACAAACAAACCTCGCCCTCATTCTGCCTGAGGCAGTATTACAACCCAATAGCTTGAGAGTAATTCCAGTTACACTATCAGTTACCTCCAGCTGACCTCCGGGAATTAGAGGAATTAGGGACACACTTGGTTTTGCTATGTCTTCTTATGTAATTGTTGCCAAGTAAAAGCTTAGTAAACATAGCAATAATAAATCTCTAGAATAAAATGAATGCTAAGCACAAAAAAAAAATATTAGCCACGGATGCTAGTTTGGGCTTAAGATATAGCCAAGACAAATACTTTCTAAAGTGAGATACACAATGAGGGACACAGGTTCATCCTACCCATGGCATTGCTGTTCAGCAGGAGGACTCCATGGGCGTTGCCATCCTCCTCCAGCCCCATGTAGTAAGGGTGGACACCATAGGAATTCTTCTTGTACTGAGAGGAACAGGGAAAGGGGGTTAGGAGGCTGACCGCATGCAGGGAAGAAACTCAACAGAAACTGGATTGCTGCATTGAGTCAAGACAAAAGGGAGCTTAAAAATGTGTCCATCTGCCTTGCAATGGAAGACAACAATCTCATGGAGTGTGGAAAGAAGAAGCAGAAGACACACAGCGTGGGCGGAGGGGACAGAACACAGACACACGCACTGTCCTTACCCCCGGGGGCTCATCCCTGGAAAACATGCCCCACGTGTGCCAGTTCAAGTCAATCTTGAAGGTTGTGTGCTCAGTTTCCCCAAAGCCATAGATGTGTGTGGAGGGCAGGCGGGTGGAGATGCGGATGAACATGTCATTGAAGGTGAAGCCCGGGAGCTGAGAGTCCCAGCTGCAGACGGAGAAGGGACATTTGCCAGAGAAAACCAGCATCCCAGTAGGTTACAAGAGCTGCCTTTTGAGGACAACAGAGCTCTGGGTTCTCCTCATACCATCAGAGCTGATCATCTCCCAACAAAATGCAAATGTATGTACTGCATTAAGCAATCACAGACGCTTCCTCCCTTCTCCGCCCTGGCCACCTCATCTGCTATCACTCACACCCGCCCTGTCATCCCTGCTCCTTGAGGGCCCTCCTCCTGCTGGCCTCCTGGACTGTGACTGAGGAGACCCCACACCAGGTCGCAGCTCTGCTCATTCCTCAGTGACTTCTCCCCAAGCCTCCGCTGCTGCTCCCCCTTCCAAACCCACTTCGTGCCTTTGCTTTTTCTCCCATGTCCATCCCTCAGTGACTTCACCAAACGCTACTACTTGACAAGCCAGCTTTCTGGGCTGTGCTTCGTGCTCTTTGTCTTCCCTCTACCCGGAACTCCGTGTAAGGCGCATCCTTATCCAGGGTCTATTCCAGATGGCATTCCTTGCCAGAGAGACAAATTCGGACCACAGCATCAGAAGCAGTGGCCTCCCTATAACTTGGTCAAGCCCATTTTCCTATACGACGGGATCACAGACAGCCACATTAGCGCCCTGTGTGTGGTGTCTGTACCACCTAAGACCCAGAAGAAAATCCTGAGACACTTGTTGGATATAGTTCTCCCGTAACTGCCTCAGCAATCACCCTCAGGACACTGAAGACGTCCCCTAAGGACAGACCAAGAGGAGATTGCTTCCCCAGGGTTTTGGTCATGTGTACTGTGACACTTTAAGGTAGGCTGCCTGCAATGACAATGTGGCTGGTGAGGAATGCTTAGGAAAGAAGGAACTCCAAGTCACACCAGGACCCACTTACATGACAGAGCCTGTACTCTTCCTGCGAATTTCAATCCCAAATGGGTTCTCCTTGATGAGGACATCATAGAGACGGCCGTCTGGGGTGCTGGATGGAGCACTGGGGATGTTCAGAGGCACCGGGACCTCGTACCGACTGTGGTTGGGATCATAGATCTAGGCCAGAGAAAATGCATTTAAAGAACCAGGTGAGAGAGTAACTTGTGATGTTCTGTAATACTGTTCTACAAGGGTCTTATTTCTCTCTGGGTTTTGGTTAAGATACGGTGTACTTTACTGTGGAAATTCAAGCACAGAACTTGTTCTAAAGTTCTGTAGCCTTGACTAGCAAAGAGCAACAGGGTTAGAAAGGCCCGGTCCACGCCTGACTGCACATGCTGTGTTCACCTTAAACTGCAGCATCTCGTTCTTGTGGTAGATCACGCGCAGTTGCAGCTGGTTCACGGGTGTGGAGGGGAAGGCATGGCTGTAAGGAGAATCCTTCAAGGAGATGCTGGCTGTGGCCTCATTCTCGAGATACTGAACATTGCTGACTGAGTACAGGTCATTGACAATGTAGCAATGAGGGACCCCAGAAATGTTGGATTCCTGAAAAGAGAGTCGATATCCTAGATCAGCAGGAATCTGGAGTTACAAATAGAAAGAGTTTGGGAAGTCAACTTATATGAAGAAAGTGTGTGTGTGTGTGTGTGTGTGTGTGTGTGTGTGTGTGTGTGTGTGTGTGTGTGTGTGATTTTAAGTATATTTTAATAGTTGGTCTTCAAGAAACATATTTATAAAAATATCCCAGGCCTATCCCCAGTTATTCTCTAGTCTTCCCCAGATTTCTGAAGCGGTCCTTTCTCCCTATGGATCTCAGTGTACCGACAGGCTGTGCTCAGGAAACATTTGCGAAACATCAGTGAACACCTTCGTCTAGATTTACCTTCCAGACGCAGCCTCGGGCAGCACAGCTTGCCTCAGAAGCCCCGTGTTGATCTGGATAACAGTCTATCTTCTCTTCATCCTTTATGCTGCCATTCCAGTCCACTGTGTAGGATTCGTTGAGGAGAAGTTGGATGCCCGTAATAATTGCAACCTGTAGGGGAGGACGAGGCCCAAGAAATTCATCATTAGGAACAAAATCCTGACACAGTCTGAAAATACCTTCAGATGACTAAAAACAGAGTCTCAACAACATGAGGCATATGCCTGGCTTGCAGGAAGACCTGTGTATTGCATGCTGGGACTCTCAAGAGAGGCAGGGAAATATCGGTCCCCTTACTCGGTTAGAACCATTAGGATCTTCCTCATCACACTGAGGAAGAAGTGGCATGAATAGCCTTTGCTGTGACCATTGCTCTTCATTCCTTCCCCGACCTATCTGTCCCTTATTCTGTTACAAAGACTCCGTCCTGCTCTCCTAGAATTTAACTTCACTTCTTGCGTTTCACTCCCCAAAGCAATGTCCCTGCCAGTGGGGGGGGGGGGGGGGGGACATAAGAGGATATGCAGTGTCAATCACAGGCCCAGGTTCCTATAATGATTAGTGTTGCCGACTTCCCATACACTGGGATCACCTGGAGCGTGAGTCTCTGGGCCTGCGTGTGGGAGATTATCTCTGTTCATCAGGGAATATCTGCCCACTGCGAGGGGTGTTACTTCCTGGCTGGCATCCTGGGCTGAGCAGCAGTATTCATCCATGGCTCTCTGCCCCCTGGTTGTGGACGGGAGGTAACCATGTGCTTAGCTCCTGACACCTTGGCTCTCCCACCTTCATGGACCATACCTTTAAGCCATGAGCCAGAATAAATGTATCCCTCATGGGTTGCTCTTGTCTGTGCATTTTAGCCAAGCAACAAGGGAAGAAACTGAGGCAGCTCCCATCCCCACACCTCTATGAGATCACTGACAAGCTAAGTGGATTTATTGAGTCTCAATTTAATCAGTTATAAAACATGTCTCTATTCTTTTACTATCTGACTTTTCTTTAAACCTCTCGCTTCCTTAAACCTCTCACTTGACATTTTAAGAACCATCGTGCTCCTCACAGGCTCCTCCCTAGCTGATGCTTTCCCATCCTGCCAATCCCAACCATGCACCATCATCCCTAGCAAGGCCTTGGTTCGCTGTAAGACTCTTTGACAATTAAATCAAGTATGGCCTTTTTGGTTCAGCACCTAAGACCCTCCAAAATCTGACCACATGTTCCCTCCAGAATAAACTGATCTCCACTTAGGACCAAATACTCCTGACCCTACATACACAGCATAGTCAGAGTGATGCTATCGGGCTATTCTTGGATTGGCTGATTTTGATATCTCAACATAAATGGCTTTACTTTCCTTTTATGGCTAAGTGGGGCCCATTTCAGAACATACTTCCTGTTGTCTTGGTCTTAAACCATGTGTCCTTCTGTGAGTGAGAAGCTCTCAGGAGATGGCTAGATTACATTCTGTCAATTATAGCTCTGGCTTTGAAAAGTTAGCATCAAGTTCACTGGCAGCAGCTGGGCAAGTGTTCCTTCGTTTAAGGATTTCCTCCCTCAGCTTTGTGTCTGACGACCTCTCTTTTCTATCTCTACTTCCTGCTTATTTTGTTTTCCCTTTTCATTTCTCCAAGAATGGATCATTGTGATAGAACCAATAATCAATCTGTACACCCCCTCAGCCGCTAAGTGCATGCCATCAATTCTCCATCTTTTAATTTCAACGGAAGGACAAAATGCTCAGGTCTTTTTGGGATGTCTCATCATATACAACTAATGAATCTCACCTGACACATCATCCTACCCTGAACAGCAAGCTCTCGACACCAACAAATATAAATCCAACCTCACACTGCTACATTTCATGGTGTCTGCATCCTGAATAGGTGTTATCAAGACAAAACTTCACATACAATAATATGCCAACACACTAGATTTATAAACTGGCTTATTTTCCCCAAAATTTGATTCCTCCTTCATACATGCCAATCCAGCAGTTTCATGACATGAACTCAAGATTACTGGGGGAGGGTTTCTCCTTATATCAAAGCGTGGAGGAATGCAACACAGCTCTGTCTGGTGGATACGGCTGATTTACTTTCCAGTGTAGAATTATTTGTTATCACCTAATCCGATAAACAGCCATTTGAGTAAGAGCCTCAAATTCTTAGTCTTAAATATCTCCATGAGAACGCATATGTATGTTGGAATGAGACTTTCGGTACTGAAGCAAGCAGGGGGAGAAAAACCTTGACAAAGTTAAAACTTAAAAAAAAATTTTCAAAAATTTAGCTCATTAGGACTCAGCACTGGCCATTAGCTCTCAGATGCCCATTAGTCTGACCCAACCCAAACTTCCTTTTCGGTACTACTCATGTAGTGTGTATGTGGTATGTGTGTGTGTATGTGTGTGTGTGTGGTGTGTATTACATATGTATATATGTATCTATATATGTTAATAAAGTTAGTAAGAAAGCAGGACTCTTAACAGACAAAAAAAAAAAAAAAAACCAACAAAAATTTGCCTTTACCATTCTTGCCCTACAAGCTCCCTGACTCATTTCAGCTCAGATTATCTTCCAAATGCCATCACATTTCCCCATAGCCCGACCTTCCCATCAGTCTTCGGAGGTGCTGTCATCCTTTTAGAACCCCAGTGACTTTAGCAAGAAAAATCACCATCATGCCAATTTGAAAAGCCTCAACAGAGCAGAGACTTACCTTTGTGTTAGGGTCATATGTGACTTGAGGAGACATCTGACTAATGACACCATTGTGCTTCACTGTCACATTGTGAAGCACCTCTGTTCCAAAAATTTTAATCTCCTGAAATGCCAAATTATCAGGGTCTGTGTAGGTTGATCCTACAGCACTCACATCCAAGTGGTTCTGAAATACACCAAGCACAATTATAGACAAATTAATGGGCTGAGTTTATGTAGGTTCTCAAGTACCCCACCCTAGACCACATATCCTATCGTAGACCATGTCCTATACTAGATCAGATGCCCCATCCTAGACCAGATGTCCTATCCTAGACCAGATGTATCATCCTTGACCAGATGCTCAGCTACTGTGAAAGCCTCTGAGCCTTCTCTACTAATGCACATTTAGGTTAAGAACAATAAGAACATGCAGACAGATATTTTATATAACTATGTAAAGACACCAGCTTTATAAAACAACTATTAAAAAATATGACTTGCTTTGACTTATGAATATTATTGCTTCCTTTTGGCAGCCCAAATGATGGCATTACTGGGCATTGACTCATAAATGGGGATGTGCTCATCCGTAGACATTCCTGAAAATGTAGTCACACGCAAACACACGCCAGTAGGTGCTAATGGTCACATAAAAGGTCACACATCAAATTCCTAAAAAATATTCTACTTACTTGAGTGACTGAAAATTTACACAGAACATTATTGGTTGTGAGGTCTGAAAACAGAAGAGAGATGAGTCAGACTGGCCTGGGCACCGCAGAAGGACTACCTTTACCTCCCCTCCTTAAAGCTGACAGGTCATTTTCAAAAATCAAAGACGTGTGTCTTTTATGACAGATTGACATTCCACTGGGTCTAATGACCCCCACCTGTCCTTTCGCGTATCCGTCGGTGAACACAGGCTGTTTGCGTGTCTTCTCTGGTGGCGTTAGTGCCACCATGAACACGGAGGACACTACGAAAAGTCCTTACCCACCGCATTTACGTGTGAATGTTTTGGATAGCAGTGCATGGAACTGCAGTTGCCGAGGGGCAGAGGGGTAGGGAAGCTGCTTAATGGTCAGAGGCACTGACTTGCCAGAGCATAAAGTACAGCATGGCTGAGAATGGATGTCTTCATTGTTGATCGTATTGATGGTAATCAGTAAATAGTGAGCATGTTGAAGACCTTGAATGTGGTCAAACTTGATCAATTTGTTATTTTTAAAGAAAGCCAACATGTTTGAAGCTGTATCTTGAGAATGGCAAAATTATGAATAAACTATACAAGTCCAAGCCACTGCTTTGCTTTCTCACTACCATAACCCTGCAAAGATCTCCTTAAATGTTTTCAAAGCAGGCGTTCCATGGGAATCTATTTACTAAGCTAGGGCCACAAGATTACGCCACAGTAACGTATGTATGCTAAAGCACAGCCTGATGCATAGAGACTAGGAGAGTGTGTCTCATTGTTTCATACTGGCATGAGTATGCTTTTCATATCACCAACATTAGGGTTTGGGGGGTGACATATATTTCAGAACAGATTAATTACAGCACCAGCATAAAACTGTATCCCTTGAGTGTCTATTAACAAAAACGAGACTCTAGCCAACAGGAGAATTGAGAGGGGACTGGGGGAAAATGTTGTCCCTCCATCTGTGGTCATCTATCATGGCCTCTGACCAATCCATGCAGAAACACATGCTTTCTCTGGGAGGATGCTCGATGATGCTTGGTATTTCAGTCCCAGTAGAACGGCCAGCAGGGGTGAAGGGACAGAGTCAGACTTGCAGGTCCACAATGGCCACAGCCCCTCACAGCACTCACCCTTCGACTCCCCATCATCCCAGAACAGTTCTCCTCTGGCTTCTTTGTTCTCATCCAGGGCAACGATCAGGCCAAGGGGGTTCTTCCGGCTGAGGGGAACAAGGTTTACACAAGGCACAAGTCCTTAGGGCTCAAAGAATCTTGCCAAACATTTGCATCAAATTTCCACTAAGGAAGATACTAGTCAGTCACACATGTAACTTTTTTGCTTTAGGGACAGAGGGAGCATATCCTAAGTGTCTTCCTCTGATAATAATTTTACAAGATAAAGTATTTTAAACATCTGTGAAAGGTGCGAGTATGTAAGCCTTAGAACTTCTGAACTGCTGGCACAGTTACCATTAAAAATAGCCACTTTGGTCACTATATAGGTTATTAGAGAGGAAGAAATCCTAGACAATAGTGACATGATTTGCAGCATTTTAGACATGCTTCTCCGGGGAAAGAATCGCAGCAATTTGAATTAACTTACAGTCTTGCATGTGTCAATGATAAAGAATCGTGTAATAAGACAAATGGAGGTAACGGACTAGGGATATACGGACACCACACAGTGGTAAAGCACTTGCCTAGCTAGTATGTTCCACAACCTGGTCCTTAGGCCAAGTGTAGTAGAAGTGTAAGGTCAAGTGCAGCACAACAATTGACTGCAAGAGGGATAGCATCTTTGGAGCACTGAAAGCCAGCTCTACTATTAACACACTAAAAAAGATAAGCACGCCAAAGTCAACTTGGAACCACATTTAGATAGACTACGATAGTATCCAGCGGAGGTTCAGGCGTCAAGCTAGGAAGCAACAACATTTTAACTTTTGAAGCAGAAATTTGGTATCAGCATACAAAGTGACCTGAAGCTAAAGTTATTTGACACGGGGAGCGAGTAGGGAAAGCAGTGATTAGATTTAGTCATGTTTTCAAAAAAGTCTATAAGTTGAAATATTAAGAAAATGAGGGAGGTTCAAAAGCCTCCTAAGAAGTCCCCGTCTGCGAGGGAGTGCCTAGGCCCCGCTCCAAATGACCTGGCAGATTCTGATGATCCCTGCTGGAAGGCATCACCCTCCCTGTGGAGTGGGTGAGGGATGGGATGGGAGGGGGTGCGGGGGGCATGGGAGGATGGAAGGGAGAGGGAGCTGGAGTCGTTATGTAAAATAATAAATAATAATGAAAAGAAAAACATAAGTCCCTGTCTGTTGAAACCTACTGGGGCTAAACTTTGAAGCCTCTAAAGATGCCAAGTACCCTCTTCTGTAGAGACAGAATCATAACTGTGCAAGGAAAGAGAAGAAGTCAGTGGTTCGGGAAAAGTGGACGAGACCTGAGTTTGTGTTGCTAAAATCCAATTATGAATTAAAAAGAAAAAAGTGCTCAATTATTGACAAGAAAGAGGAAACTGGGTTTGTAGGAGCACAGTCAACGGAACCCAAATCTAGATCCTAGACGATGTGAGGCTCGAACAAACAACTATGCGTGAGATTGCTCAGAACTGGGTTTTCTCGACTCATGAGACTTACAATGTGAAAATGTCTATAGCCCTGGGCAAGCCAGGGTTGCCTAATACCTCAACTGTCAATTTATCCTCAAAACCAAGGTAAGGAGACCAGGAGGAAAGTCTTTCCGGGTCCAGCACAGGGCAGTTCTCTGTCAAGAGAACCTAGGGTAGAGACTACAGGAAACCCAAGGGCAGAGTATGGTGACTGTCCCACAACAACGACCTACACACTGATCAAGTATCCTCTGTCCATATTGTGCCTTTGTGTCAGCATCTTGGGGTCAACAGAAGCCTGCCGGAGGAGTTGGGAAAACAAAATACAAAACGTAGAGAAATCTAAGCTCAATAAAAATGCTTTTGGCCTTAAGGCTGATCCTGGAGCGTTTGATCTGTGACTCTTAACAGAAGAATGAGCTCAGAGGCGTGCGAAGCAGAACTGTGTGCTCCTGATTCACCTTAAGTGCGTGTTCCGGGCAGGTTGTTGCCATGGCAGGATGTAGCCCCCACGGACATGAAGATTGATGTGCTCGAGAGGGGCTGGTAAGGTCTTCCACTCCCCCGTTGAGTTGGTAGCTGCACCCTGGTCAAAGGGAAGAGAAATGATGAGGGAATGTGCACATCATCTCCCACCCACCTCCCCAAACCTGCTGCTGGGCCATCACCACTCATCTCCGCACACCACACCAGCTTCCACCCCTCGTTCACTCACCCGCTACTGTGTATGTGTGGCTGTGTTTCTCTAAGTGTCCATGAGAGTCCCTGACCTTTGCAGGATCTCATATGAGTCCCAGGCACCCTCGCCCTACAACCTCCCGCTAAGGTACAGAGGTGACGCTGGGCAATATCTGCGTTTATTTCTTGTTGACTACGGGCACGCTGTCCTTACTCCTACCCAGCCAAGTCCCTAACCCCTTTGATGCGTGCCCCGTTGCAAAGATCGGTATGAGCAGACTTGTTTACATGCCATTGTCTTGAACCGATTTCCCTGTCTTACATTTAACAAAACCTTTGCAGGGCATGGTGTGAAAGACGCTGCCCACGCGTCGGAGTCATAACCTAAGATCCTTCCACTTTTTCTCGACCACAGCAGGGATTCGTAAGGCAGAAATTTCTTCGTGATTTTCTTTCATTGGAAACAGATTTATCTCCATACAATACATTCTGATTATGGTTTCTCCTCTCTCTATGCCTCCCAGTTCCTCCTTACTTCCCCTTCTATCTAGATCTGCCCCTTTATGTCTATCTTTAGAAAAAAGTTATCCAAGAGATAATAATATAATAAGATAAAGCAAAAATTGGAATAAGACAAAACACACAGAAGGAAGAGCCCAAGAAACAGCTGTAGATGAAGAGCCACACTTGTTCACGCAGCCAGGAATCCCATAAAAACACAGAAACCGGAAGCCATGATATATACCCTAAATCTGTATGGTAATACATATATACAGACATACAAATACACTTACATATGAGCAAACGTACAATGAGAACTGGAAATTAAAAAAATAATAAACTGATACATTATGAGATGCTGAGTTTGACTTCTGCTGGCCATCTATTGCAAGGCACGCAGCCTACCCTTAAGAGTAATTTGTATTCCCAGTGGGTCCCCCTTGAAGAAAACTAATTGTTCATTTGAAAACAGTTGTCAATTGAAAGTAACTTCTGAGTTACAAATGGGTGCCCACTGCTCCTTTCCTTACTAATGTATGCCAGTCAATGCAGGCCCTATTAGCAATTAGACTAAAGAGTTCTGTTCTGTGATGTTATCTCTGTGTGTGCGTGTGTGTGTGTGTGTGTGTGAGTGTGCATGTGTGTGTGCATGTGTGCCTGTGTGCGTGTGTGTGTGTGCACATGCACACACACGTGCCCATGATCTCAAACACGCATAGGCCACATCGCTCTCGTCATCATGCTCCCCACCTTGCTTATTTATTTGTTTGCTGAGTTTTGACACAAGGTCTCTCGCTGAACCTGGAGTTGCTGATCTGCTAGACTGACTGAATCCTGTCTCTTTGCCTCTCCAGCACTAGGATCACAGTTTATTCGATAGCTATATTAACTCACGGCTTTCTCTTGGTTTGTGACTATGAAAAGCTCATGCACCTGTCTCTACAGTGCAGCACGTCATTTGGGGAAACTCAAATCCCTGACCCCAGGCCATAGTCACTCACACTCGGCCCTGAATAAATGACCTCGCATTCTTTTGGGGGTAAAAAATCTTTGCTTCTCATAGTCAGCACTGTCTCACCTATCTTGGCTAAACACATGGACCGATTCTTTAGCATCCATACAGAAACAGCAGACAGTTAAATACAGAGAGGAAAGGGTCTCCGTGAGGGCACGCTTCCATACACAGAAACGAGACCTAACATTGCTCTCTTCACTGCTTTCTGATGTCAGAACGAGAGCTCGCTAGCGTCTTCACCTTACGGCTAATGCTGACATGAGCATAGTTATGCTCACAACACACCAGGCACCAGACTGCAGGGTCACATGCCAGTTCATGACACCTCTCTAAAAGAGTGACTGACTGGCGCTTGTCTGATCCAGACACCAAGTGAGAAGACAGCTTGTCAGGACCGAGTGACTCATGATAGACCACAGTACATGAGTCCCAGCATCAGGGTTTAGTCTGTTATCTACTGAGTCTGTCACACGTAAAGACTCTAACACTATAGGTTGTATGAAAATTTAGCAAACTTACCGTATAGTAGTCATACCAGAGGGCTGTGGGGAAGTATGCGCTGACGTTTCGAGCATTCTGAAATTAAAATGAGACCTGGTATGGGTACTGCATTTGGAGACGGAGTGAGCAAGCTGCAATGTACACTTGTAGAAAAGAATAGAGCTGGAATTGGACACCTGTGCCTCAACTTCCTAAAGATCACCAATGCCAAGAAACCCAGTTTCCTTCTCAGGCTTCCAAGCATGGAAACTGCCTAAGAAAAACCAGTGCTTTCACTAAGGCCCTTTGGAGAACAAGACTCCAATGAAACGGCAACCCCCTGCTTGTAGCCTTACCCATCCCTTCTCTAAAGACACATACCCAAGTTAGGCATAGAGCAGGGAAAACCTCTCCAGGTTCAAAAGCATTTGCAGAGGATTTAATTAGCCTCTCTGTTTAGTTTCATGTACATCTGGGAACAGAAGTACCAAAATGTCTGTCGCTGCATGTGTGACCACATGTGTGAAGAAGCAAAGAGCCGGCCACCAGCCACAAGGTGACAACTATAGCCGCAAGCTGTCCTGGACATTTCAGTTAAAGGTGACAGGGGCCATAAAGAATCTTTACACTACTTCCTACACAGTTCATTTTAATAAAACATGAAGCTATTTTCGCCTTGACTGTTCTGTGAACTGGAATTACTGAGCTAATGTCAAAAACAAAACAAAACAAAAAAAAAAAAAAAAAAAAAAAAAAAAGGACTTGAGGGCAGAAAACCCGAGACACAGAATCCTATGCTGAGGAACCAATGGAGAATGGAACACCCGGTCTCCGCATCTAGCCCACACCAGACTTCCTTCTCCATATTCCCTCAGCCAAGCAGTTGGGATCCTCCAACTCTCAGAGGCTTCCATACTCACGGGCTCAAGCACAGGGCTGACCAGGAAGGCTGGGCCCAGGAGGAACTGTTTGTCTATATTCCAGGTCTCATTGTCTGACACAAATCTGGAAAGGGAGGGAGTTGAAGGTGACACAATGAGACCCTAAGACGGCTTTGCCCCGAGGAAATGCTTGAGCTAAGATGCATGTCAGAGATCCTACTACCATCCGCCTCCTTACTGTCTGCACACAACAAAGTGGATTAAACTCCTGCCTTCAGCCTCTGTGTCGTGGCCCCACAACTTCAGGAGCTGTCCACAAATGTGAATGTGGACAAGCAATTTCTTTATCATTGCACATCTGGAAGATGCAAACACGCTTTTTGTTCTTAAACCTTTAATGGAAAGCTCGTGGAGATGACCTGGCACAAATCATGGCTATATTATAGAAACAAATATGAAGAAAAATAATGCTGTGGATGTTGGATTTCCTCTATTTTTTTTTTTTTTTTTGTTGTTGTTGTTCAATAGGAGGACTTTCATTTAAGAATCGTGGCAAGCAGAGCACAGAAGGGCTGATAAAATAATGGCCCCTATTGGGACAGTATTGACAAAAGGGAGTCACACCTTCAGACCGGAAGAATTGTTTCATCAACTCCTACCTTACAGGTTATAAATACATTGCCCGTTTTTCAACAGAAATCCACCTGGACACTCACTCATGGAGAAGAGGCCGCACAACTGTGCTGCCCTCTGTGTGGGCCTTGTACATCAAGGTGTAGAGATACGGCAACAGGGTGTATCTGGTCTCTAGCACACTCCTGGAGATGTCCTCAAAGGCTGTATCCCAGGAGACAGGGTCTTGTCTCTAAAGCAGCAGAAGAAAAGTGTAAGACGTTTGTCATGGAATATAGTGGAAAAAAGTCCCTAAGCAAAATCATGAAAGTAATATCAAAGACTATGGTTTATAGGACGAGGATTAACGGCTTTGCCGTTGTCCCAGGGACACAGGCAGCAGGACTGCTCTCAGAAACTGAGGTAGCATTCCCAGTGACACAATGCAGAAGAGGAAGCTGGCATCCTACCCTGGTCCCGATGGTGTTGTGGTTCCGGGAGAAGGGGTAAAAGGCGCCCAGCTGCATCCAGCGAACACACATCTCATACTCAGCATCTTGAAAGAAGCCGCAGATGTCTGACCCGGTCTGAAACAGCAAGGAACAGAGTGAGCTCTTGGTGCTTGCTCAGAGATGCTGCCACCCTCCCAGGGGGAGGAGCATGCCAGAGCACTTACATAGGAGATGCCAAAGAGACTGAACTCCATCATGCCTGCAAGGAGAGATTCATCAGGGTCAGGGCAGGTACTCATTCTCTGCCTCCTCCTCCTCTCCCTCCTCCTCTCTCCACCCTCCCCCAGCAGAGGCCCTGGGCACAACCCACACACCAATGATGGATTTCCCCAGCTGGTCCCAGGCAGCTGTGTTGTCTCCCAGCCAGTGTCCTGCCCAGCGTCCAGAAGAGGGGAATGTGGAGCGTGTGATGACGATCCCTCTCTCTCCTGTCACCTCCTGAACAGCTCTGGTTGGGGAAACAAGGGGAAAAATTAAAGGCTGAACAATGGAAGGAAGTCAGTAGAGCTTCCTCCATGAAACCATTGTTCTTAGAACATTGTGACAACATCTTTCATGTATGACTAGAACGAATATAGAAATGACCCTTTAGAGGAGCTCTGGTTGGTTAACGGGATCGTAATGGTGGTAAAGCCCTTAGATGGTCGTGTTCAAGTATCCCACCATGTGACAATTCATTGGCTTTTCTCCAAATAGTAAGTAGTCACAGATTCTCGGTGTGTGTGTGGGGGGGGTGTGGGGGGGTGGGTGGGGGGGTGTGTGTTTAACCCACGCTTGACATTCTATATTTGAGTATTATTTTTCTTTTGGCTCACATTGTAAGTGTGAAAGCTAAAGAGATAGCATAAAAGAGTGAGGTTTCTAGCCCTCAGTTACCTCTGTCCTTTTGGAGCCAATGACACCACCATGTCGGCTACACTGCACAATGATGTCTATAGTGACTGTGAGTACGCTGGAGAGACTATAGATTAACTCACAGGGCTGGCTCCATGATTATGGAGAGACTGCTCAGCAAATACGAATTGTGACTAGCTTATCACAATTACAGCACACTTAGCCCTGGGAATGGGAACACGAATGTGAAAGTAGAGAAGCTGTGAAAGCCATGACAGAAGTAGTACCCACACAGGAAAGGAGAGGATCACTCACTCGTAGGTGGGTCTGGTCTGGGACCACCCATACAGGCTGTGCACATCGTAGTGCCGCACCCGGGAGCCATCTGGAAGGATCTGCTCACTCTCCATGCACAGGGTCTTACTGCTCAGGCCCCTGTCCCTGGCTGCCAAATCTGAGGGAGAGAAGGAAGGTCAGCGGAGATCAGCCTTGACTCTGAACACTTGGCCTCGTTTTAGAAGATAAGACTAACAAGCTCTGCCTGGGTCCCACTCTATTTCCCAAGAGCATAAGAGCAATAGTATTCTTTGATCACTAGGGTGACTGAAGGCCTTGTCGGCATCAAATTCCCTGAAGAAAATGCAAGGGTCAGTAGGAGTGGTCAGGTATTCACTATGGGGCAGGTTCGAGTATAAGCTTCCTTAAAGGATCCCCCCCTCTCTCCTCTCTCTCTCTCTCTGTGTGTGTATGTGTGTGTGTACATGCGTGCACATGCGCACGCACACGCTTGTAAGGAGAGGGTTTCCTGAAGCCCCCATTGGAGGCGTCTAATACCCTGGAGCTGGAGTTCTCAGTGGCTTTGGCCACCCGACAACAGTCCTCTAGTAATGTAGCATGTTTACTCTTCGCTGCTTCCATCCTTCCAGTAACATAATGTTTAGTGCACAAGCTATTCCATGTCTGTCTTTTATCATGTGTCTGTGAGTGATAACGTTGTCTGCCTCTTACACTTTAGGAAACTTGGATTTGGTTATGTCCCTGGAGGATCACACAACTCAAAAAAGGCACAGTGTATGGAGCTAAGCTATGAATGTGCATCACTCCAAAATCCACAAGCTGCATGAAAAGGGGAAGACACGTCATTGTACACATTGGTTCTAAGAGAAATTCTGCAACTTATAACACCACAGAGATTATCACAGTCTAAAGAAATTCAAGAAATTTTCTAGTAACTCCAGTTTGATAATATGATGTGCTTCGGACTTAGGCCATATTAAACCAACTTAATGGTGTGGAGGGACCCTTGGTGGTCAGGGTAACCCTGGATACAAAGCTCATCTTTCTTCCAGATACTGAGCAACAAAGAGACGCAAGGCTCTTACGTGGCATGTAGGGAGGACGGTTCAGAGTAGCATCACTGCAGCCTGGAGGAACTGCCCCATTCACAAAGCTGGAAGGTTCATTCATATCCTACAAATAGTGAGATTATGGCTTATTTTTTAGGATACTTAAGTTCTGTCAATTCAGAAACAATGAAATAGTTACACATTCAATATCTGGCATCTCTTTCAATGCTTCCCAGAAAGGATGATAAACCACAGGGGAAGCACAGACTAGAAAGAAGACATACCCTCAACATGACAGCTAGACACCTTCATTATTTCCCCTAAGATAATCAACTCTAAAGATTTCCCACTAACTGTTGTGGAGATTTTACAGGTGAGTTCCCACATACTAAGCAGGGACAATTCTAAGTTTGACTGGATGACCCCCACTTTGCAATGTCTGAATTCTTTTTCTGAAATTATCACCTTGCCCAGTGTCATGGATCCACAAGCTCAAAACAACACATACATGCACAAACACACATACACTCATGTGTATACAGATACGTCCATGCTCACTTACAATCCACAGGCCATCAAACTTCAAGCTCTTTGTTGAGTTCTGTGGGTTCGTGTGCAGTTCTTGAATCTCTTTCTTCCACCATTTGGAAGTGGAATCACGGAAAAAATCTGGGAAGGCCACATAAGCTCGGTATTGCTGCCAAGTGACAATAGAATCCATTTATGGTAAATGATTATATCTTACAGGAAGCTTAAAGAATTCTTCTATTTCAATAGGTCTACATAGTGAAAGTCTGAATAGAGCTTATGCAATATTACATTCTTGATTTATTAGAAAAATATTTAAAGATCAAAAGGCAAAAGTAATATACATTGCCAGTATTTGGAAACAATTACATTGTATGGCGTGGAATGGTCTGGAGATCCTGGGCTTTGTGTGATTAAAACCTAAATTTAAATCTTTCATGCTTGTGTCCACAATGATGACTTTCCTGATTAATGGTTGAATCTAGCAGACTTTCTAAATCTCAGCTGTACCATGTGAACCACAAATGTCTGGTACACTAGGAGTATTTTACACTTCCCTACCACACATACACATACAATTCCAGTCCCTCAATTATGATCATCATTAAGGAAGATTTAAAGGTCAGGGACATAGTGAAGTTCAAGGAGAGCATCCCTGAACCCTGTGAGCACTGCTCAAAGGCACACCAGGAAAACTCATAGAGGAACAATCAGGCTGCCTCAGTGTTCAGATAAACATCTTAGCAAGAGGAGGGCCTGGTGCTTCCATTGACAGTTGTGTCGATGAATTTATTCATCCAAGCAACAAATGCAAATGAAGACTAGAAAAAGTTAGGGCTAGAACCTAGATTACTTGGTTCCATTAAATGAAAAACTCTGTTCATGGAAGAAAGAAAATTAATTATATAAGACTTTAAATAAATCTAAAAACAAAGTCTAGAGGACCAATGAAGGATGGAAAGGTGGTGCCAAATTAGTGTGTGGATATGGAATAGCCTATAAATGAACATAAATACAAAGAGAGAAAAAAGATGCTACACCTGAAGACAAATACTGGAAACTGTCTATAGAAAGAAATAATAGCATTCTTGAAGCTAGCTTCTACTTGAGTTTGTAGCCCTTAGGAACTGATGGCTTTGATTTGAAATTGCCTTTGTGACAAGAAAAAACTATTACTGGAAACTTGAACACACTGCGTCTTAAGCCCTGTGGTCAATAATGCCAACATCACACCTTGAAAAAAAAAACACTGTTACACATAAAATAATGGGTCTCGGGCAACCAGGGGAAACATTCCTCCTAAGTGATTCATACATGTGTCTATCATAAAAGTAGACATGTCTAGTTCCCTAGACAAGACAGCCTCTTCCTGGCAACCCTGACTACAACCAACATCCACAAGGGCCTTTACCTCTACTTGACTGTCCCAATCTAGAGAGGAGTTCACCACAATACCAGGGTAATCAGGCCAGACCTATGGAGAGAAAAGGTTTATCAACAATATACTGAACAAATTTTCATACAAACAGTTTCTTTGAAAACTAAAAGCAAAGGTTCTAGGACTAATAGTTGCCAGGTAGGATTGACCTACAGAGAATAGATCTCAGAAAGCCCTTAAACATATTAGCAGATGTTAAATGAAAACAAAAGCAAAAGAAAACCACAGCTCTAGAAGGCAAACATAACATAACAGGCACAAACTCAATATTCCCAAAGGGCACTGACAGTGGCTCTGGCCCAGGGTGAGGATTCCTGGATCAATGCCCAGATCATACCTTTCCCCAGACAATGTCTCCATTATTGGGAAATCTGATGAAGACGTCATCCTGTACACCTCGGGTGAAGGCAGGGTAGGGCTCTGTCTCGTTGCCAGAAATAGCTGGGTCCTGAAACCAGAGCAGAAGGCACATGGAAGATTAAGACCAAAGATGGGGTAGAAAAAGTAAAGTCCCCAATTGCAACTGGTACTCCAGTGATTCTGTGAATCCCAAGAAATGCAGCTCTACTGATCACACGTTCATTTCTCTCTGGGTACCAGAAAGGACAGACATCCTGAGGCAATCCCCACACAGGCCCACCCATTGTCTAAAGTACTGCCTACACTTTCACACAAGGACTAACCAGAATGAGGATGACCCGCATCCCATCACGCTTCATGTGATCGATCAGGGCTGGAAACCCAGAGAACTTGGGGCTGAGGGTGAAGTCCAGCTGCCTCTCCATGTAGTCGATGTCTGAGTACTGCACATCCTGGGATGATATAAGAAAGTATGGCAGCTGCTTGGAAACCTCAGACCAGCAGTTACCACAGCTTGTGTTCTGCATTTAAACCACTATGTATGACATATTGTAGCTATGGATCTTGGACTGATGTTGAATAAACTATTTCAACATCAAAAAATAGTATAAAATGAGAATCGTAAAAAAAAATTAAAATACTCTAAGAAAAAGTGCTTTGGCTCTCTCTATGAGTGTGTCCTAAAATCAGTGATATTTGTTCATAGAAAATAATGTCAAGCATTCAGTCCTAATATGACAGGGATCATATGTCTCCTATAAAGAATCCAAACCAAACCAGCCCTCGCTGTAGGGGACCCACTGTGGGAGGTAATCAAACTTAGAAGTCTCATGAGATGCTCTGTTACAACAGTGGTTCCCAACCTCCCTAATGCTGGGACCCTTAGTACAGTTCTCATGGTGCGGAGATGCCCAACCAGGGATGTTTTCCTTCCTACTTCATAACTGTGCTTTTGCTATGAAACTGATTATAATATAAATATCTGCATTTCCAATGACCTCAGGTGACTCCTATAAAAGGGGCATTTGACACCCTGAAAGATGTCACAACCCATAAATTTAGAGCCACATGGTTACAGGAAGTGCTTCCCACTAAGACAACACAGAACAATGCCTACAAGACGCTGAGAAGCTCAGAGCTCAGAGAACATTCACTGTGTTGTGCCTGGCCCAAGAAAGTAATCCTCAGAGGGGACAGGTTCACTGCATTTGGGTTAAGTTTCCTTAATTAAGCAAAACTAGTAATGGAGTGGTGCTCTATGATCATGTCAGTAAGGACAGTATAGACAAATATCTTGAAGTCAGTCAAGAAGCAGAGAAAAGCCTGGCACAGGAGACAGCACCCGCGAACCAGGCTTAGCTCCTCTGTGTTAGTCTAAGCCATCACCGTTATGAGGGCAACGGTCTCCCCTGGATCACTATGGATGCTCTAGGCTCAGTGTGACATGACATGAGAAAGCACAGTGTATCCTTTCAAAACCACACTTAAATCTGACAAACAAATCCTCAACAGATGTACGTACATAGGGGATCCTTTTAGTCACCATGTCATCATACAAGCTGGCGATCTCACCATCATTCTCATATCCATAGCGACACAGCTGGAATCCCAGGGACCAGTAAGGCACCATCACTGGCCGACCAATCAGCTAGAAAACAGAAAGTGTTACAATGGTAGAAGAGAAGCTCGTTGGAAGTTAGAGATGAAGTCAGAATATTTTCCACAAATAAGACATCAAATTCAAGCCCAGAGACTAAGTAGAGGGGTGTGGAGATCCCAGGACTCACTATTGCATCTCATAGCACACTTTCCAGGAATTCTGCAAAACCTGTTTTGATTCAGATGCCTGCAGGCATAATTGAGATACCAAAAACACACAACAAAAAGGGATATAACTAACTTAGAATACAGGCTTGCTGACTGTGTGCCCTTGGGCAGTCATGGGACAGTTCTGTGCTTGTTTCATTTCTAATTCAGAGCTGAAGAGTAAGCGCTCTCTCCTGTCATTTGACTGAGTAACTTAGGACATGTGACATCCTCTGGCTTTCACTAAGTAATAGACACCGTAGATATTCCATACGTGTTTGTGGGTATCACCAGCAATGCTAGCATTCCCCATGACCATGACTCCCACCACCAGCACCAGCACCAGAAGAACAGTCATTGTCTCAGGCACCACGACAATGTCATGATGCAGTATTTGCCATCATGGTAACTCCCATTGCCACCACAGACATAGTCATCATTACCAACACTACTACTGCCACAACTATCGTATCTACTGCCACCATCACCATCATGACATCACTCTCTCAGACCCCAATATCAACTCACTACACTCATTTTCACGATCACCTTATGCCCTATCTTCCTCCCCACCATTATCACCCCAACTGAATCCGTCCTCACAGTCACTTTCACAACAGTGCTACCCACACATTCATTACCACCATCCCTCACCGCATCATCTCTACAACCCCAGCTCCACCACCACACTAGTCCCACCAATAGTTACCACAACTACTTGATTCACTGCAATACATGGAGAAAACATACTATTTCTTGAAATATATCCACTCTCCCACATCCCATATCATAACTTCTCCTGAGTAAGATCATCAAATCCAGCTAACTTTTGAGTTACAGTATATGGCAATCCTTTTTGCAGGATTGGAACACATTTTGAGTGCATGTATATGCACCCACATGAACATGCACACACACACACACACACACGCATGCACATGCACGCAGTACATTCCTTCCTACCTCAGTGTATTGCTGAGTGACGAGCTCTGGAGTTGGGCCCAGGAACACATAGAAGTCCAGAATGCCCCCTGTGGTTCTGTATGTCAGGGCAGGCAGAGGCTGGAATGACACATCTGAAAACACAAGAAAATGACGTCATGCTGAATCACCTCGTGTTGAGAATATTAACCCGGAATTCACACGTTCTCCCTTCAATTTTAAGACACTCACTGCAGATATTCTGGAGTAGGTGCATACAGACTTGAACGAGAAATATGAAAGCTCTCACTAGCTGCATTACAAATTAAAGTTGGGCATGCATAAAGGGTCAATGAAAGAGAAAGCAATCCACAATCCACAAGGACTATAATTTTTTCAATACTGACAGCTGTGTCAAAGCTATATGATAGAGCAATTCAAGAACGACTGGTACACAATGTGAGCAGGTTCATCCTACCCATGGCATTGCTGTTCATCAGGAGGACTCCATGGGCATTGCCATCCTTCTCCAGCCCCATGTAGTAAGGGTGGACACCATAGGAATTCTTCTTGTACTGAGAGGAACAGGGAAAAGGGGTTAGGAGGCTGACTGCATGCACGGAAGAAACTCAACAGAAACTGGATTGCTGCATTAAGTCAAGAGAAAAGGGAGCTTAAAAACGTGTCCATCTGCCTTGCAATGGAAGACAACAATCGCATGGAGTGTGGAAAGAAGAAGCAGAAGACACACAGCGTGGACGGAGGGGACAGAACACAGACACACACACTGTCCTTACCCCCGGGGGCTCATCCCTGGAAAACATGCCCCACGTGTGCCAGTTCAAGTCAATCTTGAAGGTTGTGTGCTCAGTTTCCCCAAAGCCATAGATGTGTGTGGAGGGCAGGCGGGTGGAGATGCGGATGAACATGTCATTGAAGGTGAAGCCCGGGAGCTGAGAGTCCCAGCTGCAGACGGAGAAGGGACATTTACCAGAGAAAACCAGCATCCCAGTAGGTTACAAGAGCTGCCTTTGTGAGGACAACAGAGCCCTCCATTTTCACACACCGTCTATTCTAGAGGCTCTCCAAACCAGTCAGCCCTGCTAAGGTCTGAGTCACTAACAATCTTGTTTTGTTTCCCTTTACTGTTGTCCACATAAGAAATTCAATCACTTTTTTTTCACCTTACCATTCCAAACTGACCCTGTCTTGTAGAAGACAACTAATACATCATGAATTTCAACGGGGGCATCTGATGCTCTGAACCAGGTGTCTTCAAGGACAGTGGAACTTGTGAGGAATGTTTTGGAAAGCAGGGAGTCTGAGTCAGACCAGGACCCACTTACATGACAGAGCCTGTACTCTTCCTGCGAATTTCAATCCCAAATGGGTTCTCCTTGATGAGGACATCATAGAGACGGCCGTCTGGGGTGCTGGATGGAGCACTGGGGATGTTCAGAGGCACCGGGACCTCGTACCGACTGTGGTTGGGATCGTAGATCTAGACCAGAAGAAATCATTTCATTTAAAGACAAAATTATGGCAGGTACCTAATTATATTTTCCTAATATGTTGACAGTGATCATGATAACAATATTCCATAATTAATGGTGTAATTGCATAACTAAAATATAATCAAAATTGATGAAGATGTTAATTTTCCATCACACAAAATATTAGAGAATTGAACACCAGATATCCTAACTATGCTTACTTTATCAATCCATAATTTGTAAAAATGTCAAAGCATCACATCAATAGTACACACATGGAAAATTATCTATCATTTCAAAAGAACACTTTAGTAGACATGAGTTGTTCTTCAGAGATGAATACCTCAGCATACTCTTAGCATGTTAGACACAGTCTAGAGGGTGTAGGATTCCTCTTCTTTTACCTCAAAATACAGGAACTAACCAATACACCAGAAAACAAGTTTCTACTAAATAGTTTGATCTGGAACATTCCTCAGTATTATGGGCTGTAGAACATTCCTTCATCTATTTCAACATCACTGCTGAATTTGATAACGCATTCTGAAAATGGTATGATATTTATAAACATATCATATTCTGTTTTGGCTGCATAAGGAGATCTAAAATCTTTGGTATCGGTGGAAAAAAGTAAGTTTCTCTAATGAAAAGCAACCCTTATGAAAATGAAATAAAGCAGAATAATTAAGGATCCACAGCCTATTACAGACACAATAGCAAACAGTTGAGATAGGAGCTGAATAAGCCAAGGACAGTGTGGTGACAAACTTAGGCGTCCATGGGAAGTAGGAAAGAAGAGCTCAGCACTCCTGAGGGATGCGAGCTAAAGTAAACTCTGCAGAAGGGCTTTCTGTTACAGGGAAGGGGCAGTGAGGCAGTTTCAGGGAAGAAACTCAGGCCGAGCCTTTAAAGTTAAGCAGCAATAAACCAATCACAAAACTGGCAACCAGTGATTGTGGTGAAGAAAGACATATGCTGGAAAGAGCTACAGCATGACTACATGGTTAGTGAGTGACAGCTTAGGCCACACAGCCAACCAGCGCCATTCTGGTGAGGACACACACATGGCATCATGACACAAGATGGAGAACACAAGCCCACACTGAGCTCAGATCCTAAGAGCAGTGTAGACAAAGCCACTCTGCCGTGACCACTGCCTTGGACTCTTCCAACAGTACTTGAGTGCTCTCTACATTCCCGCCCATGTGTGGGATTCCAGGACCACCATGGCAGAAGACAGACCCCTGTTTTGGAGCAGCTAACAGTTTAATGCTGAAACAAGCAAGACGACAGCCAGTCTATCTCTAGTCCCTTTGTTTACTTAAACATGGAAGGAAAAGGAATCGCTTTCATGAGTATTTCAAATATGTCTCCAATTGTTATTCAAATCCATACCCTCCTAATATATTGTCAATCATATATCTTATCAGCTCTCTGATTTCCATTATCATTACTAACCATATGCACACACTTGTGAGCTATGAACCTAATAGTCATTCTTCAAGTCATGTCCATCTTGTAGTTGATTTGAATGACCAAGATGGTCTCAAGGTCTCAAACACATCCCCTGTTGCCCATCTCCCATCTTATCCATAGACCAACTCATCCACAACTGCCCAACCTTCCAAGTAGCCTCCTCTGCTATATCTCCATGTTTTGTTCTCCTAAACTATTGCTCAGACACATGTGTTTCTCTCTAATTTGAAATTAGGAGAGGTTCTACCAGTCATCTAATAATTCTCTTCATCAAATGATGTTCTACACGATTTTACAATAAATAAATAAATAAACAAATAAAACTTTTTGGGGGATGTTTTAACAAAGGTTACAAAGGGTGACGGCACTGGAAAAGCCCTGTGAATGCCTGACTGCACACGCTGTGTTCACCTTAAACTGCAGCATCTCATTTTTGTGGTAGATCACGCGCAGTTGCAGCTGGTTCACGGGTGTGGAGGGGAAGGCATGGCTGTAAGGAGAATCTTTCAAGGAGATGCTGGCTGTGGCCTCATTCTCACGATACTGAACATTGCTGACTGAGTACAGGTCATTGACAATGTAGCAATGAGGGACCCCAGGAATGTCAGATTCCTGAAAAGAGAGTCGATATCCTACATCAGCATGGATCTGGAGTTGTCTAATGCATTAGAAAAGCATTTATATGGAGAGAGGTATCATTTCATTCACTCATGCCTGTAGGAAAATAAGCATGGATTTAACTTCCTGAACTCCAAACAACACATTTTATATCCCACTCTTCCACTTTACCCAAATCAGGCTCATCTGGAGTCTTTGCTTCCCATGGATTTTAATAAATCCGGGGGCCCAGGGCTGTGCTAAAGCCACTGTAGGCTGTGTTTTATATGCACATCCTCAGCCAGCTCACCTCCCAGACGCAGCCACGGGCAGTGCAGTTGGCTTCAGAAGCTCCATGCTCATCTGGATAGCAGTCTATCTTCTCCTGGTCTATCACATTGCTCCACTCAACTGTGTACGCTTCTCCCAGCGCGAGATGGATGTCTGTGATGGTGGCAACCTGAAGCAATGCAGAGCTAACCTCAGGACAAAGGTCTTGGCAGACCTCAGCATTTCATTTTTTAACAGAAATGGAGTACAAATGTCATTCTTAGTCTATCTCTCTACCCTGCTTTTCACGATTAATGAGCACACTACAGTTTGCCAGGGTGCAAGAGTATGTGTGGGGTAAGAGATATTGGCAAAAGGAAAACAGCAGTTTTCTATCAGAACCATATATATATATGCATACATGCATACATACATACATACATATATATATATATGTATATATATATATATATATATCATGTTGTCATGACAAAATGTCAAATACGAATTGAGCATTTGGTAGAAATTGTAGTTGGTTAGGGAAAGGCTCCTCACGGTACTGAGGAAATAGATGAATAGAAGTCATTTAGAAAGGTCGGGTCTCATTTTATCTGCCAGAACTCCACTTTTCAATCACCATCTAAGTTAGTTAATCAGAGCATCAACTTTCTTCATAAAATACTTCCTGCAAATGTATATGTTAAAGAACATAGGTCTTAATAGAGTTCAACAAATGGGTAGAAACATTAAAAATAAATAAATAAAAGCAATTTAAATGTTTTAATCACAGGGCCCCCATCTCTACCTCCACCTTCAAACACAAGCCCTCAGCTTTCAGATCCTGTCCCTCCGATCTTGTTCCCAGATCCAGTTAGAGAAAACCAAACACAGAGAGTGAGGAGGACAGGAAAACTGGGGTCCTGTGCCTCAGACTATCTCTGATTGTTACTTTCCTCCGGCGCACTCTGACGTCACCATCAGGGTTCAGGTGTGCTCTGGGCCTTCAACGACCCATGTAATCTTAGCAAGAAGTGACATCAAGATACCATGGAAGTTTGTGAATTCTTACCTTCAGGGTTGAATTGTAAGTGATTCGAGGAGACATTTGACTAAGGACACCATTCTGTTTGACTCTAACATTGTAAATTTCCTCTGTCCCAAGGATTTTAATTTCCTGGAATTCTAAGTTATTGGGATCTTTGTAGTTTGCACTTGAAATTGTCACATTCAAACGGTTCTGAAACACATCAAGCATAATTATGAACAAATAACAAGTAATAACCACGATTCCTTAGGCCTTCAAACACTCCACCCTAGACTCTGCCCTTGACCTGCTCTAAAGGCTTATCAGTTTTCTTTGCTGGTTCATGCTGTGGGAGTGCAAATTTATTTTCACAATGCCCATAGAGTGAGGAAACAAAACAATATTTTATAGAATTATCTTTTATAACACTAGCTTATTTTCTTTTTACTGTTTACTCTTTTCAATAAATATCACTGATATAATTATTATTAAGTCACAAATAGCAATATATTCACCCACATAAATGCTAGTATTTAAATAAATACAGTTACATGCATAGAGCAGAACACACACACACATCTTCAGACAAAACCCCATACAATATTCTTAAAATATGCACTTACTTTGGAGACAGAAAATTCACTAAAGAGGTAAGTGTTCTTGGCCACAGTATCTGAAAGCAGAGAGAGATGTCAGGCTGGCCTGGCGACCACACAAGATGAGCTTCAACTTCCTCTCCTAAAAACTAGTTCCTCTTCCTTTTCATGACTCAAGAACATGTCACCTGATCTGTGTATTACAACATCTTTATTCGTTCACCTGTCAGATAGATTTGGCTGCTTGTGGGCCTTCACTAGTATACACAACGCCACAGTGAATGGGAGAAGTTCCAGCATCTCTGTGGCATATGCTTTCCGTTTCTTTAGGATGGTACACACCCAGACACGGGACTTGTGTGCTGTATGGTAGTTCTGTTTTCAATCTGTGAAGGAGTGTCTACCCTCTTCTCCATAATGCCTATGCAAACTTATTTTATGCTTTTGTTGCCTTTGTATTGTGGGGTCATACTTAAAAATCACAGTACCATGCCGAATATCGAAGAAGCTTTCCCCTGGATTTGCTCCTAAGAGGTTACTGATAGGTAAACAACAAACATGTCTATTATCAGATGGATGAGTAAAAGAATTACAGTGCATGTATAAAATGGAGTATCCTTTAGTATTAAAGAAGAAGGAAGCCCTCCATTGTTAGAGCAGAGACGAATCTGGATCATGTCCCACTAGGAGAAGTAGGTAAGACAGCACAAGAGAAGCAATGTGTGCTCTGTGTTTTACAGGGGCTAAAGAGCTGCACTCATATAAGAATCAAAAGGAGAGACACAGAAAAAGAGAGAGATGATGTCCCTCCTTCACTGTGGTCATCTATCATGGCCTCTGACCAATCCAGGCAGAAACACATGCTTTCTCTGGGAGGATGCTCGATGATGCTTGGTGGTAGTTCAGTCACAGTAGAATGGCCAGCAGGGGTGAAGGGACAGAGTCAGATGTGCAGGTCCACAATGGCCACAGCCCCTCACAGCACTCACCCTTCGACTCCCCATCATCCCAGAACAGTTCTCCTCTGGCTTCTTTGTTCTCATCCAGGGCAACGAGAAGGCCAAGGGGGTTCTTCCGGCTGAGGGGAAACAAGGTTTACACAAGGCACAAGTCCTTAAGGAAGGCTCAAAGAATTTTTAAAAATATTGCTACGAAATTTCAAATGGGTAAAGGTATTAGTCATGGATGACTTCTTCCCTTCAGAGACGGGCAGGATTCCTAGGAGACATTTTCTCTATATATATCCCTGTCACAAGAAAGAAATGTCCCCAACCTCAGCAGCATATGCCCAAACAGGAAGTCTGGGTGTGGTCGGTGCATCAGCTCCAGTGAATGCTGTGGTGGCATTGAAATGCCGAATGCGCACTAGAAGATGAGGTGATGAGGTCGGGTCACTAAGACACCATACTGTAGGGACCAGATCAGCTGCTGCCACTAGAAATGTGTTCTCTGCCGATGAGACTTTTACTCAGAAACACATAGAATAAGGTTCATCTATGGAATGGTAACTTTATATTGAGTGTCTTTGATCAGGGTCGTTTGTTTCTTTGTTTTTGAGACAAGCAGCTCAGACTAGCATAGAAGTGACTCCCTCACCCAGGCTGGTTGTGAACTTATGACCCTATTGCCTCTGTCACTCAAGTGCTCGTCCTATTACATACCAGTACGCCTGCCTGATTAATTTGACGTGGTTTAATGCCTATTATTGTCTTTTGAGGAAGACAAAACATCTAACAACCATCTCATGCTTGTTCCTCATGTGCCCGCCACTGGCCTCGGGTTTCCTATTAGATTTGTTCCAGGTCAACCTTCTAAATACTTGATCAGGCTCTGCTATCAACAAAATCAGATGATTTCCCTTATAGTTCTTGGATTGAGCTATCATTGCTAAAATGCCAATAGCTGTAAATGCAAATCCACGTAACTCCAACATCTTAATATTGCAAGATACATTCAACACTCTAACCAAACAAGAAAAGTAGGGAGTGAAAAGTTACGTAAACAGAAGGTATAGGAGAGCAGAGTATCACTTCCGGAAGTATGGTGAGTAATTTTGAGGGCCTGCGTATGAAAGCATATGATTTATACTAGTATGTAAAGCACCGTTGGGCTTGCAAGGAAGTAAACATCACACACGCGAGACAGAAAGAGCACAGGAACACAAACGGTGAGCTAGAACTACAGAGATGCCCAGGAAGCCAGACACGAGAGACACCCAAGTTAACCAAAATGAGTCAGACACGGAACACCGTTGTTTCATATTCTCTGTCCTCAATGAAAGCTGCAAATAAACTAACAAAATACAACAACTTAAAGGATTGAAAAGGAATCATTAGAGCCTGAGACAGGTGTCAAGGTTGAGGTATTAAAGGACGACAGAAGGAAAACTACGTGCAAAAACAAACAGTGGTATAGCCACCATCAGTGCTCCACATGTGGATGGAAAGAAACACATCAGTGATTCGTTTTACACTTAACAGAGGCTAATGATGACTAAATATTGATAGGAGACAATTGAGGGTGAAGTGAACTACGGGAGAAGAGTAGCAGGGCACTTGACTCGTGTGCTTCCCAGACTGACCCAGCACAGCACAAAGAGCAACGGGAGAGGTGGCCAGATGCAGTTAGCGAGCTGCTTATATTTGCAGTGCCATGTCTGGGGCACAGCTGATGGATTTGCTTACTAAGACACTGCTTAATGTAAAAGTGTATGGATAAAGGGGTTTACTACATGACTCACTGCATCATAATCGTAGCTTCCACAACAAGATTTTCCATCTCTCCCTGTTTATTTTTGTTCCTTTTCTCACCCTTTTTTCTCTGTCTTTTTTTTTCTGTGAAATCTTATTTTATTTTGTTCTGGGGCAGGGCAGAGAGATGGGTGCGATTGGGAGGCCTAATGTAAAAGACACAAAGAATAAAAGAACGCGTAAGAAGGCACTGCATAAAGTACAAGGGCTCGGGTGGAAAACACACTGGGGACGTACACGGATTCACTAATGACCGATTTCAGACTTCAAGGATGGGGAAATAAAATTTTCATTTTTGCAAGAAAAATTGATATGGGTGTACAGAATAGGCTGGGGCTTAAAAGAGAATTTAAAAAACAACTGCAATGGATTATACGCCTTTTCATAAAAGTCTGCAACTTGAATAATTAAAGCAGTGAGCGGTGGTCAAAGACAAAGATGGGTTTCCACCCTCCTAATAAATCTTTGTCTGTTGTAAATAAATATGCTAATGGTTTCAGTACAATATTGGCACCAGTAGTGCCATTTTGGAACAAAAAATTACAAAGGGAACCTGATATGCTGGACGTTTGAGTTTGTACTCTGGGATCCCGTTTTGAATCACAACATAGAAATGGCTCGGTGGGGAGGAGCTAAAAGTGGGAAGCTAAAGCTTTAGAGGCTCAAATCCGGGATGCTAGTCTAGAAACGGCAGAGTGTGGGACAAGAGCAGCGAACATGGGTGGACAGTCACACCAGGGCAGGAGAGCAACCAAGGACCAGAATGGAGGGTTCTCAAGACCTGAGACTTGCAGAATTGAAACTGCAAAGTCCTGGGCGGGAGAGCAGAAGGCTGACCACAGAGCTGTCAGTGTCATGAAAACTGGAGGGGCTTACACAGGGACAGGGAAGAGGCCATCGGGGTATAGCTCTCAGTCTACAGCTTCCCGAGAAGCAGACAAGGAAAATCCACAGGCAGAGGATGATCACACACACGCGCGCACGCGCACACACACACATGGGGTTCATCATCATGTTACGCAAAGCAGAGCCCTAGTCCCGTCACTCACCTTAAGTGGGTGTTCAGGGCGTGTTGCTGCCATGGCAGGATGTAGCCTCCACGGACGTGAAGATTAATGTGTTCAAGGGGGGCTGGCAAGGTCTTCCACTCTCCTGTTGAATTGACATCTGCACCCTGTGTCAGGAGAGGTGATGTTGAGGAAGAGAACGCACACGTCCTTGAACTCCCAGCATACCCTGAAGAGTCTCTCCAATCACCACCACTCAACAGAGGTCATCATCATAAGTGTCTTTCCCTCTGCTATGTTAAAGCTTGCTGTATTAGAATTGCTGACCCCACGGGGCGTGAAGATGGGGGGAACAGTTAAATACTAAATGAGGTCTTCGTGTGGATCCCTATCATTCTTGCTGCACACCCGTTTCTAATTCGGGAGGGGGGGTGACAATGGGCAGGGTTGCCGCTCCTTCTTAGATCCTGAAACATCGTCCCCAACGGCAACACTGGACCTCCCTCCCTTTCATCAAGAGACCACAGATTCTCCATTTCTCCTCATTTGCACTCATGCACCTACTAGGTAAGGAACACCTCTGACTCCTGCTTCATAGAAAGCATCCAAGTAAATAGCATTGTTTATACAGAATATAGCCTACTACATCCTCTCTCAAACGCATTTGTCTAGTCTCTTGTGGGACCTGAAGCACAGCCTCAAACCTTCCCACACGGTCTCAACTCCAGCAGGGTTTCTTTACCCACAACGTTCGTCCTGTTGGTACCTTGTGACAGGTAATTCCTTCTTGTAATGAGGCTGTCCTCTGCTTTTGGGTAGAAAGCAGCATTGTTGATATCTGTTTACTAGAGGCCACTGGCAGCTCCATTACCCGACCCCCAGTGACCATGAGACGAGACACGACAGCTGTCCAGCATAGGTGTGTAAACACTGTTGCTTTGGGGCTAGGGGCTATTCATGTAGGCTGTGTCTGCTTGTCATCCAGTACAACATGAAGTATGAGGCATACAAAAATAGGTGACGGAAGTGTTTAGCTACCCTTGCATGTCCCCCCACCCCCACTGCCAAAAACAAAAAGAAAGATGCTAAGTATGTGTAACGTGTGAATAATAACTAATGTATCATTTTCTCAGTAATTCCAACCACTTAAAGTTTGTTTTAGCTAAACATCACTTTAAAAGTTTTTCTTTTCCTCAGACCAGCTTGCTCAATTAACTTTTGTCCTTGCGGGTGATTTCAGTTACCTCCCTTTTATGCAAAGCTGCCTTCTATTTAAAAAGCCATAAGTAAAGTTAGCCAATCCAGGAAACCCTTTCTTGTAAGCCTTCATACTTCATTTTTAAAGTGGGGTACATAGTCATTTACTTATGTGCCAGTACTCAAGATAAACAAACCTTAGATACTGATTACATGTTCAGCTTCATGAGGCTGCGTGTGCAGTATTCCTACACCTAGTGCTCCGCAAAAAGCATTTTACTGGAAAGGTCAGCACTAGAACAGGCTAGCCAGATGTCTTAGGGTACAAATTTTAAGGTGATCTATGTTCTCAAGGCCATGTAAAGGTAGGGCCAGACTTACAGTTCAAGGGCTTTCTTAAATTGTGTGTCCTGGGCTTCCTGTATCAGAAACCCCAACTATACACAGAAGGAAGGTCTCATTTTCAAGGAATAAGGCAGTCAACGTGAAGTCCAGGCAAAGCAAGGATCACTTTTGCTGACTGTTGTCTACTAAGAAGGCACTAGAGCATTTCCACCCTAAAGGAAGAACTAGCCAATTGCAAGGCATGTGGAGCGGTGTCTAGGTTCTCCCCAGACACAGAAGAGGAGGAAATCCACCCTGCTATTCTTCACACAGCTTTCACCCAGTGTTACAGAAATCCCCTTGAGTTGTCAACCAAGGGGCTGGCGTACGCTCGGACTTTCGTCCGTGTGCCATTTCCTTCTCCTCTTGTTGGAGGCCAGCAAACCTCTAATAGCCTGTTCTTTCAGCTGGGTTCTCAGCTTTCACTGGCTCAGCAATATACCGCAGGGAGCTTCTTGTTGGCTTCTCATCAGTAAATACATCTGAACAACTCAGACATCCAAGTCCTACACTGCATGTCTGTGTGTTTTATATGTTTGTATGTGTCTCGTAGCTATTACTCTTGGGTGATGATACAGAGGAATTCTCCTTAAGTTTACAAACTACAGAGACTGACTTTCAAATTTTATCTGTCTGTCTGTCTATCCATCTATCTAAAGATTGTGTGTGTGTGCGTGTGTGCGTGCGTGTGTGTGTGTGTGTGTGTGTGTGTGTGAGCACAATTCATGGAGTTTCTTTCCTCCTGCCACCTCCTGGGATGTGGGAATCCAACTCCAGACACCAGGCCCAAATGCTAGCACCTAAATGTTGGGACATGTTTCAAAGAATGCAGAGAGGAAATGAACGCCACAGTTAATGTATGTAATCAAAACCGAATCTACTGCATGATTTCAAGAGTTTACTTGTGTCCCCCCCACTGCAATGATACTAAGACAAAGCTACGAACTCATACGTAAAGACGACTCCCAGCAAGCCTGGCGTCAGTGAGATAGTCTGTATGTCTCTGCAGAGCGCTTGCCTGCAGGGTGACGGGTCATTGTCAAAAGTTAGGAAGCCAGGCCGCAGAGAGCGAAATGGCCATTCAAGACCACAAAAGGTGATTCGCAGAAGTGGCATGGAGTTTGATATCTATCATATCCAGACACTGCATGCTACCACTGTCTGGGTTGTACAAACATAAACAAAAACTCACCGTGTAATAGTCATACCAGCGGGCTTTGGGGAAATATGCAGTGACGTTTCTGGCATTCTGAAATAAAATACAAAGAAAGTGTGGGCGGGCAGTAGACTCTGGTATCTAAGACACAGTGACCAGTATACATTGATGAGGAGTTAAAATAATAATAAGGCTCACAGATATCCAAAATTACTCCATATCATTTACGGAATCAGTGATGACGATCCACCTTTTTCAGTGACAGAAATTAGCCTATCAGAAAATAACTGCTCTCACAATGTTCCTCTGGTTACTGGACTTCAGACGAAAACAAACACCACTCCCTTACAGATGTTTTTCACCCCCCCACAAAGAAATGAATAGACAATAGACCAGGAGAAAATTGTGCAGCCTCAAAAAGATGCAAGGTGTGTTAAGCATCTGTTCATTTTAGCAAACGCCACACTATACCCAGAGCAAGTAAATTAACTGGCACTGTTTCTAGCTTCAAGTTCATGTACTGAAGTAAGGGGGACAAAGAGCTGGTTTCAAAAGATGTCATGAAGGTTGGGGGAAATTGTGAAATTACCTTATAACTTCAAAAATAAAACAAATAATTAAAAAATGAAAGAGGTTAAAAAAACAGGATCACACACATTCCTGCAAAGAGTTCTCCAGATATTTCTAGCTAGGAACAACAGAAAATAAGGAACCTCTAAAATTCCTGCACATGACCCTGCATACCGTCACTTAGCTCACAGAGAAATAAGTACATGCTTAAACACATGACAAGGTGATTCCTTGAAATGATAGGCTGACATTAAAGGTTTAAAGGAAAAAAAAAAAAAAAAACATGGAATGTGGCTCAGGAGGACCACAGGAGGCAAGTGTAAAGTAGGAAACCATGGCTCATAATCCCTCTCACACCAGCCTCTGCATTACCCCAGGCATTCAGCTCCACAGTGGAACCCTAACCCTCCTGTCTCCATACTCACGGGCTCCAGCACAGGGCTGACCAGGAAGGCGGGACCCAGCAGGAACTGTTTGTCTGTATTCCACGTCTCCCGGTCTGACAGAAACCTAAAAAGGAAATGAAACTGTCAATCTGAGCCATAAGGAACCTCGGGACACGGACTCGAAGTAGTCCTCAAGTTCAAACCCAAGTCAGACATCCAGCTACACCCCATAACTTCTTTATGTTTCACAAGACTGATAAGGGTCACATAGACCCCGTGTCTAATATGCAGTATCCTTAAAACTTCTCAAACACATTATCCTCCACACTGTGCCACACTGAAATGCAATGACATGCTGGTCCTATGCTGTTGCTCCCTGGATTGTCCTCTAAAGCTAGATGAAAGTGTACTGATCAGGGTCCACAGCAAACAGGGAAGTCTTCGTAGGGCCAAATCACAAAGAAATTGTGCTACGCCGGAAACTTCAGTTTCATAAGTTCAGTAAATAAATTGTCTCCAACACTAATGTTATGTATGACATTGCACAAAAAGGAGTGATAACGATACTCTCTGTGCAGAGCTCAAATAAAACGACACTTATCACTCCACTGTGTAAGAATTGTTAGGATCCACTCCCACCATGCATGATAAATAAATTGTCCAAGGGTCAACAGTATTCCGGCTGGACACTCACTCATGGAGAAGAGGCCGCACAACTGTGCTGCCCTCTGTGTGGGCCTTGTACATCAAGGTGTAGAGATATGGCAACAGGGTGTATCTGGTCTCTAGCACACTCCTGGAGATGTCCTCAAAGGCTGTATCCCAGGAGACAGGGTCTTGTCTCTAAAGCAGCAGAAGAAAAGGGTTCAGATCCACCAGAGACAACAAAGAAATTCAAGAAGGTCATTAAAGGCCCATTGGAACTGCATATCACACTGCTAACATCCGATCAACATTGCAAAATAATGGATATGATCATTGGACTCCTAGAACATTCTTAATGGACTGGTAAATATCAACAAAACTCTACCAGAAAAAAAGAAAAATCATAAGGCATTCTTCACAAGATATAGTAGAAAAGATTCCCTAAGCAAAAAGTCATAAAAGTAATATCGGAGACTTGGACAAGGATTAACGGCTTTGCCATTGTCCCAGGGACACAGGCAGCAGGACTGATCTCAGAAACTGAGGTAGCATTCCCAGTGACACAATGCAGAAGAGGAAGCTGGCATCCTACCCTGGTCCCGATGGTGTTGTGGTTCCGGGAGAAGGGGTAAAAGGCGCCCAGCTGCATCCAGCGAACACACATCTCATACTCAGCATCTTGAAAGAAGCCGCAGATGTCTGACCCGGTCTGAAACAGCAAGGAACAGAGTGAGCTCTTGGTGCTTGCTCAGAGATGCTGCCACCCTCCCAGGGAGAGGAGCATGCCAGAGCACTTACATAGGAGATGCCAAAGAGACTGAACTCCATCATGCCTGCAAGGAGAGATTCATCAGGGTCAGGGCAGGTACTCATTCTCTGCCTCCTCCTCCTCCTCCTCTCTCCACCCTCCGCCAGCAGAGGCCCTGGGCACAACCCACACACCAATGATGGATTTCCCCAGCTGGTCCCAGGCAGCTGTGTTGTCTCCCAGCCAGTGTCCTGCCCAGCGTCCAGAAGAGGGGAATGTGGAGCGTGTGATGACGATCCCTCTCTCGCCTGTCACCTCCTGAACAGCTCTGGTTGGGGAAACAAGAACATATTAAAGAAAGGCAGAGAAAGGAAGGCAGTACAGTTTCTCCTCCAAACCCTTTTACGGTGGCAAAAGTTTGCTACATCTGGAGGGAATCTGCAGATCTCATTTGTGAGGATTCTGCTGGCTGACTGATGGGGATAATGGCAGGGACAGTTTTCATGCCTTTCCATAGCTTAAAAGTTATCATGTGATCAACCCACAGGTCGTCACCAAAAGGTCTGCCAGCAATAAAGGTTCTTAGTTATTTGCCCAGTGTTTGTTTTCTGTATCTGGGGAAGAAAAATAAAAATTCTTTTCTAAAGTTTCTCATAAGAACATTAGATCTACACATGGGCATACAATATGATGTTATTTGATAAAAGAACCATGGACTATCTTATGAAGTGGACATAATAACTAAAAACAAATGATAGACTAACAGACGTCTAAAAATATTTTCTCATTCTGAAATTAAGTAGGGAAGTTTCAGTCGTCTGTTTCCTGTTTGTCTCTACCTAAAGTGACTTCTAACGACAGCACTTGCTACATTGTGTAATGAGCCTGTGTCCCCAGATGAGTGGGTCCTCGCCAGCACTATTCCCCCTGATGTAATGGTACCGTGTTTAAATCTTTCTTCCAACTGTATTCACAGTGTGTAGTCACATGCTCATAGAGTGATTGCTTAATACACACAACTGTCTACAAAGGTATAGTCAGATGACTTTTCAGCCCTTAGTATAGAAAATGATTGACAAGTGAGAACATAAACCCACCACAGACTGTCCCCACAGGTGCCACCAATAAGAGACAGGAGAGGATCACTCACTCGTAGGTGGGTCTGGTCTGGGACCACCCATACAGGCTGTGCACATCGTAGTGCCGCAGCCGAGAACCATCTGGAAGGATCTGCTCACTCTCCATGCACAGGGTCTTACTGCTCAGGCCCCTGTCCCTGGCTGCCAAATCTGAAGGAAAGAATGCAAAGCCTTGACTCTTAATTCTTGACAACTTTTTAGAAGAAGTCTTCCTGAGTCCCCCTCTACATCCCAGATGTATAAGAACAAAAGTCTTCTCTGAGTAGTAAGGTGACTGGAGGCATCGTCAGCATCCAATTCACTAAAGAAAATGTAGTGGGAGGAGGGATACAGTTTGCCAAGTATTTACTATGGGGTTGGTACAAGCATCAGCTTCCTTAAAAGATTTCTCTCTCTCTCTCTCTCTCTCTCTCTCTCTCTCTCTCTCTCTCTCTCTCTCTCTCTGTCTGTCTGTCTGTGTGAGAGAGAGAGGGAGAGAGAGAGGAGGGGGCCTACTTACAGCCACCATAAGGAGATATCTAATACTTTGCACCTGGAGTTCTCTGACACAAGTCCTCTATTAGGACATCATTTTCACTCTTAACTGTTGAGCCATCCTTACAGTCCCATAAGCATTTAATACACCAGTTATTTCATATCTCTTAATCATATTTCTGTGAGGGGATAGTGTTGCCTTCCTGTTGCACTTTGGGAAATTTAGATTTGATAATGTCTCTGGAAGGTCACACGAGTAGGAAAGGCACAGTGTATGGAGCTAAGATCTAGAAGTACAACACTCCAAAATCTACCAGCTCCAGAAAAAGGGGAAGACACTTCATTTTACATATTGTTTCAAAGTAAAATTCTGTAAGTTATCACAAAACAGACATTATCACAGTTATGAACAAATTCAAGAAATTTTCTAATGTCTCTAGTTGGATAATGTGATGTGGTTTTGACTTAGGCCATATGAAACCAAATTAATGGTGTAGAGGTCCCTTGGTGGTCAGGGTAACCCTGGATGCAAAGCTCATCTTTCTTCCAGACACTGAGCAACAAGAGAAGAACCCAAGGCCCTTACGTGGCATGTAGGGAGGACGGTTCAGAGTAGCATCGCTGCAGCCTGGAGGAACTGCCCCATTCACAAAGCTGGAAGGTTCATTCATATCCTACAAATAATGAGATTATGGCTTATTTTTTAGGATACGTAAGTTCTGTCAAATCAGAAACAAAGAAATAGTTTCACATTCAATATCTAGCACCTCTTTCAATGCTTCCCAGAAAGGATGATGAACTACAGGGGAAGCACAGGCTAGAAAGAAGACATACCCTCAACATGACAGCTAGACGTCTTCACTATTACCCCTAAGACAATCAACACTAAGGATTTCCAACTAACTATTGTGGGAGTTTTAAAGCAGGAACTTCAGGCTGGTTCCCACATATTAAGCAGAGACAATTCTAAGTTTGACTGGATGACCCCCACTTTACAATGTCTGAATTCTTTTTCTGAAATTATCACCTTGCCCAGTGTCATGGATCCACAAGCTCAAAACAACACATGCACAAACACACATACACTCATGTGTATACAGATATGTCCATGCTCACTTACAATCCACAGGCCATCAAACTTTAAGCTCTTTGTTGAGTTCTGTGGGTTCGTGTGCAGTTCTTGAATCTCTTTCTTCCACCATTTGGAAGTGGAATCACGGAAAAAGTCTGGGAAGGCCACATAAGCTCGGTATTGCTGCCAAGTGACAATAGAATCCATTTACGGTGAATGATTATATCCTACAGGAAGCTTAAAGAATTCTTCTATTTTAATAGGTCTACAAAGTGATAGTCTGAATAGAGCCAATACAATATTACATTCTTGATTTATTAGAAAAATATTTAGAATAAAGATAGAAAAGAATAAATATTATGCATTCCCAGCATTTGGAAGCTATTACAATGTATGACTTGGAATGGTCTGGGGATCTTGGGCTTTGTGTGGTTAAAACCTAAATTTAAAACTTCTATGCTGTTTCCAGAATGATGGTTTACCTGACTAATGGTTGAATCTAACAGACTTCTAAATCTCAGCTGTACCATGTGAACCATGACTAATACAGCTTCATCATCAACTAAACCATCACACCTGTCTGGTACACTAGGCCTACCTTTTACTTCCCTACCACACATACCCACACAATTCCAGTCCCTCAATTATGATCATCGTTAAGGAAGATTTAAAGATCTGACCCAGACCTTTAAATGAACAGGCTGTCTCATTGCTTCAGATAAACATCTTAGCAAGAGGAGGGCCTGATGCTTCTATTGACAGTTGTGTCAACAAATTTATTCACCCAAACAACAAACGTAGATGAAGATGAGAAAAAGTTGGGCTGAAACATAGATTGCTTGGTTCCATTAAAATGAAAAGCCTATTCATAGAAGAAAGAAAGTTAATAATATCAGACTACAAATAAAAGTAAAAGCAAAGTCTAGAGGCCCAGTGAAGGATGGTAAGTTGGCTCCAGATTAATGTGAGAATATGGAAGAGCCTAAATATGAACATAAATATGCACAGAGAAAAAAGATGCTACAACTGAGGACAAACATTGGAAACTGTTTTATAGAAAGAAGTGATAGCACTCTTGGAGCCAGAATCTAGTTGAGTTCATAGACCTTAGGGATTGACCACTTTAGATTTGAAATTGCCTTTGTGACAAGAAAAAACTATTACTGGAGACTTGAGCACACCGAGTCTTAAGCCCCATGTCCAATAATACCAACATCACACCTTGAAGGAAAACACTGTTACTCATAAAATAAAGAATCTCAGACTGACAGGAGAAACAATCCTCCTAAGTGATTCTCACATGTGTTTATCATAAAAGTAGACACATCTAGTTCCCTAGACATGACTATCTCTTCCTGGCAACCCTGACTACAACCAACATCCACAAGGGCCTTTACCTCTACTTGACTGTCCCAGTCTAGAGAGGAGTTCACCACAATACCAGGGTAATCAGGCCAGACCTATGGAGAGAAAAGGTTTATCAACAATATACTGAACAAATTTTCATACAAAAAGTTTCCTTGAAAACCAAAAGCAAAGGATCTAGGACTAATAGTTGCCAGGTAGGATTGACCTACAGAGAATAGATCTCAGAAAGCCCTTAAGCATATCAGCAGATGTTAAATGAAAACAAAAGCAAAAGAAAACCACAGCTCTAGAAGGCAAACATAACATAACAGGCACAAACTCAATATTCCCAAAGGGCACTGACAGTGGCTCTGGCCCAGGGTGAGGATTCCTGGATCAATGCCCAGATCATACCTTTCCCCAGACAATGTCTCCATTATTGGGAAATCTGATGAAGACGTCATCCTGTACACCTCGGGTGAAGGCAGGGTAGGGCTCTGTCTCGTTGCCAGAAATAGCTGGGTCCTGAAACCAGAGCAGAAGGCACATGGAAGATTAAGACCAAAGATGGGGTAGAAAAAGTAAAGTCCCCAATTGCAACTGGTACTACAGTGACTCTGTGAATCCCAAGAAATGCAGCTCTACTGATCACACGTTCATTTCTCTCTGGATACCAGAAAGGACAGACATCCTGAGGCAATCCCCACACAGGCCCACCCATTGTCTAAAGTACTGCCTACACTTTCACACAAGGACTAACCAGAATGAGGATGACCCGCATCCCATCACGCTTCATGCGATCGATCAGGGCTGGAAACCCAGAGAACTTGGGGCTGAGGGTGAAGTCCAGCTGCCTCTCCATGTAGTCGATGTCTGAGTACTGCACGTCCTGGGATGATATAAGAAAGTATGGCAGCTGCCTGGAAACCTCAGACTCAGCAATTCCCACACCTTGAATCCAGAATTTAAACTTCTATTTATGACATATTGTAGCTGTGGATATTGAACTGATTTTTTAAAATTTCACTCAGAAACAGAAAAAAAAAACCATTTCAACATCAACAAAATGTGTAAGATGAGTATCTTAAAAGTTGCTGTAAAAAAATAGAAGATAAAAAATAATATAAAAACAAGCTCCAGGAAAAAGTGCTTTGGCTCTCTCTATGAGTGTGTCCTGAAATCGATGATGTTTGTTCATAAAAAATAATGTCAAGCATTCAGTCCTAATATGACAGGGATCATAGGTCTCCTATAAAGAATTAAAACCAAACCAGCCCTCACTATAGGGGACCCACTGTGGGAGGTGATCAAACACAGAAATTTCAGTGAGATGCTCTGTTACAACAGTGGTTCCCAACCTCCCTAATGCTGGGACCCTTAGTACAGTTCTCATGGTGCAGTAACGCCCAACCAGGGATGTTTACCTTGATAATTCATAACTGGGATTTTGCAATGAAACAGATTATAATCTAAATACCCGTGTTTCCCAATGATCTGGGGCTACCCTGTGAAAGTGTTGTTTGACTCCCTCCCAAAAATAGTCTCAAATTGAGAACCACTGTTACACAGAAAGTGCTTTGCATTAATGCAACACAGAACAATAAGTAAAAGACAAACACAAATATTAACAACCTGGTTTCTGATTATTGGACCTCTGGCTTGTAGTGAAGTTCGCTTTTTCTGTATTGGATTCCACTACTAACTCAATACAGGATTCCAGCATGGAGGCATTGAGAGGCTCAAAGCTCAGGGAGCATTGTGCCTGCCAGCCTCAAGAAAGCTGTCCTCATAGGGAATGATTTTGCTGAGTTTAGGTAACGTTAGCTCTAAGCAAAACTAACGTGGAGTGGTATTTTATTAACATGTCAGTAAGGACAGTATAGACAAATATCTTGAAGTCAGTCAAGAAGCAGAGGAAAGCCTGGCACAGGAGACAGCACCCGCGAACCAGGCTTAGCTCCTCTGTGTTAGTCTAAGCCATCACCGTTATGAGGGCAACGGTCTCCCCTGGATCACTATGGATGCTCTAGGCTCAGTGTGACATGACATGAGAAAGCACAGTGTATCCTTTCAAATCCACACTTAAATCTGACAAACAAATCCTCAACAGATGTACGTACATAGGGGATCCTTTTAGTCACCATGTCATCATACAAGCTGGCGATCTCACCATCATTCTCATATCCATAGCGACACAGCTGGAATCCCAGGGACCAGTAAGGCACCATCACTGGCCGACCAATCAGCTAGAAAACAGAAAGTGTTACAATGGTAGAAGAGAAGCTCGTTGGAAGTTAGAGATGAAGTCAGAATATTTTCCACAAATAAGACATCAAATTCAAGCCCAGAGACTAAGTAGGGGGGTGTGTGGAGCTCCCAGGACTCACTATTGCATCTCATAGCACACTTTCCAGGAATTCTGCAAAACCTGTTTTGATTCAGATGCCTGCAGGCATAATTGAGATACCAAAAACACACAACAAAAAGGGATATAACTAACTTAGAATACAGGCTTGCTGACTGTGTGCCCTTGGGCAGTCATGGGACAGTTCTGTGCTTGTTTCTTCATTTCTACTTCAGAGCTGAAGAGTAAGCGCTTTCTCCTGTCATTTGACTGAGTAACTTAGGACATGTGACGTCCTCTGGCTTTCACTGAGTAATAGACACCGTAGATATTCCATACGTGTTTGTGGGTATCACCAGCAATGCTAGCATTCCCCATGACCATGACTCCCACCACCAGCACCAGCACCAGAAGAACAGTCATTGTCTCAGGCACCATGACAATGTCATGATGCAGTATTTGCCATCATGGTAACTCCCATTGCCACCACAGACATAGTCATCATTACCAAAACTACTACTGCCACAACTATCATATCTACTGCCACCATCACCATCATGACATCACTCTCTCAGACCCCAATATCAACTCACTACACTCATTTTCATGATCACCTTGTGCCCTATCTTCCTCCCCACCATTATCACCCCAACTGAATCCGTCCTCACAGTCACTTTCACAACAGTGCTACCCACACATTCATTACCACCATCCCTCACCGCATCATCTCTACAACCCCAGCTCCACCACCACACTAGTCCCACCAATAGTTACCACAACTACTTGATTCACTGCAATACATGGAGAAAACATAACTTAATAGTTATAGGAATATATCCATGTGGTGATATATTATTTATGATGTATTAAAGCTTGAGTGAGGATTCAGAAAAGCAAAGTCAGCCTCAAACTCTAAGATCAGGCAGTGGTGTTTCACACCTTTAGTCCCAGCAGCCAGAAGCTGGGAGGTGGTGGTGCACACCTTTAACCCTAGGACTCAGGATTAAGAGATAGATAGATCTCTGTGAGTCCAAGGCCATCAAGATCTACACAAGAGTGAACCACTCTAAAAGAGCATTATAGCTCACACCTGTAATCCCAACATGAGAAAAGTATATTAGACAGAAGAGGTCTGAGTATGAGAAATTCATTTTCCAGTCACACTGAGGGAGGATTACAGTCTGAGGCTTGGTGAGAGCTTGTGGAGACAGGACCAGCCCATTCAGCCTGATGTAGAGATGAACTGCTTTGCTTTTCTGATATTGAACTTGAAGTTTAAACCCCAATATCAGCCTCTGGGTCTTTTATTTATTCCTGTTACATATCTACTCTCCCATATTCCATAACTTCTCCTGAGTAAGATCATTAAATCCAGGTACCTTATGAGTTACAGTATATGGCAATCCTGTATAGCAGGGTTGGAACACATTACGAGTGCATGTATACGCACCCACATGAACATGCACACACACGCATGCACATGCACGCAGTACATTCCTTCCTACCTCAGTGTATTGCTGAGTGACGAGCTCTGGAGTTGGGCCCAGGAACACATAGAAGTCCAGAATGCCCCCTGTGGTTCTGTATGTCAGGGCAGGCAGAGGCTGGAATGACACATCTGAAAACACAAGAAAATGACGTCATGCTGAATCACCTCGGGTTGAGAATATTAACCCGGAATTCACACGTTCTCCCTTCAATTGTAAGACATTCACTGCAGATATTCTGGAGTAGGTGCATACAGACTTGAACGAGAAATATGAAAGCTCTCACTAGCTGCATTACAAATTAAAGTTGGGCATGCATAAAGGGTCAATGAAAGAGAAACCAATCCACAAGGAGTACAATTTTTTCAATACTGACAGCTGTGTCAAAGCTATATGATAGAGCAATTCAAGAATGACTGGTACACAATGTGAGCAGGTTCATCCTACCCATGGCATTGCTGTTCATCAGGAGGACTCCATGGGTGTTGCCATCCTTCTCCAGCCCCATGTAGTAAGGGTGGACACCATAGGAATTCTTCTTGTACTGAGAGGAACAGGGAAAAGGGGTTAGGAGGCTGACTGCATGCACGGAAGAAACTCAACAGAAACTGGATTGCTGCATTAAGTCAAGAGAAAAGGGAACTTAAATTTCTCCATATGCCTTGCAATGGAAGACAACAATCACATGGAGTGTGGAAAGAAGAAGCAGAAGACACACAGCGTGGACGGAGGGGACAGAACACAGACACACGCACTGTCCTTACCCCCGGGGGCTCATCCCTGGAAAACATGCCCCACGTGTGCCAGTTCAAGTCAATCTTGAAGGTTGTGTGCTCAGTTTCCCCAAAGCCATAGATGTGTGTGGAGGGCAGGCGGGTGGAGATGCGGATGAACATGTCATTGAAGGTGAAGCCCGGGAGCTGAGAGTCCCAGCTGCAGATGGAGAAGGGACATTTACCAGAGAAAATCAGCATCCCAGTAGGTTACAAGAGCTGCCTTTGTGAGGACAACAGAGCCCTCCATTTTCACACACTGTTACAGGTGAAGTCTCCCCCAACAAAACAAGGAAGACTAGTGGCTAAATAACCACCATTGCTAAAGGAATGAGTCGCCATTAACTCTTCTACACTGATCATTGCTTCCCTCTGCTGTTGTCCACATAACAAATCCAATCACTTTCTTCACCTCACCTCTCCAAACTCGCCATGCCTTCTGCTCCTGAAGACCCCTGGTGGTCCACTTCCTACATGTTTCCATGGTTGTGAGATGAGTACCTCACACCACCTCACACTCCTGCTCACATGCTTCCTCGTCTCTCCTGAGAGAATCTGAGGACCCTCCAGGGCTGTTCCTGTTCCAAATCACACCTAACATACCTGCTTCGTCTCCAACGTCTATACTTGTCATTACCTCGGGGGACTCTCTCTATTATAACTGATAAATTTCCCCCCAGCGCTTGACATATCATTCTATCACAAATGTTCCGTTACCCAGAACTCCCTGTGGGACTTCTTCAAATACTGTTTCCATTTCAAACATCACCTCTTCCTCGGAGATACAAACTCAGGTCATGGTATCCAAATCAGCAAATATGATGATTTTCCCCTGATTTTACCAACACACCAGTTGTCCCTGTATCGAATTCCTCTACATAGTATAATGTAACTTAGTCTATGTAACACCTATCTATGATCACAGTGCCAGAAGCTAACCTAATGTACAGAAAAAATTCAGTAAATCCTTCTTCAATAATTCCCATGAATCTGCAACTGCCTTAGCAATCACTCTGAGAGTCTAAATATGTCCTCTAAGGACAGAAACCACTTCCTCATGTGTGGCAGTTAGATGAAATACCCCAGGTATTTCAATATTGGTCCCCATTTGGTCACTATTTGGGAACTATTGGGAGGTGTGGCCTTGGTGGAGGAAGTGGGTCTCTGGGGATTGGCTTTGGAGTTCAGAGGATCACACTATTCCGTTTGACTTCTTTTTCCTATTTGTAGTTTGAGGTGTGAACTTCCAGCTGTTCCTGCTGGCCTGTCTGCTGCCTGCATCCATTTTGCCATCATGGACTCTAACCCACTGAACACATAGTTTAATAAACTCTTGTACACCTTGTAGAAGATAACTAATACATCATGAATTTCAATGGGGGCATCTGATGCTCTGAACCAGGTGTCTTCAAGGACAGTGGAACTTGTGAGGAATGTTTTGGAAAGCAGGGAGTCTGAGTCAGACCAGGACCCACATACATGACAGAGCCTGTACTCTTCCTGCGAATTTCAATCCCAAATGGGTTCTCCTTGATGAGGACATCATAGAGACGGCCGTCTGGGGTGCTGGATGGAGCACTGGGGATGTTCAGAGGCACCGGGACCTCGTACCGACTGTGGTTGGGATCGTAGATCTAAACCAGAAGAAATCGTTTCATGAAAAGACAGAATTATGGCTCATACTTTATGACATTTTCCGAGCATGTTGACAGTGATCATAATTAACCATATTGCACAATGAAGAATATAATTGCATAATTAAGAAAATTAATTAATTAAAAATTTCTGATTAAAGATGCTTAATTTCTACCACACAAGGTATTAGAGGATTGACCACCAGATATCCTAAGGATATTGAATTGATCAATCTGTAATGTGTAAAAATGCGAAAGTATCACACCAATATTGCAAATGTTCACAGTTAGCTGTCATTTCAAAAGAACACTTTAGACATGAATTGTACTCCACAGAGAAATGAATACCTCAGCACACTCTTAGTGTGTTTGACAGAGTTTACAGGCTGTGTGTTTGGTTTTTTTACTTCACAATAGAGGACTTAACCAACACACGTCTCCATGAGCTCTAGAACATTCCTTCATCCATGTCAACACCACTTTCTACATGGAAATTTCATTCTGAATTGGTATTTTTAAACATATGATGCATTGTTTTGTCGTTGGATGTATGAGTGTGAGGAGACCTGAAAATTGTGATATGGGAGTGGGGGACTAAGTTTCTCTAATGAAAAGCAACCCTTCTGAAAATGAAATAAAGCAGAATAATTAAGGATCCACAGTCTATTACAGACACAATAGCAAACAGTTGAGATAGGAGCTGAATAAGCCTAGGACAGTGTGGTGACAAGCTTAGGCGTCCATGGGAAGTAGGAAAGAAGAGCTCAGCACTCCTGAGGGATGCGAGCTAAAGTAAACTCTGCAGAAGGGCTTTCTGTTACAGGGAAGGGGCAGTGAGGCAGTTTCAGGGAAGAAACTCAGGCCGAGTCTTTAAAGTTAAGCAGCCATAAACCAATCACAAAACTGGCAACCAGTGATTGTGGTGAAGAAAGACGTATGCTGGAAAGAGCTACAGCATGACTGCATGGTTAGTGAGTGACAGCTGAGGCCACACAGCCAACCAGCGCCATTCTGGTGAGGACAAACACAAGACATCATGTCACAAGATGGAGAACACAAGCCCACACTGAGCTCAGATCCTAAGAGCAGTGTAGACAAAGCCACTCTGCCGTGACCACTGCCTTGGACTCTTCCAACAGTACTGGAGTGCTCTCTACATTCCCGCCCATGTGTGGGATTCCAGGACCACCATGGCAGAAGACAGACCCCTGTTTTGGAGCAGCTAACAGTTTAATGCTGAAACAAGCAAGACGACAGCCAGTCTATCTCTAGTCCCTTTGTTTACTTAAACATGGAAGGAAAAGGAATCGCTTTCATGAGTATTTCAAATATGTCTCCAATTGTTATTCAAATCCACACCCTCCTAATATATTGTCAATCATATATCTTATCAGCTCTCTGATTTCCATTATCATTACTAACCATATGCACACATTTGTGAGCTATGAACCTAATAGTCATTCTTCAAGTCATGTCCATCTTGTAGTTGATTTGAATGACCAAGATGGTCTCAAGGTCTCAAACACATCCCCTGTTGCCCATCTCCCATCTTATCCATAGGCCAACTCATCCACAACTGCCCAACCTTCCAAGTAGCCTCCTCTGCTACATCTCCATGGTTTGTTCTCCTAAACTATTGCTCAGACCCATGTGTTTCTCTCTAATTTGAAATTAGGAGAGGTTCATCTAATAATTCTCTTCATCAAATGATGTTCTACACGATTTTACAATAAATAAATAAATAAACAAATAAAACTTTTTGGGGGATGTTTTAACAAAGGTTGCAAAGGGTGACGGCACTGGAAAATCCCTGTGAATGCCTGACTGCACACGCTGTGTTCACCTTAAACTGCAGCATCTCATTCTTGTGGTAGATCACGCGCAGTTGCAGCTGGTTCACGGGTGTGGAGGGGAAGGCATGGCTGTAAGGAGAATCCTTCAAGGAGATGCTGGCTGTGGCCTCATTCTCGTGATACTGAACATTGCTGACTGAGTACAGGTCATTGACAATGTAGCAATAAGGGACGCCAGAAATGTCAGATTCCTGAAAAGAGAGTCGATATCCTACATCAGCATGGATCTAGTTGTTAAGTAGATAGAAAAGTCAATTTATGTGGAGACACCATCACTTCATCCAGTCATGCCTATAAAGGTTAAAATAAGCATGACTCCACTCCAAACAACACTGAAAACATCCCACTCTTAACCTCTCCACTCCTCACCCCAAATCAGGCTCATCTGGAGTCTTTGCTTTCCATGGATTTTAATAAATCCGGGGGCCCAGGGCTGTGCTAAAGCCACTGTAGGCTGTGTTTCCAGGGCTGCAGTTTATATGCACATCCTCAGCCAGCTCACCTCCCAGACGCAGCCACGGGCAGTGCAGTTGGCTTCAGAAGCTCCATGCTCATCTGGATAGCAGTCTATCTTCTCCTGGTCTATCACATTGCTCCACTCAACTGTGTACGCTTCTCCCAGCGCGAGATGGATGTCTGTGATGGTGGCAACCTGAAGCAATGCAAAGTCAACCTCAGGACAAAGGTCTTGACAGACCTGATCACCCCCGTCCATTTTTAACAGAAATTATGTATAAATGTCATTCATTGCCCTGCTTTTCACGATTAATGAGCACATTACAGTTTGATTCTATTGAAACCTTACATTGTAGAAAAAGAAAAAAATGTGCTGTAATCACTTTTTGTGGGTTTTTTTGTTTGTTTGTTTGTTTGTTTGTTCTGTTTTTTCCTTCCTTCCCCGGATTACTTGACCCTATTCATTTTATCAGAAAGGCTTTCTCCTTCTATTCCCAAAATAAGGTATTTTTCTCATATCATGACCCTTTCCTGTGGAATGCCTAGAGAACTGGAATCTTACACAAATGTTCTCAGTTACCTTGGTTTAAGATTTATCAACTGAGTGTAAGATTGGAGAGCAGAAAATTTAATTATATAGACTTTCATGTCCAGCATCCAAGCCTCATCACATCCCAAGGCCAGAAACCCAAATTTGAAGCTACATATACTGCATTTGCTTTCAACTGCTGCAGCCTTCTGTCCGAATACTTGTTTGAAGTTTCTTACACAGCACCTACATGACTGATGCATTCGTGTATCTGGAGCATAACATCACTTTCTTGTTTGAGATCACCTTTTTTTCAATGTCTTTCTGGTAGGCAATACCCTGTCTGTTCTGTCCTGCCAATCCCCACACTCCACTCCAGCCTCCAATAAGGGCCTGATTCAAGGATCATTGTCGGAACCTTAAAGAACTCAATATGACTTTCTTAGTTGGGTTCCCAAGACCCTCTCTAATCTGGTCCCACTGTACTGCTAAAGTTAATGAGACCTTATCCAGGCATGGAGTTAAAAACTGATAATATAAGAGTTCTGAGCGCTGTCAAGAATAGCTCAACATGGAGAGCATCATCATGAGAAACACAGTCTAAGAAAACAAAGCCCTTTCTGAACACATTACTAGCTGTCTTATTAATATGAAATGTGCTATTTTTTGTATTTCTGGTTCAAATATCTGGTCTTTGCAATTAATAATTGAAGTTTTAATGACTGTAGTATTTTCATAGTGAGAAAAGTACATTTGAGTTCACCTGCTGGACCAGGATTTCTTTCTTGCTAGAGGAGTCTACTCCTTCAACTTTATCTCTGCCTTCCTCTTTATACAATTCTCTTTTCTTTGCCTATTTTTTCCTATTTATCTCTCTACAATAAGAGCATTGTGACTAGATCCATGCACTCCCAGCCAATAAATAAGGCACACCTTAGTTTTAACAAAGCTCAACTGCTGGATCAATTCCAAAAAGTTTTCAACTTTGAACTTCTAATCATTGAGGATGGGGAAAAAAATCTCCAATCTGCCATCTCAGACTTCTCGTCACAAGGATCTGATGGCCCAACCTCATTTTTTGTGTATGGATGTTTTTCCTGCACATACATCTGTGCATTATGGGTGTAGCCACAGAAGCCAGAAGTAGCCTTCGATCCCCCAGAACTGGAGTTAGAGATGTTTGTGAGTCAACATGTGTGTTCTGGGAACCAAACCTAGGACCCCTAGAAGAACATCCAGTGCTATTAACTGCTGAGACATCTCTCCATCTCCAGGAAACTCTGTCTTTCCAGGTCCTGTTCTATCCATGCCTCCTCCAAAAAGCTGACCCCAGCTACTGCATTAAGCCTTATGTCAAATAAGACCATTTTATAAATGTGCATTTAGACGCCTTAATTCTTTCATACATTTTCATGTATGTGACTTGTACCTCTCACCGCCCTGACTCAAACAATAGAGAGTTCTTGTTGACATGTTAATATTTCATTTTCTGTTAAGAACAGAGCTTATTTTCACATGAGCATCTGCCAGCTGCCTTACATGTTGCCACAGACACAACCAAACACAAAAATCCTTTATTTATAACTTCATAATGTATGTTCCTTCTGTGCATAACGTGATGGCAAGAGGTCAAATATCATCAGGGTGCCATTTAGAAGCCTCAGTTGATTCATTTCCCTAATCTGAAAGATAGATGCTCATCGGTGCTGATTGGACAGCTCCAGTTCTGTGAGCACCCCCAATGGTGAGAACAGACTTGGAAAAGTTCCTCGCAGTAATGAGGAACTGAGGGATGGAATACAAGTCATACAGGAAGGCTGGATATCACTACAGATGCCAGAATACCACTTTCTAATCACCATCTCAGTTAGTTAGCACCATCGACTTTTGCATAAAATATATCTTGCAAAAGTATATGCTAGAGAACACACACTATTCTCAGTAGAGCTTAACAAAAAGAAGGAAACATTAAAAATTAAGTGAATAAAAGCAATTTAAATGTTTTAGTCACAGGGCCCCTATCTCTACCTCCACCTTCAAGCACAAGCTGTCAGCTTTCAGATCCTGTTCCTCGGATCTTGTTCCCAGATCCAGTTAGAGAAAACCAAACACAGAGAGTGAGGAGGACGGGAAAACTGGGGTCCTGTGCCTCAGACTATCTCTGATTGTTACTTTCCTCCGGCGCACTCTGACGTCACCATCAGGGTTCAGGTGTGCTCTGGGCCTTCAACGACCCATGTAATCTTAGCAAGAAGTGACATCAAGATACCATGGAAGTTTGTGAATTCTTACCTTCAGGGTTGAATTGTAAGTGATTCGAGGAGACATTTGACTAAGGACACCATTCTGTTTGACTCTAACATTGTAAATTGCCTCTGTCCCAAGGATTTTAATTTCCTGGAATTCTAAGTTATTGGGATCGGTGTAGTTTGCACTTGAAATTGTCACATTCAAACGGTTCTGAAACACATCAAGCATAGTTATGAACAAATTATAAACAGTTTCCCTAGCTCCTCAAATACCCCATGCTAGACTATACCTTCAACCTTCTCTAAAGGTCTCTCAGCTTCCTCTGCTAATATGTGCTAATGGAGGAACAAATTTATTTTTATAATGCCAACTGAGAGAGATGAGGAAACAGACAGACATTTTAGAGAATCATAACAACACTAGCTAATTTTATTTTTACTGTTGACTCTTTTCAATAACTATCGCTGATGTAATTATTATGAATTAAGTCATAAATAACAATATATTCACACATAGATGCTGGTATTTAAATAAATACAGTTACATGCATACAGCAGATCACACACACACACACACACACACACACACACACACACATCTTCAGACAAAACCCCATACAATATTCTTAAAATATGCACTTACTTTGGAGACAGAAAATTCACTAAAGAGGTAAGTGTTCTTGGCCACAGTATCTGAAAGCAGAGAGAGATGTCAGGCTGGCCTGGCGACCACACAAGATGAGCTTCAACTTCCTCTCCTAAAAACTAGTTCCTCTTCCTTTTCATGACTCAAGAACATGTCACCTGATCTGTGTATCACAACATCTTTATTCGTTCACCTGTCAGATAGATTTGGCTGCTTGTGGGCCTTCACTAGTACAGACAACGCCACAGTGAATGGGAGAAGTCCCAGCATCTCTGTGGCATATGCTTTCCATTTCTTTAGGATGGTACACACCCAGACACGGGACTTGTGTGCTGTATGGTAGTTCTGTTTTCAATCTGTGAAGGAGTGTCTACCCTCTTCTCCATAATGCCTATGCAAACTTATTTTATGCTTTTGTTGCCTTTGTATTGTGGGGTCATACTTAAAAATCACAGTACCATGCCGAATATCAAAGAAGCTTTCCCCTGGATTTGCTCCTAAGAGGTTACTGATGGGTAAACAACAAACATGTCTATTATCAGATGGACGAGTAAAAGAATAACAGTGCATGTATAAAATGGAGTATCCTTTAGTATTAAAGAAGAAGGAAGCCCTCCATTGTTAGAGCAGAGACGAATCTGGATCATGTCCCACTAGGAGAAGTAGGTAAGACAGCACAAGAGAAGCAATGTGTGCTCTGTGTTTTACAGGGGCTAAAGAGCTGCACTCATATAAGAATCAGAAGGAGAGACACAGAAAAAGAGAGAGATGATGTCCCTCCTTCACTGTGGTCATCTATCATGGCCTCTGACCAATCCAGGCAGAAACACATGCTTTCTCTGGGAGGATGCTCGATGATGCTTGGTGGTATTTCAGTCCCAGTAGAACGGCCAGCAGGGGTGAAGGGACAGAGTCAGACCTGCAGGTCCACAATGGCCACAGCCCCTCACAGCACTCACCCTTCGACTCCCCATCATCCCAGAACAGTTCTCAGATGGATGAGTAAAAGAATTACAGTGCATGTATAAAATGGAGTATCCTTTAGTATTAAAGAAGAAGGAAGCCCTCCTTTGTTAGAGCAGAGATGAATCTGGATCATATTCCTCTAAGGGAAGCAAGTAAGACAGCAAAAGAGAAGCAATGTGTGCTCTGTGTTTGCACAGGGGTTAAAGAGCTGCAGTCCTATCAACAGGGGAAGGAGAATTCAGGATCGGGTAGAAAGGTAAATGGGAAAAATCTGTTCAAGGACTATGAACCATAGAACAAGTTCTAGAGAGCCAATGCTGCCATTGGCTGTGAAAGGATCCTTTGCAGTTCTCCCAAGGCAGTCATCAATGGGAATCTGTTTCCCAAGGTAAATTCATGAGAATTGTTAGTGCAGTGGAGATAAGGAGAAAGAAAGGGAGGGACAGAGGGAAGGAGGGAGGGAGAGAAAGAAAGAGAGAGAGGAAGGAAGGAAGGAAGGGAGGGAGGGAGGGAGGGAGGAAGGAAGAAAGGAAATGTGCTAATGTTATGTGCACATAATCGGGAATGGTGTGCTTGCTGCCTCCTTGACAAGGTGTGTGGACAGTTTTCCCCCAGGGACTCAGCTGGGAGGTATTTACAGTGAAAGGTGAATTACAGTAACGGTCTTGAAAATGTGTCTTTTAACAAAGAGATGAGAGCCTGTTAGACATGGCGGGTCAAGGAGAGAATTAAGAAGTAGAGACGCAGAGAGACAGAGACAGAGACAGAGAGATGCTCGCCCTCCTCCATCCGTGGTTCATCTACCATTGCCTCTGACCAGTCCAGCCAGAAGCAGATGATTTCTCTGGGGCGATGCTCGAGGATGCTTGGGCAGCAGGGGTGAAGGGACAGAGTCAGATGTGCAGGTCCACAATGGCCACAGCCCCTCACAGCACTCACCCTTCGACTCCCCATCATCCCAGAACAGTTCTCCTCTGGCTTCTTTGTTCTCATCCAGGGCAACGATCAGGCCAAGGGGGTTCTTCCGGCTGAGGGGAACAGAGACACAAGACCCAAATCCTATGGACTCAAAGAATTTCGCCAGACATTTGCATCAAATTTCGATTGGGAAAGGCTACTAGCAGCAGAAGCTCTATTCCCCTTCAAACACAAAGGCAAGATTGCCTGGCCCCTCTCTCTCTAGTACCAATAGCTCACAGGGGAGGGAGACAGGCTAAAGCTTGGCTATAAGTACCTGTAAAGGAAGTGTGGCAACAGAATCAATAGCTATAATTTAAAAACTGTGATTGAAAGAATCATTTGGAAGACAGATTATTAGAAAAGGGAGAAATCTTCCACAGCAGTGCCAAGGCTAGGTTTAGAGTTCGTGCCCTGAGAAGCATCAGTTGCTATGAAAAAGACACACTTTCCCCTCATAAGGCAGTTTTTCTGAGAAAGCAAAAATATACAATAGGGTCATATATGGAATGGCCACTTTCGTTATTTGATTACTTGCTATTTTGTCTTGAAAGAAAAGCGGGAATATTGGAAGTGGGAGCAACCACTCTGCTGGAAGAGTTGGAGAGAATTACCTGAGCTTAGCTTGGACCTTGGAGAAGGTAACTGGGAATGGAAAATGGATGTGGCTTGTGATAAAGCAATTTTCAAATATGCGTAGCCTTTTGCAAAGGATAACATGTGAGAAGCCTAAACACAGCAAAACAGGTGATTGCTAGGGGACAAGAACAGTCTCGTCCTAGGAAGGGCAGGCTTGGGCAACGCAGCCTGATGGTGAACAATTAGAGAAAGAGAAAACACAAGTCTCTGTATGTATCTTCAAGGAAAGTCAATAATTTGAAATGTTAGGATAATAAATGGAATCCAATGAAAACCCAGCTTCCCAGAATTCTAAGAGCTCCCAGGATATTAAAAATCAAACAATCTAATACATTCAGGGACACATGACAGAAAGATGTAGCTCTCATTGGAGTGCAGATGGAGTCTAGAGCTGGAGTCAAGGGCTTGTAAAGAAAAGTCTGTGACACTGGTAGATGGCTAACTGGGTGTGGGGGAGTGGGGGGTGGGGAGGGGTAGGTGGGGGGTGTAATTTGAAACAATTTTAAAATTTAAATATACTTTAACCATATTCTTCCTCTCTCCAACATCCTCCCAGATCCTCTCCCACACCCACACAACTTCAAATTCTTTCTCAAAAACAAACAAAACCCCAATACAACAAAATCTCCCAAAGGTAAGAAAACAAAATAAAAACACCATCACCCCCCAATAAAGAAACACCAAACTGTAACCACACACACACACACACACACACACACACACACACATACACACACCAAGACAAAAACCCTGGAGCCCATCATATGTTGGTCAACTACTCAACTACTCCTGAACATGAGACCTGTCTTGGAGAGGTTGATATACCCAGTGTCACTCTGTTGGAGAAAATTGATTTTCCCTCTCCCAGCAGGTGTATGTGACAGTTCAGCTGTTAGCCTTTACCAAGGAGCTGGGTTTTCATTAGTCACAAAATGGAAAGAGCTCGGTGAGAGGGATGGAAATGAGGGCGAAGGTTATAAGAGGTGAAGTCTGTAATGAGAATTTATAAGGGCCACTGGCAGGCGCCCAGGGCAGGGCAGGGAGGAGGCCATGTGACCAGCCTTGCCCACAAGAGTCTTCCCGAGACATGACGCTTTCAGTGACGAGGCTGAACATGCCTTGGGAAACCAGGAAGGCTGAGCATTCTAGCTGTCAGTGTGTTCTGACACATTCAGAGAATTGGGGATGGGAGTAGATAAAAACTGGTCAGGGAACAGCTCTAGGTTATAAGCTTGTAGAGGTCGAGTGAAGCTCCAGGGGACACACCTCGCTCTAGCACCCTTCCCATCCATACTCTGGTCAATAGACTATCCCAGGAATGTTCCCCTTTGCCAGACGTGCGCCCCCTTAAAGACACCCCGTGCTGTACCTGGCTGTTGTGGTTGTGTTTGGCTGTTGGGTGGGGAAGATGTAGCCTCCTCGAAGGTGAAGTCCGATTTTATCTCCAGGGAGGGCCATCTCGATGCTTTGCTTTCTCCATGTCAACTGTCCCCCCTAAGGCAGGGAGATAAACCCACACATTGGCCCCATAGCACGTGGACCTCCTGGGACCACCATCATGCTGACTTCTTTCCAGTGACATCTCTTTTCCATTTAGCGGACTACTCTGCACCCAGACCGGCGAACAAAAGAAGCTAAAAACGTAGGTCAGTTCAGGGTTTGTAAAACACTTTTGCCAGGCTGTACCTGCTTAATATCCATTGCGTGAACTGATACACCTAGCTAGTCATCTGATTCCTGGCCAAGCTCAAACCACCCACACCAGGCTCTCTCATGCTTGCTCACGAGAAGCTCTTTGCATCTGTCTTTTTCGTATTGCTGAATAGAGGTGTGTTGAGTTACGGGACTGCTCTACACAAACTGTGCTGTGAAATTATAGAAAACACTACAGACACCACCCTCTAGGAAAGAATGGCAGTTCTCAGTTCCAGAGAGACATCTCTCTCTGCAGTGCAGCCATAGTCTTGAGTTTAAGGGAAAGCTACTTACGGTCTCATAGTCATACCAGACGGCATCAGGCACATATGCTTTCACTTTCTCTGAACCCTAAAATTAAATTTAAAAAAAATTACCCTCATGACTCAGCCTCTGAGGGCATGAAATACATGTCTTAGCATAGCTGTATTCAAAGAAGGTGGGCATAGTCTTTTTTTACCCTGCGGCTGAACTATGCCTTTCTCCTAGTACAGAGAAGAGAAATTATAGCCTGGCATTCTGGGGTGCGGGGATCACAAATGGCACAAATGTAATTAGAAATAATAAAAATGATGATGAATTACCCTGTGGGGACAATTCCAGCTCTCTGTGAATTATTGAATTATCTCTGTAGCTCATTTGTTAGATGCAGTTGTAATTCCCACTTTTTGAAGTTGGGAAGCCTACACAGTAACTCTCCTGGTTCGACGTTCTCACCTAGCTGGCAAAAATCGTCAACACTGATCACACTGACTGTAGAGTGAGTGCTGGTCTGTCTCATCCTGGATCCACATCTCAGAGCAAGAATCGTGGGTTATAATGACCTGAGGAGCCAGAGGCTCATTCCCAAATGTAAGTGGCCAGTTGGTGCTTTTACACTGGCCGACAACTTGTCTAGAAAAAGAGGCCTCTAAAGATGAAAACATGAATCAGATATGCCACTATAAAATGCCCCTGGATACTCCTCCCTAGTGGCTCAACCACAGATTTTTGCAATAAAGGGGAGAGAGGCTTTGTGGGGTGGTGAGCAGGGACAGAGGCAGAGGCTGCCTGCCTGTGACTGAGAGAACACTTGCCTCATCCAGAACAGGAGTGATGAGGAGGCCTGGTCCCCACAGAAACTGCCGGTCTATGTCCCAAGTATTGCTGTCCTCATAGAACCTAGAGAGCAAAGAGATAGGTCATGGAGAGGTGGCCCAGTGCTCCTGGAATCTCTCCCACAATCTAACCAAAGCATGGATGCTACCTGGGAAACACCCACAATCACTGTGTGATACCTACCCTGCCCCCACCTCCTCCCAACCCATGTAGGTCTGTGTTCCCAACCCATGTTCCTTCCTGAGTTTCCCCCAGGTGACGCCCAAGTTCCTATTCCAGTATCTACGCTAGGCTGCCCTCGGGCTACACTGCTGTTCGCTGTATCTTTCAGAAAATAAGTAAAATAACCTATGAATTTCATGACTTTAGCTTATTGTCAAGAAAGATCTGGGGCTGGACCTAGCGGCACGATGCCAGAAATCTCAGTTATGTGGAGGTCAGGAAGATCGAAGCTTCAAGTCCTGCCTGAGCTACAGAGAATGCTGCAGGCCCGCCTAAGAGATTTAACAGACCCTGCCTCAAAATAAAAAAAATAAAAAAAAAGTGGTGGTGCACGCCTTTAGTCTCAGCACCTGGGAGGCAGAGACAGGCGGATCTCTATGAGTTCAAGGCCAGCCTGGTGAACAGAGTGGGTTCCAGGACAGCCAGGGCTACACAGAGGAAACCGTGTCTTGAAAGAACAAAAGACCATGTTAAGAAGGATTGGCTGTAAGGCTTGGGGCAGAGTACTTGCAGACCAGGTGCAAAGCTTGAGGTCCACTCCTCAGCATCACCCCAACCCACAAGCACAGCAAAAGTAAAGAACTGCACCAGTTAAAATAATAATTAATAATAATAACCAGGAAATACAAAATTTTAAGGTTTTCTATTTTAGGATATCTGTGTTTAAACAATTAATTCCAGGAGGAGAAATTTTTACCCCAGAAGTGATTATGAGTGAGTGCAGGTATGTGTCTAAGGTCCTCATCCACCACACATGACAGCATTATTTTAACAAGGAAAGGCACCCAAGAGACCACCTCCTGAGTTAGATCAGAGACTCCAACCGCCTGGCAAAGAATAATGGACTTGCAGGATCATTTATGAGACTCTTGCTTGCTTTCAAACTGCACACATATTCCTAGCGTCTGAACAGAGTGCATATACTCTAGCATCATAATACATATACATGATACAGAGGCCATCAAAGCCTCCTTATCAGATCTTTCAAATTAAGCTAAAGAGAAGGGAGGGGTAAGTGGTAGATCTCTTGCCCAGTATACGCAAACCCTTGGGACTGATCTACAACACCTGAGCCTATGTACACACGCACACACACACACATGCACGCACGCACGCACGCACGCACACACACACACACACACACACACACACACACACCACACACACACGAACATCTCGCTTGGGTGGCTTTATATTTCACTCTGCTATTATACCCAATCAACATCACCAAGTTTGGATTAACAGAACGTTGGGAGGACTTACTCATGCACAAGGGGCCTAGCCACCGTGTCTCCCCGGCTGTGGGCACAGTATAAAAGAGTGTAGAGGTAAGGCAGAAGAGTGTATCGGATGTTAAGGTAGTGCCTAGACGAATTCAACAGCTCCGAATCTGCTCCAAAAGAGGCAGGATCCTGGTCCTAAAGGGAAAGAAACGTTTGCAGTTGTGGCTTGACTATGGGAAAGCTGTGCACACGCAGAAGGACCTCAGGTACCACGCAGCATAACCCAGGGTTTCATGCCGCATGATCTGGGGCCTCGGTTGCACATTGCCTCTGAGTAGCATGGCTGGAGGGTAGAACCATGACATCGAGTAAGTTGTCATTGCAACTTACAAGTCGCCGTGCCTCGTTCGCACGTTAGGACTGCCCTGTTGGGAGGCTATCTTAAATAATTTTGAAATGTTTGCCCATCTTTGTTCTCGTTACAAAATCAAGCAATGCAGGTAGAGTGCACAGAAGTTTATAAACATCTTAGAGCCCATCATTTCCACTTTTATTTTGCAGTTTCTGAGATTTCCATGTTTGTTTTACTGGCGTGATAGTCATCACCAGCTTCCTGGCATCTGACCTTCTGTTCCACAGTACCTTCCTCCCGCTGCCTTGAGAAGGGCAAGCTTCCTGCTTGCTGCTATGTAAGGCTGTGAGACCCCTTGAATTGTCCTACATAGCTAAGCATCTATCTGCACTTCCCAATTAGGAATTGTGAAGACAAGTTTGCCAGGTAGCCCAGGCAAATATGTAATTCCTGATCCTCCTGCCTCCAGCTCCAAAATGGCTAGGATTACAGGTCTGTGTCTCCACATCCAGGTAGAACCTTGAATTCTGAACCCTTTGCTTAAACATTGAGCTGAGTACCATAATTGGACTGACTCTTAATGTTCTTATTTAAATATGTGTCTCCAGAATCTGAACCCAAGGAAGCCATCCACACAAAAATGAGCAACCAGAGAGAGACATTGGGACATTTTATGATCAAACAGGTCCGCATTAATGGCAAGTGGAACCCAAATCAACACACAGGAAGAATATTATATTATGAAGCTGCCTCGACAGACTTCCCGGTGGGAACACAAACAGGTCTAGTCCCCATGCACACCCAATGCACTTCCCAGCTGACATACCTTGTAGCCTTGGCCATTGTGATTCCGGGAAAAAGGATAAAATGCCCCCAGCTGCATCCACCGCCTGCACAGCTCCTCAGATGTGTCCAAGGCAAAGCCACATATGTCGGCTCCCACCTGTAATGACACATAGACAGCATGTTCATCACACCCCACACCCTGCTGTTGCTTTCTACCAGGAACTTCCTAAACGAACTTTGTCCAAATCTTTTACCCAGAAGGCTAATAATCAGCACTGAGCCTGGGTCCGCGCCACTGCGAGATGATTCCTTTCCTGCCACAGCCCACTCCTTTTGTTGAGTGGAGCCTGAGCGCCGTAACTTCTTATGGACAGTGGCTAGCAGTACCAATAATACTTTTCTAAAGCCCAACTCTGATCATGCCACTCACTTCATCAAGCTCCCCACAGCTTCCTCTCTATCCCTCCTACCACCCCTTAAATCCTGGTTCCAATATACCCTTCCAGAAGATAGCCCCCACTCCAGCTCTCCACATTGAGCGCAGGGACACACCTGTCCCTCTCTTCACACTCCATTTGCTTGTTTATTCCAAGGTCTTAGAACGAGCTTTCTTCCCTCATTAGCCAATCTCCACAGCTCAACTTAGGCACCATCTCTTGGCTTCCTCCCCAACTCTCTCTGTCTAATATCAAATTAATAAAGATTTTTTTCCTCAGAATCTGCAGTGATGATTAATATGTACAGCCCTATGAGGGTGTTTTTCTTTTTAATCTCAGCTTGCTAAAGTCATTTTGTTACTTGTATGTCTCCATATTTTGTTACTGTATGCCATTCATACTTAATTTAGCACTTTGAACATAGTAAGAGCTCAATGAATGTGTCTGTTGAGTTTGAACAAGCAATGGAAAGCCTATCCAGTGCTGCAGGGAAGCTTCTTCATCTGGGGAGCTGGTTACATAGGTGTGAGTTCCATGTATGCCTGCATCTGATGTAGACTAGATGACTGACACACTTATTCTATGTTGCACACTAAGAATAATTTGGAAAGTATTGGGGTCAGTCTTTGTATTTACACAAGGAAGTTCAGACAATGATGCTAGGGTATCAGAGGCACAGTGACAGTGGTGGAGAATGGACATTAAAGCTCTAGACCTTGACAGGCTTCACAGAATGAAAACGTATCGGAAGGAAACGTCATGGGATTGGGTGTCGTAAGAGAGCTTGGGGCAGAGACTCACCATTGGGATGCCGAAAAGGTTGAACTCAAGCATGCCTGGAATAGACCACCGAAGGTCGCTCCAGGTGGCAGTGTTGTCCCCTAACCAGTGGGCTGCAAACTTGCCAGATCCCGCAAAGGTTGAGCGTGTGATGATGAAGCTCCTCTTGTCTGGGAACGTAGTCTTCACGGCTCTGGGGAGGGACAGATATTTAGGGATCAGTGGGGAGCTCATCTGGTCCCAGAACAACGAAAGCAAGAACACAAAAAGCAAGTGTCTCATTCCGCTTTGCTCCTTTTCTCCAAAAAGAGGTAGAGGGGCAGTTAGAAGCAGTCTGTACCACAACATGCACTCGGGTTTTACTTAGCTTTGATTTACACATACTACCAGCCAGCCTCTTAATTTCCAACAATTCCAAAAGCAGCCTTAGAAAGGATAAAAACTAGAGGCATATGAATTTTAGGAAACAAAAGTGAAACTTGAAATAGTAAAAATATGTTAGTCTTTGAGCCAAAAGACGTCAGAAACAAAAAAGTAAAATGTGGATCTGTCATCATGACTTTTTGAAAAGTTTTATGTAGAAAAAACATTGGTCATAATTTCACGAGAAATTTTTTTTAAAATAATACAAAAGTGTGTGTTTCTGAAACTAAATCCATTAAACAATTCTAAGTTAGAGGTCTGCATGTGTACACATAACTAACAAAATTGTACGACTGGATTTACAGATCAATGATAGAGCACTTGCCTAACAGGTAGAGCCCTGGGTTCATCTCTAGAACCAAAACAAACAAAAAAAAAATTACAGTAGAACTTTTCCATTTCTCTCAAAACGGCAAAACTACATCTGTTACTTTGAATGTGCTCCTTCTTGCTGTCACTGTTACACCAAGAACAAATTATTATTTTCGTCGTTATAGAATTTAACACAAAGGTAAACAGAACACAGTAGAAGGCCGCTGGGTACCTAAAACCCCAAAACCCATGGATATCTACAAGTTCCTTAATCCTCTATGTCCTTTATTTTTATATTATGTAGAAAGATAAAATGTGTAAGGAGATGGGACTAAATTTTGCTTCATAATACTTCAGATGTTTTATCTTGGATAAGTTTCTTATCAGTTTTCTTCTGATTTTATATTCATTCATTGACTCATTTGTTATTTTACTTAATATATTCTGCAAATACTTACTAGATCTCCTACTCTCTGCGTGCCAGTTTCTCTATTCACTCAGTAACGATGACCACATTTTTTAAATACTTGTGTCAGCTGTTAAGTATATGAATGTGTGCCTGTGCCTGTTGGGTATATGCACTCTAAGTGCAGGTGTCAGAGAAGACCAGAAGAGGGTGTTTGTTTCTCCAGAACTGTAGTTACAAGCAGTTGTGAGCCACCCAACGTGGGTACTGGGAACCATATTCAGACTCTGAGAGAGTAGTATATCTCCTGAACTTCTACGCCATCTGCCCACTCCTTCCCAGAGTTTACTTTTTATTTTGACTTTTAACAAATACTACATATGAGTCACTAAGCCTCTCTCAGATCCATGATTTGATCACATATAAGTTTGTAGTAATAATGGACTCACTCTGCTGTGGCAATGGCCATGGAGTAACCGTACAGATTGTGGACGTCATACTGCTTGCCCCAGAGTTGAATGGCATCCATGCAGAGAGTCTTAGAGAACAAGTGTCCATCCAGGACCTCTGCAATGACAACAACAAAATGCCCAATTGTGAAAAAATTTGCATGCTGATTTCTTACTTCTTAATTTCCACACAACCTACAGAGGTGGCGTAGTGGGCATATTTTTATTGCAGCCATTCTGAAAGCAAACATGCTGTGTCTTATCATCAGAAGGCCATGTAGTTAATGTAGTTTTTCTGATACAAAAAAAAAAATGTTCTGTGTCACCCACTCAGAGGCAGAGAATCTAGGTTAGCCACAATTTCAGTCTGAATTGTTCAAACCAATACAAGTGGCTCAAAACGAGAAACATTGGATAAAGTGTAACTTAACTTTTGACTCCTTTTTTCCCTTTTGATCATATTTTATAGAGTGATTCCAAGTCTTGGTTTCATTCACATATTCCCTGCTCCTACTATCACACCGTGGTTCTCACAGACATGAACTGTGTATTCTATTTGTTAAAATAGATTCTTGATAATTTATTTACTTTTGACAAATTTTTAAATTCATTATACATGTTAATGCCAGGTTAATACTTCTAAAACCAGTTGGCAATCCTACAGCCCTCAAAAAAAAACTATAAATAGCTTATGCCATAGAAAGAATTAAATTAGAACTCTTTGGCCTCTAATCAAATCCCCTCAACATTTGATTTTCACCTACATCTGCCTCGATTTCCTAGTTTGCCTTGAGACTGAAGTGGCCATGAGTGTTATAATCCTAAAAGTTTTGTTCCTTTCTTAATGAAGATACAACCTTCTTCTTGGCTCTGTATCTTTCTTCAAAAAACAATTAATATTGTGGTTTCATGACCATAACCTACAAGATTGGTGTTTTCATTTGGCTATATGGTTCATGCCCATCCTTCAAACTGAGCTCAGCACCAGATGTATCCCTTGTCTGAAGGTCAAGATTACCTATCTGGTTTCTCTTGTAAGCTCTAGTCTATGAGGTTCACCTTGAGAATGGCACTAACTAATCACTAGACTCTGGATTCTGCATTGTATATGTTTTGGAATTTCACCTACAACAGCATGGCATGGACATAGGACTAGATTACTCATTGAGAATTCATGCCTCTTCAGAGAACCATGACCATATGCTCAGCTTCTTTCCTAGTTTTCTTTATGCAGTGCCCACATTTTTTCCCTGCGAACATTATGTGCAGACTCCCTCAGCCAATGATTCAGGTCTGTCCTTGTAGATTTAAAATTTCATGTACACCTTGACACATCAGTCAGGCTGACCACGATGACTTACTTGGTGTGAATGGGGGATAATTGAGCTCATTTGTGGAACATCCTGAAACTGAGCCATCAACAAAGTTGGAGACTTCATTCATATCCTACCAGACAGAGAGCAAAATCTATTAGGAAAAGTAGCATGTCATGTTTATATATGGGTGGTAATTTTTGTTTCTGAGGGATCAGATAAATTACTCTAGATAATTCTTTTTAAGAATGTCCCATGGATATGTTAGAAAGGTATGTTTCTGTCTTCTCTACTCACTGAAATATTCACAGAGTAAGTTCTTAGAATAGCTTCAAAATTGTGCATGTATATAATCACTAAAAGTAGATAAATTAACCAAAAAGTTTCAGTTTATTTTCTGTCAAAAGTTTTACCCTATAGTATTATATGCCTAAATATAACTAACATGTAGGTACATACATAAATATACATGTATATAGAGAAAAGAGAGACAACATATCCATGCACCAGAGCTGTGAAAACTGAAGTTCTGGAAGGGTGGATAGAAAAATAGTAATTGTAAATATCTTTATGAAATTCCTTCTGTGTCCTTTTAGATGATTGTGTTATTTGAATTTTCTACAGTTCTTCTACAAATAGAAAAATTTCAACTCTAGGCCTAAATGTCATTCAACATCAACCGTGCTACATTCATATTCATTTGACATTTTACAAGACATTGCTCTTTAACACAGTTAGAAGTTACTTTGTACCTGGACACTTTGGTTATGATGAATCTGTCATCATGTCTAAATAAAAGGGCCTCAAGTTGACCATCGAACAATTCATGTACTTTATGACAAAATAAGGAACATATGACACTTGTTTTCATTTTCTTTCTATACTTCATTGCTCAAAGACACAACCAGAGGTAAACGCTGTGAATGTCTCTATGAATAAAAGCGTTACAACTCACAATCCAAATTCCATCAAATGCCACTGTGCGGTGGAAACTGTCAATTTCGTTTGCCCACCAAACAGCACAGTTGGGATTGGTGTAATCAGGAAACACAGTTGTTCCAGGCCAGACCTGTGGGGTACGAAAATGGAGAACACTGGTAATGACTTAAGTGAATGTATAATAAGCAAGGAACTTTATGTAGGAATTCCTAACACGATCATGGAAAGGCCAGAGGTAGAAGTCACGAGTCTTCCCGGTGTAGAGTAAACCACTTAGAATATGGGGACTCAGTCACTCTCAACTGAAATGAAAAGCCATCTGAGAAAAGTAATTTTAAAAATGTTGATTGGCTATTTAAATGAGTAAATCCAAGGATGAAAACAGTGTCTAGTTTGTTAGTCTACAACTCTGCTTCACATTTCCATCTCCTCCTTCTGCTTTCACATCTAAGAATTGAAAATGGAAATGGAATTTCGACTGACCCATTACAATCTGTAGATTCTAACATGACTTACTTTTCTCTATTCTTCATCTAATCCCCTCAGACGCTATGTTTTGAAGGGTTGTTGCGGATATTAAAATTAAACACAAAATAATGTGCTCGTGAAAAACAAGACAATAAAAGAGTCCAGTTAAAACAAAAAGTGGTGAGTATATTATTTATTGACAAGAAGCTGAGTTAAGGATGTCGCGGCCCATTTCTACTGGATTTCCCTAGTAGGCAGTGACCAGAGCCAGTTTCCAAGCAATGTCTGTGGAGCAACGTGAGGGACAGCATTGCAGAGACAAGAAGGGACCGAGTAAAGAAGCAGACATTCAGGGAGTGAGTTGCCATTGAATGGGATCTGGCTAGGAAAAGCAGGTAAGAGCCAGAGTAAACAGTAGGTAGGCACTTGGGTATGGAAAGGCAAAGAAAAGTTAGGTTCAGCGTGTCCAAGTCCTTTGAAGATGCACTAGAAAGCCACCTACTTATCACAACCCAGCCAGAGCCAGAGCCACAGCTTCCCCGTTAAATTACCTCTCCAATGAGTGGGCTTATGCCGTCAGAACTATTCACCCAGATATTCATTGCTGAACCCCTTTCATATGGTTCATAGGAGCCGCTTGGGAGAGAGTTGTTGGAAATGGCCGGATCCTACGAAAAAGGAAAACACAGTGAAAAAAAAAAAAATGTACTTTAAGCTAAACGCTGAACTCCAATAAAATGAGCACAGTCAAATGTAACTACAGAAGGCATTGAAGTGTTTTCATTTCATCGGAGGCCAAGTAGAGAGAAGATGACATAATGAACAGAATGAGGAACCACCTGATTTCGGAGGAAAAAGGGAAGCGCATACCAAAATGATAATAAGTTTCTGGCCATTGTTGTGTAAGTCCACAGCAAACTCTGGGAAGCCTTTAAACTTCTCTGGGTCATAAGTGAAGTCCTTTCTCTGCTCCATATAATCAATATCAGCATGCTGGACGTCCTGAAAGAATACAGGCATCCACAATTTAGCACAGGTGAATTTCCCTGCCAAAGAGATTCAACAAATTATCACCTTTACAAAGCCCTCATCCAGTAGCTGATGGAAACAGAAGCAGACACCCACAGCTAAACACTGAGCCGAACTCCCAGAATCCAGTTGCAGAGAGGGAGGAGTGATGAGCAAAGGGGCCAAGACCAGACTACAGAAACCCACAGAGACAGCTGACCTGAACAAGGGGGAGCTCATGGACCCCAGACTGATGGCTGGGAAACCAGCATTGGACTGACTCAGACCCCCTGAACATGGGTCTCAGTTAGAAGGCCTGAGAAGTCTAAACAGTGGAAACAGGATGTATCCCTGGTGCAGGAAAGGACTTTGGGAGCACATTCCCCATGGAGGGACACTCCCTTAGCCTAGAGGTAGGAGGGAGGGCCTAGTCCCTACTCAAAATGACTTGACAGATTTTGTTGATCCCTCCTGGAAGGCATCACCCTACATGTGGAGTATAGGGGGAGGTCAGGGGGCATGGGAGGGAGGGAGGGAGAGGGAACTGGGACCAAAATGTAAAATAAGGAAAAAAATTTTATATATATATATATATATATATATATATATATATATATATATATATGAAGGGCTGGAGGGATGGCTCAGCCATTAAAGGCTAGGCTCACAACCATAAACACAAGATCAAAGCCAAAGCCAGATCCTGTGCTGGAATCCAAGCTCCGAGCTATCAGTTATACAAATACACCTTTTCCCAGAGCAATCTGGAAAACAAAAGCCCTCATTATCTTCCTAAGGCTCAACCCCACCCCTGAAATCAGATTAACTGTACAATTTATGACAAATCACTGGGGCTATCAAAATAAAACTCACCCTATGCACAAGGCAAAGAGGGGGAGGGACTATTTCTACTCCCTTTTCCCTCATTTCAGCATCTTAGTTACTGTTTTTATTACCTCTACCACAATTCACCTGTGTTTATTCCTTCCTAGTTTTATATGAAAATAATGGCACTGGAACAAAGTTTATACTGTGCCTGTGTCCAGGGAATGAAGAGGCAGAGAGGACAGGATTATTCTAGAGATATTTCCAAAATTTCCCCTTCCCATGTCTTCTTGACACCTCATTTTCCATTACAGCCGCCAACATAATATTCAAAATTAGTCACTCAAAGCAGAAAGCATTTGAGTATGACAGCAGAGGCTGCTTCCGTTCCTCCGAGTATTTCTTTTAGGTGAATTACATTCAAGAATTACATTACTTACATAAGGGAGATGTGCTGCACGGTTTCTTTCCACAACTGCCTTCATGTTGTCTAGGCTTCCATAATCATACCGGCTGATCTGAAACCCAAGTGCCCAGTAGGAAGGAAGAGCCGGTCGCCCGATGAGCTGAAATAAGTATGTGAAATGAAAGTTGGTAATATAGTGCATGTACACATGCATGGGTGGAGGGAGGTGTAGAGGTGTAGAGGTCTACGTAGGGTAATTGCTCTCTACCTTAATCTTAAGGCAAGGTCTCACTTTGAGTTCCATGACTAGTTCTATTGTGTAAGTGGCTAGAGAGCATGCTCCAAAGATCCTCCGTCTGCCCAGCATGAGATTCCAGGTGTTCACCACTGCAACCAGCTTGTTACAGAACTACCGGGGATCTGGGTGCAGGCTCTCATGCTCATACAGCAAATCCTCTTTTATAGATTAATTCATCTCACAGCACAATATTTTTATTTTTATGCATTGGTTTGGGGCACAAAATATATTCAGTTTTCCAGTTTGTTGATTCATTAATGTTATAATTTAGTCAACTTTTATATCTCCCTTGTAAGACTAAGGACACATTTTGATGTCTTTTATATCCTCTGACATTTTTATAACATAAAAACTTTACCAAAAAATTTCCAATCATATGTGAGGCCTGTCTTATGTCTTAAATATATCATCTCAGGTGCGTCTAGCTCACGTGTGTGTTAAGTTTACATCTCTTAAATGTTTAGTACATAGGGTTCCCTCGGTCATAAGCATGGTTTCACATTTACCTCTAGATATTCTTGAACAACTTGCTCAGGTGTGTTTCCCAAGAACACGTAGAAGTCCAGAATTCCCCCAATGGTGCGGTATGTGATTGCTGGGGTGGGCTGAAGGACAATATCTTAAAAGAAAATAAAAATGAGGATTTACCCTATTGAAATGACTACAAAATTTACAGCCTGAACTTTAGTAAAGTGATTTTTAATGTCCCACATGTTACACATAAAGAAACAAATTCTTACATGTCTGAGAGCTAAAGTGTATGTTCAGCAATAAACTTCAATGGCAGAAAACTAGAATGTCTCAACTCCTGTGTCATGACCCAGGCTCTGAGCAAAAAGCAAATGAATACAGAAGTAGTCGCTGCAGCTCTGCGCCCATTTCGCCTTGCCTACCACTGGTAACATGGTGTGTAAGCTTCAAGTTCCAGCCATCCCTTTCAGATACTAAACTCTGAGCACATCTGCTTGTATATTCTTTGCATATGCAAATAAACTCTATCCTTGGCTTGCTGGTCTCTTTTTGGCGGCTTAGTTTGTAAGTCCACAAGAATTAAGTCTAAGAGGGTATAAGAAGAAAACAATCCCTCCGATCCTGTTGTTCTTATTCTTTACCTCATTGCTCCTGTAAATACACAGCCCAGCTCCGCACTCTGAAGTACTAACCCCAGTGAAGAAGAGTGGAAATAAAGCTGGTCAGAGACTACATTGGAAACTTCAGATCCTGTTAAGGCCCAATCACCGGTATCAGAAATTGTCTCCTAGTCTTATTCTGTCTACGGATAGAAGGTCTCGGAGTCTTCTGAATTCACTCTTCTGTCATATAGGACTAATTCACACAGAGAACCCAGTACAATCAACTCATTTTTGTGATTCCCTTTTAAAAACTCCTGAAACAAGGTTTTAGGGGTTTGTTTGTTTGTTTTGTTTTTGCTGTTTATAGTCTAGAATGATTTTTTTTTAGATCACCTACATTGCCTCTCAAAAACTTAAGTGGAGAATAAGATCTTTCTTGCTTACTTTATTCTTTAAATTATTGCAAACTGGTACGTCTATAAAAGAGCCTAAATTAATTATGGGGTAAAAGGCATAAACAGACCTTTGGATTAAATCAGTGCTTACTCTCAATATCTATACTCATCTTGTATGGACATGAAAAACTGTGTGGACCACATCTTTAAGTAATCCTGATCTAATCCAATGATAATCAATATCCTATGTCCACCAGCAACCCTGGGAGGTGTTGCTCCATATCTCTCTTTCCCCTGTTTTAACTGTACTGGACCTGCCTGTCAAGATCACTAAATGTAAGACCAGGAAGGAGTTACACTCTGTGGGTAGAACCTGTCTCACAGTAGATTACGGAAAGAGTTATCATAACTCTGTAATTGCAAAAACTCCAAAGGAGACCCCCCCCAGTTTCAAGAGTTGAGAAGTCAGGGGAGAATCCTTTGCACACAGACCCCATGGGTAACCATGTAAGGCTGTAACGGCAAGGGAAGAAAGCCAGCCACGCTTTAATCATTGTGAAAGGGATTCACTCCTTTAACCATAGTGCTGTAAAAGGGGCTGAGATACACTCCGTGCATGTTTGTTTAGGGATAATTCTTTGTTCTTTACCCATGGCATTGCTGTTCATCAGAAACACCCCAAAGGATGATCCACTGTTATCTTCAAGGCACAGGAAGAAGGTCTGTACACCATACAAGTTATTTCCATCCTGTAGGAAGACAATTAAAACATAAACATTTACAATTAGTCTAAATCATTGACCACATCATGGTCAATGAAGATGCCAATAAACTTGGTGAGTTCAGGGCTCTGTTTAGAGGATGTTAACAAGTGGATTAGGTCTTTCTCAAAGAATGTGCCGGCTCTGACCATTCATCTAGTATGTATATGGAGATCTTGGCTCTTGTTAAAGTATGGGAGTATGTGAACTCTGAAACTATTGTTCACAGAATCTCTCTTCTCAAAGAGGCCTGCCTGATCCTAACGTGACCCTATCTACAAGTGCTCCATCGAGTTTTAATATAAATCAACATCTGCGTGGAGCTTTAAGGGTTTGAAAGTTCACACTGCCCATGGTTGAAGCCCCAGATTAGTCATCATCTCCAGCTGCTCCCCATAGGCTGCTCTCTCCACACCTTTTCCAGTTTATCTTATAGATATTTGGGTAGTGTGGTGTTTAAGTGAGACCGAGTAGGGATAAGATGTTGTCTCTGGTGCCTGAGAAGCCAATGGGAAATTTATTGAGCACAATCTATGTGACATTCATTCTTCTAGATACTTTGCATGTGGCCGTCATTTAATGCCACCTATGAGTGTGTGAACCCCACTTCAAGTTCCACGCTCCACTGACTGAGCTAGCTAAGCACCTTGCATTACCCTCATCTTATGCATGAGGAAGACCGGGAGGAGTAAGGACTCGCCCAGAACCACATAACTGGTAAGTAAAAGATCTAAAAAGCAAAACCAAGCAGTGTCACTCTGGATTCTCACCCTAAGCTACCATGTCACGTGACCCTGGACGCTGAGGTTGTGTTAGCTACGGGAGAAGGGCCTGGAAGGGAGATTACCGCGTTAGGGGTTGTGTCCCTGGAAAACAAGGTCCAGGTCTTCCAATTCATGTCATGCCGGTACCGCTGGTGCACGTGTTCACCCAGGCCGTACACATTGGCACTGGGAAGGTAGGTTGAGAGTTGCAGGAACTGGTCGGAGAAGAGGAGAGGCCCAATGCTTGAGTCAAACCTAGACACAGGACGGAAGCACAGACATACGTGAGATGGACATAGCTGCTCAGACAAGGGTTCTATGCGGCTCATTGACTCCATAGGCCCTCTGCAAGTCTTCCTCTGACATTTCCCCATAGGCACTAAGAGACAAAACATCTCTAGGCCAGGTACCATGGTGTGGCCAAAGTACTGTGCTTAAATGGTTACAGACATTTAATAAATCTGGATTGGAGCTCACGTGATTAGACAGACGGAAGGAAGGGAAAAGAAATGTTCAGACAGAAGGAAGGAAAAAGAAGTAAGGCTTCACACATACACTCTCACACACTCACGCTCACACACACACTCACACACAATCACACACACTCACTCACACACACTCACACACTCACACTCACTCACACACTCTCACACACTCTCACACACTCACGCTCACTCACACACTCACACACTCTCACACACTCTCACACACTCACGCTCACACACACTCACACACAATCACACACACTCACTCACACACACTCACACAATCACACACACTCACTCACACACTCACACACTCACACACAATCACACACACTCACACACTCACACACTCACACTCACTCACACACTCTCACACACACGCTCACACACACTCACACACTCACACACTCTCTCACACACACTCACATACACACACACACACACAATCACACACACTCACACACTCACACTCACACACTCACACTCTCACACACACGCTCACACACACTCACACACTCACACACTCACACACACTCACATACACACGCTCACACACTCACACAATCACACACACTCACTCACTCACACACACACATTCACACACTCACACACTCACACACTCTCACATACACGCTCACTCACACACACACACTCACACACTCTCACATACACGCTCACTCACACACACTCACACAACACACTCACACACAGTCACACACTCACACACACACTCACACACTCACACACACTCACACACACACACACTCACTCACACTCACACACTCACATACACGCTCACTCACACACACACTCACACACTCTCACATACACGCTCACTCACACACACTCACACACACTCTCACATACACGCTCACTCACACACACTCACACAACACACTCACACACAGTCACACACTCACACACACACACACACACACACGGAGCACGGTAGGGTCAGCAGCTTACACACCTCCTCTTATCATTGTCTTCCTACTCCCACCCCTGTGATAAGTTTCCAAAACTCACAGCACACGGTTATTGCTTCTTCTGGTGACTTTGATGCTGAATGGCTGTTTAGTGACCTCGACTCGGTAGTTCAGGGAAGACGCAGCATTCCCACTGAAGGGCTGCACATGCTCATGAGGCACTTCAAACCTGTCCTTGGCTGGGTCGGTCAGCTGCACAGAGAGAAGAATACAAAGTCCCGATGAAAACCAGCAGTGGCCTTTCCAACACCAGTGCTTCCTATGCAGATGGATGCTCCTGAGATTGGACACTGACCAGACTGGCATCATGTCCAAAGTAATGTGCTGGCTACATTGCCAGCTTCATATGTTTGTCTGTTGAGTGTACGTTAGTCTTCAGGTGGAGATACACTGTGATTCTGAAGACTCTCTCGAGAAAATTCAAAGCTGTGGTAGCATTTTGATCCCATCTACAATTCCCATGGTATCCGGGACCAATTGAGTGGAAACTCAAAGTTCACTGCTTAACTCTGAATGTATTGAGGAAGTTAATACACAAGAAAGCTATCACAGACCTTGGCAAACAAGTGCCACATAACTACAACAAAGATACTCTCTTTAGCAAAATGTTCTTCTTTGCACAAATTGCAGTTGTGAAGTATACGAGACTCTTTAAAAAATTAAACACACACACACTCATACACACACTCATATACATACACACACTCACACACACACTCATACACACACTCACACACACACTCATACACACACTCATACACACACACACACACTCATACACACACACACACTCACCAACCTTAAAGTGCAAGCGATTGGATGTCTGATACTCCACTGTGAGCAAGATGTTTTCAATTTCACTTCCAAACAGGGGTGCAGAGGGCAAGTTTTTCAACTGAGCTGTGAATCCTAACATGTAGAAGAGAAAAAGTTTTCATAATTGGTTCTGAACATTTTCAAGCAGTGGCCACATAAAATTAAACTTTGGGTCAAAGGGGCAAGCAAAAACCTTTATCTTCCCAAGAAGGGAAGATTTAGATACGCATCTCCTCAGATTCACATCTCCTCTTGGACTACACAATCCTTTTCTTTAAGATCTGAGAAAAAACACAGCCCCAGAGGACTAATTTTTAGTCCTCTGATCACCAGTCATCCCGTGTGGAGGAAGCCCTTTATGCTCTCAGGGATTACTCTTGCTCAGCCAGGTATTCAGTACATCACATCTTTTACCCTGAAGTCACGCCCTATGTCAAACAGCAAGTGAAGAGAGATTGGAGGCCTTGAAGAGTCCCACCTCTTCTTTACTCTCGGGGATTTCCCACAGTGGTACCTACTCTCATCCTCACCCCAGAATGCTCATCGTCATGCTCTTTGTATAGGGGTAAGAAGAATATTAGCCCACGAAGACTGACATTAACTAGGTAACTTCTGAAGCATGCTTATATAATTGTAACCATTTCAATTTCATAAAAATGGCACCAGAATAGGTGTCTTAAAGATTATCATTTTCATATTCCTATTTGAAATTCATATTCATATTTGAAAATAATACACGTGGGAACCAAAATGGTCATGATAATTATACAAAGTCATGAAGCTGCATAAAAGTGAAGACAAACCTCTGCATACATTCTGTGGTTATATAGCTTAGGATTTTTGTTGGACTCTAACAGCAGGAGTGGGCACATCTCTGACTCTTTTGCCTGCTGTTGGGACCCTTTTATCTTACTGAGTTGCCTTATCCACCTTTGATACAAGGATTTACGCCTAGTCTAATTTTAACTTGTTATGCCAAGTTCAGTTGATATCACTGGTAGGCCTGCTCTTTTTCAGAAGGGAACAGTTCTAGAGGAGAGAGAAGACATATTTTATAAGAGAAGAAAAAAGAAAAAGAAAATGGATAAATCTTCTTATACATAAAAGAAAGAAAATACATACATCTTCGTATTATAAAAAATAATAAATAAGCCAGAAACAGAGCACAGTCTCTGAATTCCTAAGGTAGAAGACGATTACTGCTTGATGGCAGAATAGGATCTAATCACTGATAAGAGCTGTGCCCCACTCTGTCACACACACACACTCACACACACACACACACACACACACACACACACACACATATTGACAACAGAGCAGTCTATGTGATATTACAGATGTCCCTAAGGATGGAGCTAAGTCTCCAGGTCTGGGGATCCATCTTCAGCCTACCTGCATTTGAAAACACAGGGTCACTCTCTATTTGGTAGCCACGATTCTTGGAATAGTAGCAAGGAACATTTACAGCTCCCTGAGGAGCCCAGCAGCAGCCACGCTGGTCACATATGGTCTGAAACAGAGATTAGACTATTAACTCCAATGGGCTCATTACATTTTAGGAAGTACAAACCGGTTCATTTGAGATTGTGATACCAACAATTCACTTTTACAAATGGGACCTGACACCAACTTCTACTGTTTCCCCTGACGGCAGTCTTCTCATTAAATAGTATAGGGAATACAATGTATGTTTCGCACACATTAAATGCCTTCTAAAAATCAAGTTATATCACCAGTATCCCAACGTTATAAGTGGATCCTCCTGTATATGACATTGGAATTAGAAAAATGACAGATGGAGACTTTCTTCAGATGTTTTCAAATCAAGTCAATCTGGTTTGATTTTAATTGTTTTTTATTTATTGTATTGCAGCATGGGGGTGCCAGCATTTGTTTAGGATCTCTGTGTAGAAACTAAATATACTCAGGACAGCAGCAGAATGTAAGGTGTACAGTCAGAGCAGATCATGTCTAAGGGTGTTCCCACGCCTATCATGTTGGAACTTTCAGAAGGACTAGATAGAAAGACCATACTATTTTTTTAAAGCCTTGAGGAAGAATTTTTTAAGTGTATACACTATACATCTGCATACGTATTGCACTCATGTGACATATATGTAAGCATCTCAGCTTTCCCCCCTCCAAGACAGAAAGTAACCTTTCCTTGACAAACTAAATGGAGTGTAGTTTTACCTTAAGGAAGGTGCCTGCCTACTGCCACAATTGATATATGAGTTAAATGAAAACTACAACGAACACATTCTCTTTCCTTGGGCATCTAATTTTGGCGAAGCATCCAGAATAAACATTAAACAGTGCAAGGACATCTCTGCTCGTATGTGTGGGTCTGGGGCTAGTGTCTTGCAGGGAACAGCTGGACGGCACTCCCTAGGTCACAGACAGAAGGCAGTCTTGATTCCCTCACTGGATTTCTCTGTCTCACTTTCTCCTAGAGCACCCTATGGGAAACACCCAAGGCAGAGTACAACTCCACAGAGAGGACTCAGGGAAACAACCCACGTGGGTAAGCCAAGAGATCTCAGAAGACTCTTTGATGTGGTTTCTGGGGATCTCAAGGGTGGAATTACCCAGCTAAACCAAAGCCAGCCAGATTTTCAATAGAGAAACCGTGAGAAAAGTGGCTTGTTCCAGTAGGCCATTATCTGTTGAGATCACGTGATACATAGCAATACGTGATGAATACTTCCTGTCTTAGCGCCTGACCAACCCTGAACTCAGAGTCCACAGAGGACTGCTTCACAATTGAGAAATCAAAGCCAAAAACTGCCCATTTCTTTTTTTTTTTTTTTTTTCTGTGTTCTGAGTATTGCTAGACATGTGTTAATGAAAATATGTCAATGTCTTGAAGATGGCAAATAAAGCTGGTGAGACATATGGCTAATTACATCTAACTGAATACTCACTTTTATAATACAATACAAATTAAGTATCCCTTATCCAAAAGGATTTTAGAACAAGAACAAGAAATGGTTTGAACTTTTCAGACATTCTGACTATTTATATTTACATGATTAAAATGTTTTGATAATAGAACCCTCTAAACACAGGGTTCAGCTGTTTTGCTATGTAAGATTTCTTTTGGATCCACCCCCATCCCCTGATTTTGTTGTTGTTGTTGTTTGCTTGTTTTTGCAGTACTAGTATTAAGCCCAGACTCCCTGTGTGCTAGGCAAGCATTCCACCACCCCCAGCATTTGTAAAACCTGTTTACATGTTTTTCCCTGTAAAACAAGGTTTCATTGCCTGAGGTTTTCGCTTGCAGAATCAAGTCAGTACTCAAAACCGCTTAGATTCTGAAGCATTCCAGGTCTTAGATTTCTGAAGTAGAATGCCCAATCCGTTTGAAAAAGTATGGCTACATGTGGTCCCATCTTCCTGATATGGAAACTTTAATCAGTGATTGTGGTCTTGTTCGGGGTAGGAAATTCCTCTAGGAAGCCCAGCACCTTGTATGATTAATGTGCTAAAAGGGAAGGAAATCTAATTCTTAAAGGAACAGATCAGTAGAGAACTCCCTGTAGCAGGCACATTTAAAACTGAAGCTCATAAAGTCACCGAAAACAAGAAAGTGAGAGCGACGGTGTGTCAAAGGCGTCATTGGTACTGCTAGACAAGGCTCCCCAAGCTCAGAACTGGCGGCACAGCCTCCTCGCTGGTATGAAGCCTGCAGTCCACAAGGAAGACCACATATGACACACATACCCAAGAAAGAAGCGTCAAAATGTGAAGAAAAAAAAAAAACTCTAAATCACAGCATGAAATTGAGAGGCAGTGCATAATGAATTATTTTTAAGGCACACTCTTGACTAATAGAAAATGTAGACAAAAAAATGTAAAGACATTTTACTTTTTATCATATCCCCTGAACCACTGAACATAATAATTCTTAACCTAGCACTTACATTAGAATAGGCAGCTCGAACAATCTAAAGATGACTAGTAGTAGGGTGTAGAGGTGTAAGGGAAGATTCATGGAGGTGCTGTATGAATGGCATACCATTTCATACAAGGCATTCAGCATCTGCAGGCTTTTGATCCATGGGGTCCTGGGTACATGTGTTTAAGCTTTAGCACCAACACACAGACGACTGAACTCACAGGTGCAGGAGGAACCAAATCCTGAAGCCCCTGTTTCGAAATGAAATCGATCTCTACTCTGCCCGGCTCTTACTTGTCTTTACATTTAAGAGTGACAGAAGAGGAGAAATAAAGGAGTATTTCATACCAAAAGGTGACGGGAAAGAAAAGGTAACACTACAGTCTAATGTCAATACTGACATAGAGAGGTGGAGGTTGCTCTTCCCATTGAGTCTGACTGGCCCATGACAGATTTGGTCAACAGATTGCACAATACAGTTTCTGAGCCCGGCTAGTTAGAGGATAGGCAGGTTTGTCCCCCATTACTTGCAGCCCTGAGCTGGCATGTCAGAAATCCAATTGGCCTGCCCAGCGAAGAGACCTCTAAGAGAGACTCTGAGATCTCGTGAATGGCGGAGGAAAGTGCTCAAGTAGGCACAGCTGTTCCGGCCAAGGTGTCAGATGCACAGGTGAACCCATCCTGAATCTCTCCACCAGAATACATCAGTAAGATTCTGAAGCCAGCAGCACCCAGGATAGAAGACATCAAGTTAAAACCTATGTGGATTTCTACCCCATGAAAACGTGAGTGGCAATATGATAATTGTAGTTTTGCAGCACTAAATACATTTGTGGTGGTTTGTTTCTCACAAACACATGGGCAAGGCTGGAAGACGGGCAGCTGCCTAAGTCTTATTGTGTAAACATAAGGAATCTGAATCCCTCAAGCCCACAAAATGTTCCAGGCATAACCACATGCATCGATGACTCCTGTGCTGTGTGTGGGCATAGACAAGAGGATTCTGGGGTGTGTAGGTTACCAACCTAGTTTCAGGTTCAATGAGAGAACCTGTCTCAAGGGAATAAAGTAAGGTTGATAGAGGAGGGCCTGCCATCCCCTTCTAGCATCCACATAATCACACCACACACAAGGTCTCCTAAACAGAGAGGCCATGGTCTAATAGTACAGGGTTCAGTGCAGTGTTAGTAACTCTGCTATGTTTAAAGCATCCACCCCAGAGTTTAGGGGCTGCCAATGTGATGATGCTTAGAGATGGGCCCCTTAACAGCAGTGATATAAAAATAATTGATGTCTCTATCTTGTGAGTGAGATTCAATGCTTTTCCCTTCTCTCCCATGAGGATGTAGCAAAGGGACCCTACACCAGTGTGACAATGAACTTCCCATAATCCAGAACTATGAGAAGTAAATTTATGTTCTTTATAACTTACCCAGTCTTGAGTATTCTGTCACAGCAACAAAAAGTGTTATTAAGATGGTATTATTCAGCCAAACCCAGAGACTGTGAGTTGGGTGCTAAGCAGAGGAGGCACAGTCCCCCAGCACTTCAATGAATAGCTACATCCTTGAGCTAAGCGGAATAGCAGCCCAGGATACACTCAAGTCCGTGTGCTGCCGTTGTGGGCATCACATTGAAGACATTTGTTGTTTCTAGAGCTAAGACAGCCCGAGGTTGTGAGCAAAAACAGGGAACGGTGACTCTCCATGAAGAGTATGAGAAGTGTCCCATTGTCTAGCAAAAGCGGGAATTTTAGAAGTTAAAGTACTCAGTAATAAAGGAATCCTAATTAATCTTTGTTTCGTGCCATGGTAAGATCTTGTCACTGAATTTTAAATCCACCTTCTCTGCCGTTCTCTGAGCCAGACTTTCGAGTCTCCAAACCAGATAACTAGGTATTTTCAGAGAACATTACCCATGACCTTTGAGATCATAATTATGAAGTTCTTAATCAATGGGAGGGAGGAGGGAATGAGGTGAGGTAGGATGTGATTTGGTAAGGGGATATGAGGAGATCTGAAGAGTGGGAGGGGGAAGTAAATAAAATAAAAATTATGCATGTATGAAATTCTCAATATTAGCGAATGCATCTTAAAAGTGCTCATAACCACAGAGTTTAATAGTGTCTAATAATCAATGCTTAATGAATATGTTTATCCAAACGCACATTGACTCACTGGCTGATAAGATTTGAACAGCAGGTAAAGAAGCATGACGGCCCGCCAGTACTGCCCAGTCAGAGTCCCTTAAAGCAGAAGCAGGCAGAGAGACTCTCCAATGTGCTCAGGTCCCATGTCTCAACATGGCCCAACCTCAAGTTTATTTCTGGGACTTTTTAGTTCACTGCTCTTCCTAGAACCAGCTAATGGCTATGCACCAATGTTGTGTAAGCCCTGAGTAGTTTTTAGGTGGAGGTTCGTGATTACGTCAGCAAAACATACTATCTTCTTGATAAGTCACCAAACTTGATCACTTAAATACGTTGATAAGAAACAGGGAATTTGGAAAAAGACATCATAAGCCAAATTAGAATTGATAAGCAGCTCTCAAAGTGCGTATTCTATAAAACATAGCAGCGTTTATGAATAGTAAAAGTTAGCCTTTCTGGTGTCATAAAGATTGGTATTACTGTTTATGGAAAACACATACCAACTGCTTTCAGATTAATCATCGGTCATAGTGATTTAGAGTATGGGAACTTGTGTTAAGTGTGCAGATCTGTTCTTCCATATAATCACAAAGAACTCTAACCCTGAAAAATTAAAGCGTTTAAACTTACTGTTCAGTATCCTTTTCCTGGGTTAAGTATCTGGACTTGAGCTAAATATTTCTGTGCCATACCATAAATAAAATCTGGAATTGGGGATAAAAGGCCGCATCAAGGAAGAAGAGAAGGCTGCCCTGCCTTACAAGCAATGGACTTGAAATCTGTGTCAAGATCTGCCTCTTAAACCTGCACATGGATTGCAAAGGTACAAGAAGTTTAACCAGGACAAAATATTTGAGTCACCTCATATACAGACTGAACTGATAAAAAGTAACAGTGTTTGTTATGTCCAGTTTTAGTAGCTGTGTGAGGATACTGAGGAGAAAATGCCTCCTGGAGAGATTCCAGGAGGTCCCTGGAATAATGGAGGTCTAGCGGTGATGACGCCAGGAACGGGCATGCGAATGGGGTGTGGCCGTAAAATGACTCATCGTGACATCGTCAGGGAAGCTTCCTCCTCCAGTGGATGGGAATACATGCTGAGCCCCACGCCTGGACAAGGTTCAGAGGATGTGGACCGTGGGACACTCTCCTCAAAGCCTCTCTCAATTCCCTCCCCTGAGGGCTCAGGGAACCCTGAGGAAGAGGAAGCAGGAAGAGTCTAAGAGCCAGAGGGGATGCACCACACTAAGAAAACAAGGCCTTGCAGAGAGTTCCACCGCACAGGGGAAGTGAACACACGCTCCCTATCCCTAACCCAGAGCTATTTCCAATCTATGAAAAATGTGTTTTCTCCAACGGAGGATCACTGGGTATGCCAACCACTCTTAGGGGCAGGCCTCATTCCCAGCAGTAGATGGCCAACATGAACTCAATGGCATTTCAGAGGTTCTTTATCTCAAAATGCTTTAGGGGTGGGCTTTTTTTCTTTGCACATATATTACAGTTCTAGTTTGTGCTTTTAAGAGATTTCTATGTATGTGAATGTGTATGCCTCTGTATATACATGTGTTTTTGCAACCTTTTTCTTTTGTTCTTTGTTTTTCTGTTTCTTTGATCCTATTCTGATTTGTTTGTTCTTATTTTCCTGCTTTTATTTTATAATTTTTGATGCCTATTTGTATCCTAATAAGAGAGAGAAAGGAATGGTGTGGAGTTGGGTTGCTGGGAAAGTGTGGAGGACCTAGGAGGGGTTGGGGGAGGGGAAATTATACTCAAAGTATATTGTATTAAAATCTATTTTCAATAAAAAATATAATCTAACAAAAAGTTAAAATGTGTAGGGAAAAGAATACATTATGGAATTCTCAAAGAATAAATAACTTTTCTTAAAAAAGACTCTGAGTCTAGTCTCTTCAAAAATAAATTTTAAAATAGTTACCTATCATATACATGTAAATACATGTAATAAAATCAATAAGAAGTAAAAAAAAAAAAAAACTCTAAAGATTCTCCTAAAAGGACTCAGGGTTGTCTCCAGCTCTAGATATAGATAAAATACCCTCCTCATTAAGAGCAAGAAACAAGACCAGACCGGGTGTGGTGGCACACACCATTAATCCAAGCACTTGGAAAGCAGAGGCAGCTGGATCTCTGTGAGTTCTGGGACAGCCAGAGCTACACAGAAAAATGCTGTCTCAAAAAAAATAATAATAATAAATTCTACCACTAATAAATAACAACAATAAGATTGAATAATAGTAAGAAACAGGGACGGGGAGGTGGCTGAGTGGTTAAAGCATCTGTGTTCTTTGCAGAGGAACCGGTTGTTGTCCTCAGCATCCAATGACAGCTAACAACCATCTTCAACTCTAGGTCCAGGGGCTCCAATGCTGTCTTTGGACCTCTCAGGGCATCAGGCATACACGCATACACATGCATGCAGCAAAAACACTGTACAGCTAAAGTAAATCTTAGAAACACATTTAAAAAAAAAAAAAGAACAAGAAGCAATTGTATCTGCAACCAGAAATAGTCTCCAGAGATATTAGTTTTCTTGTTATTCTAAGACAGAGGAGACGGGAGGGATAAAATTAAGCAGCAATGGCCTCCGCGATGCAACCTTCTGCTTTCCTCACCCATCCTACCCACTTCTATATGACCCTTTAACACACCCAACACACAAGTCATGCGTACAGTCAGCCCCTCAGCAATAACCTAGACCGCTACACCAACATAGCCTAGACCGATAATGGCCGCTTTCTGAATTACACCTTGACTGGAAAGAATTATAGTAACGTATTAAAACAGCAGGATGTAGACATTACTGTGACAGTGACAACATTTGAAGTGCAGCAGCAGCCTGTAACAAGATGAAACGCTACAAGGGTGGCTTGGCTAAGAAATGATCTCAGCTTGTAACAAGATGAAAGGCTACAAGGGTGGCTTGGCTAAGAAACCATCTCAGCTTGTAACAAGATGAAACGCTACAAGGGTGGCTTGGCTAAGAAACAATCTGCCTCTGGGGGCTGCCTGGTAACGCGTTTCCTAGAACAAGGTGACACTAACAAACTCTTTGATTTGAATCAACTTTCTACAAACCCAGTGCAGGGAAAAATAAATGTGTTGCTTCGGTAAAGCCCATCTAGACGGCAGCTGTCCGTTCCATAGCAGGGCACATAGGGACAGCCCTCAGACTGACCGTGAAGTCTTAGCAGTCTTCCTTGGACATGCTACCTTTCTCTGCGCTATGCAGATGGTTCGGTTCAACAACCTAGACCCCCACCCCACCCAGTTCAGCTTTTATCACTGTTGCATCCTTGAATTCACCTTCAGCTTCATGGGGCTGGGGTGACAAATCTGTTGTTAAAGTGCCTGTCACTTCCTGACCCTTCTCTCTCTCTCCATCAAATCCTTTCTTGTCTTTAGTTTCGGTCCCAGACCTAACGTGCTTTTCCTTCATTCTCCTTTGTGTGTTCTGCCTTTCTGAGTCTCTCGTTCTCTCCTCTTCCCTCAGCCTCCACGGCTGTTGCTCAAACACCCTTCCCTTCTGATTTCTGAGTCCTGCTATTTCCTCCAAGATCTCTTCTCTTTCTCTCATGTTCCCTTACAGCGTCCTAATCACACTTATCTCCTTGCCCCTCCACCCTCAGATCCCAGCCATAGTCCTGTTTAAACAGCCCGTGCAATACCAAAGTGCTCCTGGAAAGGGATGCAAACCACTATGAAAAGTTGAGCCATAAAACACCACACATATGGGTTTTTGGACACACGTGGCTTCTGGTTGAGATTTCATTTCTCAGGTACCTTTCTGTTTGTAGTTACTAACTTTTGCCTGCTGCATGAGATAAGCCAAAGGACTATTGTGATGCCTCTCTCTCCCATGACATACCCCACTCTATTGCAACCCATCCTTTCATTAACAGTAATCCTCTGAGGCCCAGGAGTGGGGGCAGTGATTTTATAGAACGTCACAGATTACTCCAGTGCTGTGAGAACAGAGTGACTACTGCACGTGTCCAAGAAACACGTGCCACAAGCGTCCACTGTGCAACTGATAGTAATCTGTCGTTTCACCTGCGTGGACTTTGCTCAGAAGCCTGTTTTCACTTAGATATAATTTTTATTCTCATAATGTAAATGGTAGGTCATGTGCAATGGCTTTATTATCATAATATCCTCTGATGTGCATAAGCTGGCGACTGAGAAATACTGGACTAAAGTCCCATGTCCCTGCAATCTCTTTACGCTGGCATTAATTACCTTCTTCCTTCAACAGTTTAACTCTTCAAACTTTGTCCTTAGGTTAAATCATGCTTTGTTCACATGCATGATTTTTTTTTTAATTGTCGATCCCAGATAACCTTTTGAAATGACATAATGTCAGCAAGAAGAGAGGCAGTGGAAAATTTGAGGACTGCAATCAAGCGTAGTCACGTGCAAAACGATAAACATACTTTCACTACATCAAAACCTTGCTTGGAGCATACTTACACTAAAAACATGGTCATTGTTCATCTGAAATTCTGATATAACTGGCTGAACCTGGCAGCCCAAGGCTATATTCTAGCCCGTCTTCCCTTGAAGCTACGTGACCATACAAACACGGATGCTGCTGTATACACAACTTTGTGTGAACCGAGAAGAAAAAGAAGACAAGATGAAAACGGGAAGGAGAGGGAGGAGGAGGGGAAGAGAGGAGGCAAACAAAAAGAAGGGGTAAGAGGGAAAGAAGAGACTGCACCGTGTTAAGAATTCTTCAGTGAAAACAAGATGCACAAACCTTGTTAGGTATCTTGTCAGGGATGCAATTTATCCGTTCCTGTTCACTGAGAACTGGGCAACTGGGTAGATTAGGAGTAGTTCTTGTCATCGTAGTATCTGGAGTGCTAGTTCTTGTGACTGCAGGGTCTGGGGTGCCACCTGTGTCCGTATCTAGGAATGTCATATCACAAAAGCAGACGTAAAATGAACGAAATTATGACCACAGACTTTAATAGGACCGGGGTTCTCGGCACTTAGCAACTCTGCTAACTTTCCTACCGACCGATGTGTTTATGTGTTCCATGTGTTTGAGGTTCTGTGTTTTTACTTTATAACACCGTTCTTGCTAACTGTTTTCACCTCTGTGTATACCAACATCATGTCCTTCTTTGCTGGAGTTCCCCTGAAATATGGTACACACAAGACAAAGTGCTCCATCATTAGGAGTTTGTAAAAATTGGACACCAACTTGACTTTAGGCTACATCAGTAAACAATACTCTGCCAGTCGAATTCGGTCCAAACATGTCTCTATAGATGAAGAATTGTTGGAGCACAAATACAATTATTTGTTAATAGCTACTTTATGCTCCGATGGCAATAGTACACGGGACAACAGAAACTGAATGAGCCAGCCAATCGATCTAAAGACTGACAGAAGGTCAGCGCCCAGCCCGACTGGGTCAGTTCTTTCTTTCCATCATGTGAGCTCCAGAGATTGACCTTGGATCATCAGGCCCGGCAGCAAGTTCCTTTCACTGCTGAACCATCAACTCACTAGCCCTGGCGATCTCAAGCACAGCAGCTTCAATTCTGTTTTCTGGGGGCAAGCCCTAGTCCCTCAAAACACTTCTGAGTGGTGGGTTTCTTCTGGAATTATAAATGCCCAAGTGTCAACATAAAGGAATGCAGAAGTCTAGAAACTACCCCATGGCTACAAAACTTTGGTTCCTAATGTGAAGATCAGTAGAATGGAAAGGACATTTTGATTGCGCTCTGAAACAGGGAAGAAGCTTCGTCCATGGTACTGTCTTAATAAACAATGACATAACAAGAAAATGTTGCTACTGGTTGTTTTTCTTTGCACCGGAGTTTCCAGTTCAACAAACAGTGCATTAAACAAATTGTGTCTGGACCACCTTCTTCCTGATGCTTTAGCTCCCTCTTCAGGCTCATGAAACTTTAAATGTTAAATGATCCTTATGATTCTAATCTTACTTTCTGGAAAAAAAAAAAAAAAAAAAAAAAAAAAAGTTCTGGCTCCCACAAGAAGTGCTCCCTTATGAGGTAGATAGGAAAGCCAGGATCACTCAACATACCTAGGCCATCTTTTGAGATATGTCAGCTCAAGATTATTTTGATAACAATAACATGTGTAGGTTTTCAAGGACAAATTTTAGGGCCTTAAATAGTTGAATTGATACATAGTAAATATATACACACATTTCCTTTTACGCAGCATGTTGTTCATTATCAGTACTAACGGAATTATAGTTATTTTGTATCACCAGCAATTAAATTTCCAAGCCAACTGTAGAGCTGGATCAAATGCACTAGCTAATAAATGTGGAAATGAAAGTTTCAGAATGCAAACCTACTATCTATTGACCAGCCATGGCTTCTAGATATTTAGGAAGATACGTACAATCTGCGTGTATTCGTGTCCACATTCAAACATACACAATATAAAAGCATGACTTCTCTACCATTGGTGGTGGGTTTGCTCTGATATGGAAGAGACTCAGAGTCCCTCGTTACCATTTTGTTGTGTTGAATTGGCTAAGAGCACAATTAGAACCACAGCAACGATGAACAATACAAGCAGCAGGAAAATGAGTATAAGCTCCAGCTTGCTGAACTTTTTAAACCTTGGTCTTGCCATCTGAAAAGAGAGAGAACAGTTTTAGATTTAAAATGTGTTAATTGTAACTAGTATATTTTTTTTTACTTCCAAAGCTCAAATGTATGTAAAACCTCCCACCATCTAAATTAAAATAAAAAACAGTTCCTGGCCAATTTTATTTTACCATTATTCCTATTTAGTTGTCACCCTCATCCTGCATTGTTATGAGGTAAATCTCAAATTTCACACATCTTCACCTGAAAATATTAATTTTATTTTCAAACCTTTACAAGAAGCTTTACAAAACAACCAGCAAAAACACTACCATGGCACCTATATATCTTTACAGTATTGTTACCAAATACCTAACCAATGTTGAAATTCACTGTTCATAAACTCTTCAAATGACGTTTGCAATTGTTGACATAAATTTTCATACACGTTGGATCTCACAAAGATGAAGTAAGGTGTAAGTATTGTCATTAGTTTATACTGAGTCACTTTTAAACCAAAGAGCCTGTTCTGTAGACATTCCACATCGCTTCAACGTCATTGATTGATTTTTTTGTCATGCTAGCATGTTTCTCTTATATTTAAAGCTAATTAATAGGATCCGACATTTTTCAGACTTAGTTTAAATGGTTTAGCAGCAGAGGGGTATAGAAGGCAAAGCATCTTCACCAGGAAACATAAAATCTTATTCTCTTTCTTGTGGTATTTGAGCAGCCACTGCCATTTCCAAGATATAATATCCCAATAAAAATTAGTTTACCACAGGACCCGGCAATCCCCCTCTTAGGCATATACCCAAATGATCCACATCCATACAACAAAGACATCTGCTCAACTATATTCATAGCAGCATTATTTGTAATAGCAAGAACCTGGAAGCAACCTAGATGCCCCTCAACTGAAGAATGGATAAAGAAAATGTGGCACATCTACACAATGAAATACTACTCTGCAGAAAAAAAAAATAATGGAATCTTGAAATTCGCAGGCAAGTGGATGGCACTTGAAGAAACCATCCTGAACGAGGTAACCCAGTCACAAAAAGAGGAACATGGTATATACTCGCTCATATACAGATTTTAGACCTAGAGCCAAGGATCACTAGCCTATAATTCACACCACCAGAGGAACTAGGATACAAGGTGTATGCTAAGAGATTCATATAAAGTCCCTCACAGAAGGGGAAGGGACAAGTCCCCCAGAGCACAGGGGAAGTGGGGGGGGGGCAGTGAATGGAGAGAGAAGTAGGAGAAAGAGAAGGGGAGGAGAGGAAAACACGTGCGACCAGGAAGATTGAGTCAGGGTAGGATTAGAAGACAGGAGAGAGAGAGACAGACAGAGAGAGAGAGAGAGAGAGAGAAACAGAGGGAGCCATTATTGGTTTGAAGAGAAAACTGAACCTAAAGAAAGGTCTAGAGACCTACAAGACTGACTCCAACTAACAATTTGAGCAACCGTGGAAAGGCTACCATAAATGCCCTTCCCTGATAATGAGATCAACAACTAACTTATCCACCATCATGGAGCCCTCACCTAGTACCTGTTGGAAACAGAAGCAAACACCCATACCTAAACACTGAGTTGAACTAGAATCCAGATGCAGAGGGAGAGAACAAGACCAGGCTACAGAAACACATAGAGACAGCTGACCTGAACAAGGAGGAACTAACGGGCCCCCAGACTGATAGCTGAGAATCCAGCATGGGACTGACTCAGGCCCCCCCAAATATGGGTCTCAGCTAGAAAGACTGAGCAGTCCAAGGGACCTCAGACAGTGGAACCAGGATGTATTCCTGGTGCACAAAAGGACCTTGTGAACACATCCCCCATGGTGCGACACTCCCTTAACCTAGAGACAGGAGAGAAGTCCTAGTCCCTACTTCAAATGACTTGACAGATTTACATGACCCCACCTGGATGGCATTGCCCTACATGTGGAATTGGGGTGGGGGGATGGGAGGGGAGGGTGGTCAGGGGGCATGTGAGGGGGCAGAGAGGGTAAGAGGGAGGGAATGGGGAGGGAGGGAGAGGGAACTGGGATCGACATGTAAAATAAAAAATAAATAAAAAGAATTATAGAATGGGTTCCTGAGATTATTATTCCTTTAATTGCTGGAAGAAATATTTCTGTACACAGAAATACAACATTGTCTACTACTTCCTTCAGAAGCGAGGGGATGACGATGATGGGTTGAATGTCTAACTCCTTTATTTGCTGCTTGTCAAAATACTTGTTTTCCTGGTATCTTTCAAAGGAGACTGAAATTAATATTCTAATCATTTCCATAAATTGGTGGGTTTAAGCACACTTAACTCTTACTAATCCGTTGAAATCATTAATTCTCATGTCTTCCCATCTCTGCCCAGAAAGGGCCTCCTCAACTTGGTATATCCCTAAGAATCTCTTGTACTATCCGTCCTTTCTGGCACAATATGGCATCCCTGGTTCCTTTCCCTGACCTGGTTTGTAATGACATGACAGCCAGGAGCCTCTGTTCCTTCTAATGGTTGTGATATTTAGGAACAATAGTGCAGATGAGAGCTAATAAAATTCAGACTTGAGAATTTCGTGAATCACTTGGTTAGTAGTCACTTTCTGAGGGAGAGTCATCAATGGATCCTTGAGGATTTGCTGTGTTAATTTATTTCCGATTTGTTTCATTTTCTATGTATGAATGTTTCGCTTACATGCATGTATATGTGCCTTGTGTGTATCTGGTACCTATAAAAGTCATAAGAGGGGTACTGATCCCCTGGAACTGGAGTTACAGAAAACTGGTTGTAAGTCACCATATGGGTGCTGGTAATCTAACACAGGTCCTTTGCAGGAAGAACAAATGCGCTTAACTGCTGGGCCATATCTCCGGCTCCAGGAATTGTTATTTTTAAAAATGCAGAAATTACACATTTACTTCTAGCTATGATTTGACTATATACACTTCCCTCTGAATCCTACGATAAGACCTAACACCCAGTGTGATGGTAACAGGAGATGGCATCTTCAAGGAAGTAATTGTCATGATTTGGGCAGAAGGTCTCTTGCACATTGTGAAGTTCTGCTCTTATCAGCATGCTCTGATGCGACCTTCTTATCTTTTAAGTGTTTTATGGCCCTATTATCTGAGACACACACACACACACACAGTAAAGAAGACCCATGAGCATCAGTACTGCTCACTCAAGGCCACCTTCCTCCTCATCCCTTTCACTAGTCTTCAGGCTGACTTATAAACCATACGCTATTTACTCCAAGGGAATATGTCCTACCTTCTTCCCTGAGACCTTGATATATAGCTCTAAAACTGAGTTCCTCTGTCTTCATTCTCTACTCTATCAAGCGTATACTCATATACCCTCTCCTCGTTCAGAATTACTCACAGTCCTTTGCTCAGCGATTAGTTGACAAGAGGATTTACTTTTCATATTCTGGAAAAAGAACGTGAGTGTAATTGACTCTTCCTACACAAAAGGAAGCGGAGTTGAAAGCCCTTCTCTCTGACAGGGGCCACCTTGTGTTTTCCCACAGTGAAATAAGCGCCCTTAACTCTGGTGTTCCCAGATCTTATCTACAATACCTCATACCAGCAAAAGCTTTATGAGAAATCCCCATAATACTTGTCTTTCTAATCGAGTTCCACAAAGGTTAGTACTATTTTATACTTACTCTAATTAACCAATGAGGCAACAGGTGATCGTGTGTTCACTGTAGGAGAAGGGGTATTAGAACGACATTCCAAGTAACCAGGGCCCTTCTCTTTGGTGACTGCTTACAGCTGTGATGTGGGGGGAGGGGTGGTTGTTCTTTATGCTATTACTTTAAATGGTATGTCAGATGCTATGAAGGACCATCTCCACATCTGGTCAAACTGTACACACGTGGGCTCCATGATATGGCAAAAATTTGAAGTGTGTCTGAGAATCAATGCAAACACAGACGGTTGTTCATTGTGAGAACAACGTGTCTGTCCAGTAGGAGGGTACCGAATACATGAGACACACTCAAACTCAGCGTCATGTAAAATTGTGATAGTGAGTTTTGAGTCCACAAATCCTATGGTACCCTCCTTTCCTGACCTGATGGAGTTGGGCTGCAGATTCTAACGGAATTATGATAGAAGCTTGACTTCTAAGGCCAGGTTACAGATGCAACTGTGACTCCTTCTACTTTGTTGCTTGGATCCTATCCTAAGGAAACTGGCTGCCATGTAAAGTACTGTAGTCACCTTGAAAGTGGCCCCTCCATCCAATCAGTATACTTCACTGGACCACTGACAAGGTTCATGTCTCAGCCTCCACCTCATGAATGACCCTTACCATATTTCTCAACCAGAGAAGCTGGAAGACAAGAATTGTTGATCTGTTAAGCAGAAAATTTTAGAGTAATTTGTTCCCTAATAATACATAACTAATGCAGATTGATAGATGTGCTCTTTTAAATAAAGCATCGTTGGCATTTTTTTGAGTCTTCTTGATTCTTGGCAAACATCTTTTTTTGCTTCATGTGTTCAAATGTAATAACTGCTCTCAAGAATAGTAACATGTATTCTCCAGATATTACAAGAGAAATACTTCCTTAAGCCCTGAAAGGGGAGGGGAGAATTACCATTCCAATATTACCCAGTTGGATTTATCCTCATTTTCTGCATTAGTGAGACCTTGAAGGTGACACACACTAACTCAATTAGTAATGTAATTCAAGGAAAACCAAGGTGAGGCAAGACACCATAAAAGTAAGGTGGAGGGGAGGAAATAAATGCCAAGGGACAATAAAGAAGTAGAAATGATGGTGGATGTCCTTCTGTATTATGTTTCTCTTATTGGTTGATGAATAAAACACTGTTTGGCCAATAGCCAGTGGAGTCAGGAAGATGGGCGGGGCTAGGAGACTGGGAGAGTGCTGGGGAGGGGGAGGGTTGCTCCAAGAGACGCCATGTAGATAGAGACGGAAAAGAAAGGACATGCCAGGCAATCTCTGTAAGATAAGGCCATGTATAAATACTTAGATTAATAGAAACGGGCTAATAACT